ACGGAATCTCTTCGTATATGTTTTGTCATGATTTCTTCATCGTAATGAACGTATATGCTTTGTCATGATTTCATCGTAAATGATTTGTCAAACATGAACGTAAATGATTTGTCGAAACTTCATCGTATATGTTTTGTCATGACTTCTTCGTATATGCTTTGTCATGATTTCTTCATCGTAATGAACGTTAATGACTTTGTCAAACATGAACGTAAATGATCCAAAAATAATGTTTAGGTGAATGGTGAGATCTAACACCTTTTCTCACCTCTTTTCTCACCTCATGAATTTTCATACGGAATCTCTTCGTATATTTGTCATGATTTCTTCATCGTAATGAACGTATATGCTTTGTCATGATTTCATCGTAAATGATTTGTCAAACATGAACGTAAATGATTTGTCGAAACTTCATCGTATATGTTTTGTCATGACTTCTTCGTATATGCTTTGTCATGATTTCTTCATCGTAATGAACGTTAATGACTTTGTCAAACATGAACGTAAATGATCCAAAAATAATGTTTAGGTGAAGTGGTGAGATCTAACACCTTTTCTCACCTCTTTTCTCACCTCATGAATTTTCATACGGAATCTCTTCGTATATGTTTTGTCATGATTTCTTCATCGTAATGAACGTATATGCTTTGTCATGATTTCATCGTAAATGATTGTCAAACATGAACGTAAATGATTTGTCGAAACTTCATCGTATATGTTTTGTCATGACTTCTTCGTATATGCTTTGTCATGATTTCTTCATCGTAATGAACGTTAATGACTTTGTCAAACATGAACGTAAATGATCCAAAAATAATGTTTAGGTGAAGTGGTGAGATCTCACCTCTTTTCTCACCTCTTTTCTCACCTCATGAATTTTCATACGGAATCTCTTCGTATATGTTTTGTCGTGATTTCTTCATCGTAATGAACGTATATGCTTTGTCAAACATGAACGTAAATGTTTTGTCATGATTTCATCGTAATGAGCGTAAATGATTTGTCGAAACTTCATCGTATATGTTTTGTCATGACTTCTTCGTATATGCTTTGTCATGATTTCTTCATCGTAATGAGCGTAAATGATCCAAAAATAATGTTTATGTTAGAATGTTAGATCTCACCTCTTTTCTCACCTCTTTTCTCACCTCATGAATTTTCATACGGAATCTCTTCGTATATGTTTTGTCATGATTTCTTCATCGTAATGAACGTATATGCTTTGTCAAACATGAACGTAAATGTTTTGTCATGATTTCATCGTAATGAGCGTAAATGATCCAAAAATAATGTTTATGTTAGAATGTTAGATCTAACACCTTTTCTAACATGTTTTCTAACATGGAGGATTTCATCTGATATACACATTCTTCCTTCATTTCATTCTATACACAATTTACATCATAGACGATTTAATAGATATAATACTTTACTGTTTCATCTGATATAAACATTCTTCCCTAAACATTATTTTAGGTAAAGTCCATCAAATATTTTTAGGATACTTTCACCAAATAATGTGTATATCAGATGAAATCCTCCATGTTAGAAAACATGTTAGAAAAGGTGTTAGATCTAACATTCTAACATAAACATTATTTTTGGATCATTTACGCTCATTACGATGAAATCATGACAAAACATTTACGTTCATGTTTGACAAAGCATATACGTTCATTACGATGAAGAAATCATGACAAAACATATACGAAGAGATTCCGTATGAAAATTCATGAGGTGAGAAAAGAGGTGAGAAAAGAGGTGAGATCTAACATTCTAACATAAACATTTTTGGATCATTTACGCTCATTACGATGAAGAAATCATGACAAAGCATATACGAAGAAGTCATGACAAAACATATACGATGAAGTTTCGACAAATCATTTACGCTCATTACGATGAAATCATGACAAAACATTTACGTTCATGTTTGACAAAGCATATACGTTCATTACGATGAAGAAATCATGACAAAACATATACGAAGAGATTCCGTATGAAAATTCATGAGGTGAGAAAAGAGGTGAGAAAAGAGGTGAGATCTCACCACTTCACCTAAACATTATTTTTGGATCATTTACGTTCATGTTTGACAAAGTCATTAACGTTCATTACGATGAAGAAATCATGACAAAGCATATACGAAGAAGTCATGACAAAACATATACGATGAAGTTTCGACAAATCATTTACGTTCATGTTTGACAAATCATTTACGATGAAATCATGACAAAGCATATACGTTCATTACGATGAAGAAATCATGACAAAACATATACGAAGAGATTCCGTATGAAAATTCATGAGGTGAGAAAAGAGGTGAGAAAAGGTGTTAGATCTCACCACTTCACCTAAACATTATTTTTGGATCATTTACGTTCATGTTTGACAAAGTCATTAACGTTCATTACGATGAAGAAATCATGACAAAGCATATACGAAGAAGTCATGACAAAACATATACGATGAAGTTTCGACAAATCATTTACGTTCATGTTTGACAAATCATTTACGATGAAATCATGACAAAGCATATACGTTCATTACGATGAAGAAATCATGACAAAACATATACGAAGAGATTCCGTATGAAAATTCATGAGGTGAGAAAAGAGGTGAGAAAAGGTGTTAGATCTCACCACTTCACCTAAACATTATTTTTGGATCATTTACGTTCATGTTTGACAAAGTCATTAACGTTCATTACGATGAAGAAATCATGACAAAGCATATACGAAGAAGTCATGACAAAACATATACGATGAAGTTTCGACAAATCATTTACGTTCATGTTTGACAAATCATTTACGATGAAATCATGACAAAGCATATACGTTCATTACGATGAAATCATGACAAAACATATACGAAGAGATTCCGTATGAAAATTCATGAGGTGAGAAAAGAGGTGAGAAAAGAGGTGAGATCTCACCACTTCACCTAAACATTATTTTTGGATCATTTACGTTCATGTTTGACAAAGTCATTAACGTTCATTACGATGAAGAAATCATGACAAAGCATATACGAAGAAGTCATGACAAAACATATACGATGAAGTTTCGACAAATCATTTACGTTCATGTTTGACAAATCATTTACGATGAAATCATGACAAAGCATATACGTTCATTACGATGAAATCATGACAAAACATATACGATGAAATCATGACAAAGCATATACGTTCATTACGATGAAGAAATCATGACAAAGCATATACGTTCATTACGATGAAGAAATCATGACAAAACATATACGATGAAATCATGACAAAGCATATACGCTCATTACGATGAAGAAATCATGACAAAGCATATACGTTCATGTTTGACAAATCATTTACGATGAAATCATGACAAAGCATATACGATGAAATCATGACAAAACATATACGATGAAGTTTCGACAAAGCATATACGAAGAAGTTTATTTCCTGTGTTGTTGTCAAAATGTCATGTTGTCTCATTTTTTCAGAGAAGTTAATTAACCTGGTAGCACATGGTGACCTGGTGACACCCTCAGTTCTTCAAAAATAATTCATAACTGCCTTCCTCCTGTGTTGTTGTCAAACATGAACGAAAACATTATTTTTGGTTCATTTACACTCATTACGATGAAATCTTGACAAATCATTTACGATAAAATCATGACAAATCATTTACGATGAAATCACGACAAAACATATACGTTTAGTTTCGATGAAATCATCATGACAAAGCATATACGAAAGTTTGACAAAACATATACGTTCATGTTTGACAAAACATGTACGATGAAATCTATGAACATAATAATATTTCAAACCAGGAGCCAAATTCTTGCGATTTTCGAATGGAATCTCTTCCCCCGGTTTTCCGAGGTAAGCAATCATGACAAAACATTTACGCTCATTACGATGAAGAAGTCATGAAAATTCAATGAGTGAGAAAAGAGGTGAAAAAACGGGTGAGATCTCACCTCTTCACCTAAACATTATTTTTGGATCATTTACGCTCATTACGATGAAGAAATCATGACAAAACATTTACGCTCATGTTGACAAAGCATATACGATGAAGTCATGACAAAACATGTACGCTCATTACGATGAAGAAGTCTTGACAAAACATTTACGCTCATTCCGATGAAGAAATCATGACAAAACATTTACGCTCATTACGATGAAATCATGACAAATCATTTACGTTCATGTTTGACAAAGCATATACGCTGAAATCATGACAAAGCATATACGTTCATGTTTGACAAAGCATATACGATGAAATCATGACAAAGCATATACGTTCATGTTTGACAAAGCATATACGATGAAGTCATGACAAAACATGTACGTTCATGTTTGACAAAGCATATACGAAGAAGTCAAGACAAAACATTTACGATAAAATCATGACAAAACATTTACGCTCATTACGATGAAGAAATCTATGACAATACATGTACGATTAAATCATGACAAAACATATACGAAGAAGTCTTGACAAAACATTTACGAAGAAATCTATGACAAAACATATACGCTCATTACGATGAAGAAATCTATGACAATACATGTACGATTAAATCATGACAAAACATATACGAAGAAGTCTTGACAAAACATATACGTTCATTACGATGAAGAAATCTATGACAAAACATATACGATTAAATCATGACAAAACATATACGAAGAAATCTATGACAAAACATATACGAAGAAATCTATGACAAAACATATACGCTCATTACGATGAAGAAATCTATGACAATACATGTACGATTAAATCATGACAAAACATATACGAAGAAATCTATGACAAAACATTTACGCTCATTACGATGAAGAAATCTATGACAAAACATTTACGATGAAATCATGACAAAACATGTACGATGAAATCATGACAAAACATTTACGATTAAATCATGACAAAACATTTATGTTATACAGTAATGTTAGTCATGAATGTTTGTCCTACGTGTTGGCGTTAGTGTTGAAAATAATGTTTGTCCTACATGAAGCCGTACAAGCGTTTGAATTTGTTTATGCATAAAATTACTCTCTTGTTTTCTGTATCTATCATACAAACATAAGCAGCACCTGTTTTTGTAAAGTTTATATGAAGTTTTCGATAGTTAAGACCTGTATAATAATAGAATGCGTCCTCAATATCTTCTTCCTCACTGAACTCGTCAATATTTTCACTAGCTCCTTCTGTAATGTTTTCATCGGCATTGTCATTGACTTCTTCTGTAATGTTAGATGTTGTTGTTTCGCTCATGTTCTTTCACTAATGTTAAAAGTTATGTTGTACGAATTTTGAACAGAATTTAGAGCAGTTATGAAACAATGAAGTACTTTTACGCTATTGAAAGGAACTATGAGAGTGAAGTACATGACAGCAATGACAAAAGGAACTAATATCAAACCTAATGAAATCGCTCACGAGGACATAGAGCTTAACAAGTATTTTGTGGAGTATCTTATAAGTGAAGAGTATGTAAGACCTTACTTCATGTTTGACAGCATGAATGAGGATGTTATTTCATGGTTAAAGAATATAAGCAATGTTTTCGGTAAGTACGTCATAGATGACAAAGGTCTTGTTGTATTTTATGAGACAGCAATACGAACACAGGAACTAATGGATATTATGCATTCAACAGCAAAGAAAGGATTTAGTACTATTGGCATGAATGAACATTGCAGGAATGACATATACAACCTATGCTCACGAAAGCCTTACACAAAAGCAATACAAATGATAGAACATAAGCGTCTAAGGTCAGCAAATGAAATCATTACTGTCAGTGGTTATGAAAGAACTGTTAGCAAAGATGAGTGGAAACAGCTATTCATATTAAGGAAGGACGTTGCTGAACTAGTTAAACCTGTTGCACAAACATTGTTTCAGATAAGACCAGCAATGACTAAGAACCCTTTGACCTTAGTCAATGAGACCATAGAGGTTGAAGATAATGACATGAAAGAACTAGGAATGAATGAGAGAAGTTGTGAAGGATGTTTGAGTCAAAACACATGGTTCTTCAGAGCTGTTAAGAAACTTAGTAAAGAACGACAGAAATATTTTATAGAGAAGTATTGCAAAGGATGTGTAAATGAATTGCTTGAAATAGAACTTAGAGACACTTTCACACTAAAGGACTTGAGAAGAAATAAGTACATGAGTGAAGAAGGTATTGACATAGTTAGTGTTATAAATGACTTAAGAAGATGTGTTGTTGTTATTGACGGAGCACGTATGACATATCTAGTGAAAGATTATGATGGAATACGAGACACAACAACACTTGTATCAATAGATAGCAAGGAATTCAATAAGCTCATGAAGAGTGTTTATGTAGGACGTATTGAGGAGAAGGATGTGAACGCACTGATGATTTATGAAGCGGGTCAGAACAAGAACTATCTTATGAAGTCAGGCATGAGATTCTTTGACGAAAGAGATGACATTTACAGCTATTTCAGAGGATATGAGTATGAGGTACTGAATGAAGTAGATGAAAGCGTTATTGAAGGATATTTGAAACATGTTCACGATGTCATATGTAATGAGGATGAAGAGCTTTATGAGTATGTTTTGAACTGGTTCGCCTACATCGTTCAAAATCCTTGTGGAAAGACTGGAACAGTACTTTTGTTAATAGGAAAGCAAGGAACTGGTAAGAATGTACTTAGTAATGTTCTATGCGAGCTCATTAGCAAGTACGCCAACAATAATATAACGGCAATAGAGAATGTGGTTGGTAGATTCAATGCTGCTATTGAGAACATGAAGCTCGTCGTATGCAATGAACTAAGCTCATGCGATACGTCTAAGGTCATGAACCACGACGCACTAAAGTCAATAGTAACAGAGACTCAGTTGGACTTAAATCAGAAGTGTCAGCCAGTAAGAAAGATAGAGAATGTTTGTAATATCATCATGATATCTAACAACTTCAACTCAGTAAAGATTGATAAAGACGACAGAAGATTTGTTGTCATTGACGTAAGCAGCAGATACAAAGGAAATTACGAATATTTCTCAAATCTCATTGAAAGCTTTAATGAAGAGTTTTATTCAAACTTACTGACGTACTTCATGAAGAAAGATTTAAGTGAATTTGATGTAAGGAAGATACCATTCACCAGGGCTAAACAAGAACTCATCGAAATGAACAAAACACCTTACCAAATGTTTTACGAGGAGTTCTATGAAAAGTTTGTATCCGGATGGAATTGTACAGAGTGCTACAGAAGATATAAAGAATTTGCGAAGGACAATGAATTCTTTGCATGTAGTTCAAATGTATTTGGTGGCAAGATGAGAGAATTTGTGAAAAGAAGTAGAAAGCGAGACGGTTCTGCAAGAAGTTATATTTACGAAGCAAGTATGATATTAGAAGGTCGTGGAAAGAAAGAAACAGTGAATTATGAGGAAGTGATTGAAAAATTCATGGAGTACATGGGAAGCAATATAACATACAACAAAGACATATACAGTGAGTTTAAGTACTACTGTGAACAGCATGAGATTGAAGTAATGAGTAAAGGAGACTTTGAAACGCTTATGAAAGACAGTGAGGAGGTCATACATGAGAACAGTGATGAAATAGTTCATGAGAACAGTAAGGAGGTCGTTCATGAGAACAGTGATGAAATAGTTCATGAGAACAGTGAGGAGGTCATACATGAGAACAGTGATGAAATAGTTCATGAGAACAGTAAGGAGGTCGTTCATGAGAACAGTGATGAAATAGTTCATGAGAACAGTGAGGAGGTCATACATGAGAACAGTGATGAAATAGTTCATGAGAACAGTAAGGAGGTCGTTCATGAGAACAGTGATGAAATAGTTCATGAGAACAGTGAGGAGGTCATACATGAGAACAGTGATGAAATAGTTCATGAGAACAGTAAGGAGGTCGTTCATGAGAACAGTGATGAAATAGTTCATGAGAACAGTGAGGAGGTCATACATGAGAACAGTGATGAAATAGTTCATGAGAACAGTAAGGAGGTCGTTCATGAGAACAGTGATGAAATAGTTCATGAGAACAGTGAGGAGGTCATACATGAGAACAGTGATGAAATAGTTCATGATGTCGTTCGTGAAGAAGCCATTGCAACAAAGAATGAGATAAAGGATTTCATAGAACTTAACAAGGAGGAGTTTAAAGAAGGCTATGAAGTGAAAAGATGTGAAGAAGATTTCTTGGCGTATTTGAAGAAAAAGAGACTAAAGCCAATGGCTCAAAATAAGTTTCAATCGATGTTTGAAAAGAAACGTTTGAGCTATGGTGGTGTAAGAAGCACATATTACTTTGTTAAGAAGTGAGGACATTTATTTTTGTCGTTAGTGTTGGAGTTTGTGTTTGTTGTTAGTGTTTGTCATTTGTGCTGAAGTTAGTACTTGTCGTTAGTGTTGGAGTTTGTGTTTGTTGTTAGTGTTTGTCATTTGTGCTGAAGTTAGTACTTGATGTTAGTGTTGGAGTTTGTGTTTGTTGTTAGTGAGAGAATAAATTAAATCATAAACTTTGCCATGGTCTCTGTCCCTAGTAGTTTTCATTAAGTTCTGGAAATAATGAAAGTCATGAACTTTGCCATGGTCTCTGTCCCTAGTAGTTTTCATTAAGTTCTGGAAATAATGAAAGTCATAAACTTTGCCATGGTCTCTGTCCCTAGTAGTTTTCATTATCTCACAGAATTAATGAAAGTCATACTTTCTATCAGATGAAGCATGCAGATGAACAATAATGAAAGTTAGTGAGTTTGCCACGAGTTATGAATAAAATATTGACATATTAGATGAGATAGTTGATGAAACAGGTGAAGATAAATTAAATCTTGGACTTTGCCACACTCTGTCCCTAGTTCCTCAAAATCCTTGACAACGTTGCTTAGAAATTTTGGTTCAAAACCTCATCTGATTTTAATCCGTTATGCTACCTGTTAAGTTTCGCGAGATTATAAATGTCATGGAGTTATATAAAAAGGAGGGACAGCTAGGGACACTGGAAGTACTTGTAAGGCTATCTGTTAAGATTGCATGAAATACTAAAAAGTCATGAAATCCATTATCGCTGTGCTAGCTTCACCTTAGAGTAAAATGACGACTAAAGTCACTGAAGCAATGAAACAAAAGTTTTTGGTAGAATACCTTAAATCAGGAACTATTCCAGAAGGTTTTTACATTCATACTATGAAAGATGGTAGAGTTCAGTTTAGAAAGATAAAGCAACCATTAGATAAAGAAGGAATTTTGAGAAAGATTAAACTTCATGAGGACAACATTGCTGAACTTAAGAAGAAGTTAGAAGAGTTGGAGAAAGGAAGAGAGTTATAAAGTAATGAATTCAAGTGGGTGAAAAAACAGGTGAAAAAAGAGGTGAGATCTCACCACTTCACCTAAATTTAAATGGATGTTTTCATACGTGTGAGGGTGGTGATATCATTAATTTTAAGTTTATTTTTTATTTTATTTTTATTTTATTTTTATATAAATGACGAAAACTATTGAGATAACAAACTACAACGGTCATGAGTTCAAGAATTTGTTCTTCGTTCCTCGTGAAAATACATTCTATCAGATACGAGGGAGAAAGGGTAAAGTTAGTTTGAGCGTTTATGAAGGAATGAAGAATGGAAAGTTTATACAAGCATACGATACAAACGGTAAGCGTGTTTCATTAGCTTTGTCAAAACTTACTAACATTTATTTTGACAGTGACTTTGACTCTGACGATTGGAGCGACAGCAGCGATACTGAAGAATATGAACTATTGTGTGAAGCACAGCAATGGGAAGAGTTGCAATACTTTTGTAAGTGAGAACGTTTATTTTTTACAGTAGTGAGGTGAAGTGGTTGGCGGCTTTATAAATATTTAAGGTTAAGTTGGTGTTTGTGTTTGTGTTGTAAAATATACGTTAACGGTTTTGTAAAGTGTCAAATTCACAAGTATTGCGTATGGAGGAACGCAGTGCCTCCATACACGAGACTTGTATACTAACTGTGATATAGAGGTTAATATATCATTTGTTGATTATGATGCAGAAAAACCTCTTGTTGTCTTCATTAGTCAATCAAGAGAACAGATCGAATATAGCAGTGGTAAGAAAATGGATGACACTATTCCTTCTTCAGGTGTAGATTCAGAGCAAACCAAAACATACAAATTCCCTTTCCATACAAATGATGGACTTAAAGATATCCCAATCAAAGTTTGGATTGCTGATAATGAGAGACGTGATTTAAGGACCGGCCCATTGGAAACTTCTTTCAACTTTTCTGCACCTCCCAAAATTGATCCAGATTTCAATGCTGTCCTAGATAGAACTTATAAACTCGGAGATCCAATTGAAATAAATACAACTATTACAGATGAAACATTTGGTAATATCAAATTCTTTATTGATGGTAAAGAGCAGAATGATAAACAGCCATACACTGTTGAATCAAATGGTAAAGTAACATTAAAGCTCAGTTTGACACTACCAAATGATATTAAATATAACTCACATAATTTAACAATCCAAGCATATGATGAATATAATACTTATTCAGCTGTATCAAAGCCATTTGAATTCTACATCAGGAATCAACCAGAAATTGGTGAACTTACAGTAAGCAACGACACAGTTGAATTTGATGATCAAGTGATTTATGTAACAGGTTCCTTCACAGACAAAGATAATGGAAAACAACTCACATTCTATCAGCACATTGAAGGAAGAACAGAAATCCACGATATTGCTCTTGAACCAATTAAGCATTCTAATGGAGGAGATAATCAGCAACTTAATTTCACAATTAAGAACCTTCCATTATTAGAAACAGGCGAATACACTATCTATATTTGGGCCAATGATGGTGAAAAAAAGAGATATAGGGTGTCCAAAGGTGTGTTTAGCACAAACCTGAATACTGTGAATAGAAATAAACAAGTTACATATATATAAAGTTTATTTAAATATAATCACCATTGGATTCAATCACGCGTTCGCAGCGATCGATCCAGGCTTGAAAGACACGCTTTAAATCATCATGAGAAAATTGCTCAAATTGCTCTCTTACAAAATTTTCAAGATCATCTGGACTCGCGAATTCGCGTCCTTCAGCTCTCTTTTTTAGCGTGCCGAATAAATAAAAGTCAGAGGGTGCAATATCAGGTGAATAAATTGGGTTTGGAACAACTTTGACATTGTTTTCCACCAAGTAATTCATTACCTTATGACTTTTGTGAACTCTTGAATTATCAAAATGAATTGCAAACTTTTGTTTTTGTTGTTTGGATTTCTCAAACTCATCAGAATTGATAATTTGAGTAAGAACATTGTCAATTAGATACTGAGCATTCATCGTATTAGGTTTTTGAAGAATATCAATTGCGATGATGCCATTCACGCCCCAAAAAACCGACAACATAATCATTGGTGTGTCAATTTTTTTCTTCGGGAATGTTTGCGGATTTTCATCCTTCGGGATCCACATGATTTTGGCTTCTGTTGCATATTGAAACCAAGACTCGTCCCCTGTTACTAAAAAGCGAAACTTCTTGGATTGATACGCACCCAATATAGAGAGGAGCTCTTTCGAAGATTGGACTCTAGATTTTTTTTGAACTGAATTAAGGTTGTGCGGAACCCAACGTGTATACGCTAGTTTGTAGTTCAAATAATTGTGCATATAATAACTGACTGTTGTACGTGGTATCTTTGTCATCTCCTCTATCCTTCTGAGTGATGCTCTTGGGTCTTCATCTAGCGCTTGAAGAATTGCTTTGATTTTTCTTTGATCCGGCGATTTTTTGTCAATTTTTATGATGGGCGCCTTTTTGTTCATGAAGTGATACATCCTAACATGATACGTTACAGTGGAATAGCTAGGAGCATCCATACCGAAGCATTTTACCAATGTCTCGTAGATTTTTTTACAGTCTTTGCATTTTTTTGCAAGAGCGAGGATGTTTTCTTTATGATTCATTAAAAAAATGAAAAAAATCCCGCCAAAATTTCCCGCGAAACCGCCTCTTGTCTCAAAATTCATTTTATATCCCGGCATGGCGCCAAAATACAACATACTCATCATATACATATATTCATATTTTTTATTATATATTTATAATCAGCATATATCTCCTTTAATAGTCTCATATAGAGCGCTGTGCTAAACGCACCTTTGGACACCCTATATTCTACATCAAATAGAAAATCGGTTCATATCAGAAATATCAATAATCCAGATATTTTTATAGGTTTCCCAACTCAAAACGTATATACAAAGGGTTCAAATGTTAAACTTGATCTTGATGTCAGAAAAGCAGACGAAGGTGGAAAGTTTATTGTCAGTCTCGTCAATCTTTCCAAAGATGCATCTGTAGTAACAAAAGTAACAAAATATTCATATTCAGGAGCAGAAAGACTCACAAGAGATTTACCAGTTCCTTACGATTATGGATCATACAAATTAATCATCAGAGCTGAAGGTAATAAATATACATTTTCTCAAAACTTTGAATGGAATTTCTTCATCAGACATTCACCACAATTGACAGCCTTTTCATTTAAACCTACAACAGCTGGAAATGGTGATGAAGTTACATTCAAATACGATTTTACAGATAGCGATTGGGACAAACCACTATATTTCTATTACAAGATTGGCAGTACAATCAGATATCTTGGAAATAGCATATCTGTTCCATCATCTAGTCAGACATATTCTTTCTCATCAAGATTAATTCAATTTGATGTTTCAGGAAAGACAACAATTGAAGGCTGGATCCAATCAATCCAGAATGACAATCCAACTGAACCACTTGATAAATCGAATCCAAGATCCAGTGATTTTAACTATACATCACCACCAACCATAGAAAAGATGAGCAATCTCAAACCATACTATGGTTATGGCGAACCAGTTTCAATCACAGTTTTGATCCGAGATGAATCAACAGGTACAGTCAATGTTAAGTTCGGAGAAACAATTGTTCATTCTGAAAGATACACATCATCTCAAGGTACAGCCAAACCAACATTAACATTCACTTTCAATAACACATTCCGTGATGAACAAATGGTTAAAGTTCAAGTTTTAGATGAGTTCCAGAGACCATCCGAAATCTTAATCGGATCGTTCATGATTAAGAACAAACCATACCTTACAAGCGTCAAAATAACACCAGAAAAAGTATTAGAATCAGAATCGCTTAGCATCGAAGGTATTTTCAATTATCCAGATAAAAACAAGAAAGTCAACATGAAGGCTAAACTCAATAATAAAGTTGTATACGATCCAATCCTTAATGTACAACTTTCAACAGGTGAAGAAAACCAGAAATACCAGAAATGGTCATTGCCATTATCTCAATTCCAAGGATTAGCACCAGGAACAAATTATAATATGGACTTTTGGCTTGTTACCGAAGACTATGTCCAAACTACAGATGATTATAGTGAAGCAACAGATATTCTGAATAGATCTACTTCAAACAAGGTTCAAGGATCATTCAGAATTTCATTCGCTCCAGAATTATCAATCAATGAAAATACTGTAATGAAATACTACAATAGCGAAGCAAATAGTTTCCCGGTTTCAGGATCAGTTAAAGGTGATGGCAGTGTTAAGATTTATGCAATTTATAATGGCCAAGAAAGCGAAATCGGAACAGTAGAAGCAGTCCAAAACGGTAAAACATTTGGTCCATTGACATTTACATTCTCCAGTGATAAGACATACGGCGAGAAGCTTGTTATGTTCCGTGCTGTTGATGCTAGCTCAAAGAATAGTTCAGATGTTTCTATGAAATTCTATATCAAGAACAAACCAACATTATCCGATGTATCTGTTAACCCGAACCCAGCAGAATTAGGTTCTAAGGTAACTATCGAAGGCACAGTTACAGATGTTGATGCAAGGAAACAGGTCTATGTCCACATCAAGTATGGAACAAACAGTGTTACAACTATTCCAAATATTGTTTCAGGACAGAAGTTTAGCACTCAGATCCGTGTCAACACTCTTGGAGTGGAAACATTCAATATCTTCGCATCTGATAACAGCGATCCTAATTCTACACCTGTATCTGAATACGATCAATCTGGAGTAGAACAAAAGAAGATCAATGTAACATCAAAACCAATCCTTTACGTATCAAATCCATCAGGATCCAACATATTCCATCGTATTGATCGCCCATTAGTTCTCAAAGTCAGAATGTCAGATGATGACACAGTTACAGTTAAATACACATTGAACGGAACACCATTGGATAGCATTTCAAAGACTGTCTCCTTAAACGGTAGGACAGTTGAAGAAAACGTCCAAATTCCAATCACTGATTTGAAATATTCAACTAAGTACACAGTCAAAGTTATGCTCACTGATAGCTATGGATTCGAATCAGAATATGTTCATTCATATGATTTCTACATCAAGACCAAGCCAACATTATCTGATGTAACAAATCACAATAAGATCCTTCTTGGAGGCGAGAAGATAAATGTTACAGGTATTGTTAATTGCGAAGATGTAGGAAGGAAACTATACGTCCATGTTAGATATGGTCAAAACATTTATGTCACAAATAGCAACGTCGAAATCGGAAAACAATTCTCATGCGAAATTCCTGCAGGAGAAGTCGGAGAAATGAAATTCTATGTTTTCGCATCAGATAATTCTGATCCACAATTTGATCCACTCACTCCAATGGACAAATCAGATACCATAGAATTATCTTCCAAAGTTACATATAGACCTTCAATTATCTTTAACCCGCCAGAATACCCAGATCACGTATTTAACTCAAAGAGACGTTTATACCTTTCTCTGGAGGTCTTTACTGATGCAGATTTCGTTGTTAACTATATGCTCAATGGTACAAATCTTACATATCTTTCAAGGTATGTAAAACGAAATACATGGAATGATAGAACATATATTTATCTTGATGAAGTTCAACAAAGTAACATACCAACAGCATACACTAATGAAATCAGAATTAATGTTGTTGATATTAATGGATATCAATCAACCAACACAGCATTTTATTCATTCGTTATTAAGAACAAACCAGTACTTACCAATGTCACATGTTCACCAAATCCAGTAATTCTTGGTGGAGATGTAACTATCAAAGGTATTGTTGAAGATCCAGATAACAATGAGAACCTTTACGTTCATGTCAGTAATCATAATGACGCAACAATTCCTGTCAAGCCATCTCAACAATTCACAACAAAGATCACTGCTAACAAGCGCGGAAAGATGGTTTTCAGCGTAGTTGTTAATGAATTCAGTGATCCAAACCAGGATACAGATAATGAATACATGAAATCTGATGTTGTTACTTTTGAAGTCAATGTTACATCCAAACCAGAACTCAGTGTCAAATATCCAGAAGGTTCCAACTACTTCAATAAAAACGATAAACCATTAGTTGTTGAAGTAACAGCAACAGATGACAGAGAAGCTACTCTTAAGTTTATCCTTAACGACAGAGAATTAACCAGTATTGAAAAGACAATTAACTTCAATGAAGAGGAAATAGTTGAAAGATTTACAATTCCATTCACATTCGTATCATATGGAACCAAGAATACACTCAGTGTTAAACTTGTTGATAGCTATGGCGTAGAAGCCGATCCTGTTCCTTCATACGAATTTTACATTAAGAACAAACCAATTCTTCGCAGTGTTCAAATCAGCCCGAAGAATGTCCTTCTAAACCAGGACGTTACTTTAACAGGATATATTGCTGATATGGATGATAACAAGCCACTTTATGTTCACATTCAGTTTTCAAATGGCAAATTCCAAACAATTCATAATCTTTATAGAAACGCACCATTCAGCGAAAAAATTACAGCTAGCCAACTTGGCCAAATGGACATGACAATCTTTGCATCAGATAATGCAGATCCAACAGCTGAAGATCAAACAGGATTTGATTTCTCAGCTCAGTTTCAAGAATCATTCAGAGTTACATCAAAGCCAACATTATCCGTTCAGAATCCATCAGGTGACAATTCATTCAACAAAGATCATCCACTCACATTCAGATGCACAGTATCAGATGATACAACAGCAACACTTCAAGTTTATTTGGGCTCATTCCCATTAAACAATCTCTTCAGAACAAATAACTTCAACGGAAACTCTCAGACATACGATATCACTGTTCCAATTAACAATTTGAATTATGCTGTTAAATATAAAGTTTACATCAAAGTTGTTGATGAATTTGGCTTTGTTTCCGAAACAATTCACGAATTCCCATTCACAATCAAGAACAAACCAGAAATCACATCAATTAACTTTGCTGTTCCATTTGTCAATGCCGTATACAGTGCTAAAGTATCAGGTGTTGTCAATGACTTAGATAAGCGCAAACTCTTGCACTTATACATTGTCGACAATGACAAGTCAGAATATGTTGGCACAGTCTCATCAAATGGTGGCAATCGCAACTTCGAGTTCGATGTTCCAATTGATGCAGCTACTGCAGCTTCTACAAAGAGCTACAACTTCGTCTTCTCAGATTTAAAGCCTCTCGATTCATCTGCATCCGAGTACTCTAAATCAAAGCAGAAGTCCGCAAACGTCATTGTTACATTCGCACCACAGTTAACATACACACTTCCAAAGACAGAGTTCTTTGAGTCAGGAAAGACAATGGAAATCTCTGGTACAATCACAGCTGATAAGTTCGTCACAATGAAGTACAAGGTTGACGAAGATGATTTAGCTGCAAGAGATGATATCGCAATGAGAAATAAGGATCAGACATTCGAAAAGGCCGTTCCAATCCCAACTAAGTGCAAGAAGGGAATCCACGACTTGTATGTCACAATCATCGACTCAAATGATCAGATGACAACAGTCAAGGAAACATTCATGATCAAGAACAAACCAGTTCTTTCTAATGTCCAGATCTCAAAGAGCCAGTACACTAAGTTAGAGGTCATCACAGTTTCAGGCAAGGTATTAGATCGTGATCTTGGTGATGATCTTAACTTCTATGTCCAGTTCGGAGATGCCAAAGAAGTTTTGGCAGCAACAATGAAATCTTCCGGCGAAGAAGAAGATTTCACATTCGATGTCAGAGTTCCAGCTGAAGTCGAATACGGTAACACATCAATCAAAGTTCATGTCACAGATGTTGACATGTTTTCATCAGAAAATAGGTTAATGAAGTTCGAAGTTGTCGTTCCAGCAAGAACACCAGCTCCAACACAAGGAATTGACAACAACCAAGAAAACCAGGATGGAAGCAAGGGAGGATCATCATCATCTTCCTCTAAGTCTAGCCACAAGGCATTCATCGCAGCAGTCGGTGTCGCTTGCTTCATCCTTCTCTGCTTATTCCTCCTCTTCATCGTCTACAGAGTCAAAGTCAGCAGAATGAAGAATTCTCAGGAAACACCAGATAACGAGGAAACAGTTATCTCTACAGCTGGTGGCCAAACAACAATGGATAATCCAACATCCACAAGAAGCAAGAACAAGGAAATCTCAGATGATGATGAAGAAATTAACGAACAAAACATCGTTATGGTTTAAGCCTAGTTTAATTTTTTAAAAAGGATTTTTTTAATTTAATTTATTTCTCTTTTTAAAGTTTTTTAATCATAATAAGATTAATAATTTTATTTGCTTTGAAGATATTTTTATTATGATGAAATTGATCGGAAATACATTTATTAATGAGGCTATTTTCAGATCTGACTAAAACATGGTCAAATCATTGTTAGTTCATCTTTGTATGCATCAAGGAAGAAAATGAGAATAACCTTCTGTGAATTAACAACAATTTCATGGAAACTCAAAAGCTTAAATTGCTAATTAGAAGAAGGTAATAACTTTTACGCAAACGTCTATCTTCTTAAGCTTTGAATTTCTGGAATAAGACATATTTGTCATGATAGAAGTCATATTTTTGGGTCGATTCCAGTTTTGTTAAATAATCGTTGACCTTCCAGTTTTGTTAAATAATCGTATTTTAAACGTACACTTTTTTCATTTTAGACCAACCATATACAATATACTCGATTTATGCAGGTGGAGTTTTGTTATGTGTTGTGACAAGTTTAAATTTTACTTTTCAATTGTTATCACCAAATTCGCATATATTCGAAATTTCGAATTCTTCTACCTCAGATCTCAAACTTCATTTATCTCATTCACGTATGCAGTTATTCAAAATTTCGTTAAGTATTAATCGATATCTTAAATACAGCAAAAGATTATTTATTAAATTATGAATCGAAAAAGATTCTTACGATTTACCTTGGTTTATTTGATTTCATAGTCTATTTTGACTTAAAGGACAATCTTACATTGAATTACAACCCATAATTCAAATTAAATTTAAATTTTTTAATCTAAATTTGCTCAATGAGTTTACAAATGTAAAGCATGTCCTAAATCTTTACATTTCTAAACTCATTGAGCAAATTTGGAGTACTTATTTGCTAAATGCAATATTTCAAACTACAAGTTTACTAAATGAGTTTACAAATGTAAAGCTTATACAAAAGCTTTACATTTGTGAGCTTATTGAGTAAATTCGAAGCACTTTTTTCTCAATGCAATATTTCAAACTACAAGTTTACTAAATGAGTTTACAAATGTAAAGCATGTCCTAAATCTTTACATTTCTAAACTCATTGAGCAAATTTGGAGTATTTTTTTCTCAATGCAATATTTCAGACTACAAGTTTACTAAAAGAGTGTTTTTTATTGATACTGATCAAATTTCATTATACATTTCAGTTGTATTTATTATAAAATCTCTCTTTTTCATACATTATATCATTGATTTCCACAAATTTTTAATTCAAACCATATTATACTTTAATCCCCACCTATTTTAATAGTCTTTATTTGACACAGAAATTTATAAAATCCTTTATATATTGTTAAATCTGTAATTTTTTTCTTCAAATTTCATTTTTCAATTTTTTTGGATTATTTTTTTCACCAAGAATCATATTATTTTAATTGTATTTTTGATTGGCTTCTAGAATGGCCTTAATTTTTCATTTTTCAATGAAAATATTTCACTTTTTAAATGAGCGAATGAATTTCAACTAATAACTCTTTTATACTTCAAAATTTACAACATCCAAGCTCAGAGATGATGCAAAATCATCAAATACGCTCGTTTCAAGCGCGGATCTTCCAAAAATCTCCAGAATTTTGGATTTTCGCGATCAATCTACAATTTATATACAGTAAATCCAAAAATATCAACAGAAAATTTATCTTATAACATAAAACCTCAATCAAATTACTCTAAAGAGTAGTTTTTCAAAGATTCTCCAAATTTTTGAAGTTCTTTGAGGAATTACTCTTTAAAAGATTGTAATTACGTAACTTTAATACTAGGTAGTTATAAGACCGAAGCTACAGCCTTATAAAGGGCCGTTTTTCCAAGATAATCGAAAACTTCGAATATCTTGGAACTACTGCTCTTTAAAAGACTGTGATTACGTGAATTTAATACTAGATAGTTATAAGACCGAAGCTACAGCCTTATAAAGGGCCGTTTTTCCAAGATAATCGAAAACTTCGAATATCTTGGAACTACTGCTCTTTAAAAGACTGTGATTACGTGAATTTAATACTAGATAGTTATAATACCGAAGCTACAGCCTTATAAAGGGCCGTTTTTCCAAGATAATCGAAAACTTCGAATATCTTGGAACTACTGCTCTTTAAAAGACCGTGATTACGTGAATTTAATACTAGATAGTAATATTACCGAAGCTACAGCCTTTTAAAGGACAGTTTTTCCAAGATATTCTAAAACTTCGAATATCTTGGAACAACTGCTCTTTAAAAGACTACAATTTGTATAAGCTTGGAATCCATTATAATCTACTTACTTGAAATATCTTCTTTTGAATATTATCAAAATACTTTGACAATATCCATAAGAAAGAGCCTCAAATAAAGTAAAATATCCAAGATTCTGATGGGCAATGACTATTTATTAACGAATATTTGCAGTTTTAAGAAATATTTTGTAATTTAAATTTGGACTTATATTTTGAATTTTTAAAATTCGTTTGATTTAGTTTTGTTGTATATCATTGATAACAATATAAGTAATTCGATATGATCTATCAATATCAGCCCGCATTTCTGTATTTATTTGTAATAATTTTAATTTATTTATGATGCTTTTTTGATTTAAAAAATAACTATTGGTGATAATGCATCTGACATATCTCTAGCTTTCTACATCATACTTACCGATTTTGAAGCCAAGAATAAAAACTTTCTCATTGACTTACAAGAAATGTACGTTTAAAAAACGATTATTTAACAAAACTGGAATTCGAGAACGATTATTTAACAAAACTGGAATCGACTCCATATTTTTTGATAAATGAGCATATCTTATGTGAGGTTTGTTTGATATTATCAGTTACGAAAACTTAAAACAGCAATATAAAAATCTGATATGAGCCGAGAAACTAAAAAAATATTTTTCGGATTTTTGAATTCGAATTCAAATTTTCAACAAATAAATCGTCTATTATTCATTCTGATCAAATATGCGTGGAAATCGAAAAGACGTTTGAACTTCAAAACAACTTTTTCAATAATTTACAATAATTTATATATAAATTCTCATTATGTCAGCTCCTGAATCTATTAACGATAAAATGGTAGAGGCTGCTATTGATGCAGCAATGAACTCACCACTTCCAGAAGTTTTCCCTCAGCCGGCTGATATTTCTTATCCAGATAACCCAACATATGATAATTCTGATATGGTTACAGAGCCATTAAACATCAAGGAAGTCAACGATAACGTTATGCACGAAATCAATCATCTTCGTGTCATTTCAAGACTTATTGAAGAATCAGAACAATATATTTCTTTCCTTTACTCATATCGTTCACTTTTCCGTTCTACACGTGCTAGCAAGCTTGTTGCTGAAACTCTCTCCAAGGCGGAAAACTCACAACTCCCTCCAGAAGAAAGACAAAGCGCTATTGAGTTTAAACAGAAGTATCAAGCAGCTTACAAGGCTCATTTCCTTCCTACATACGAAAAGATTAAGAACCTTTTCGAGTTTTGCAACAGATTCGCTAAGACAGTTTATTCAATTATTTCCGACAACGAATACACACCATCAGGTGTTATTTACGAAAAGCTCATGAAGATTTTCTCACTTATTTGGAATATTGACTCTCTCAAGTTGCTTAAGACCGGTTTTAACCTCGATCTTTCAACATACAAGCGTGCCTTCGATCCAAAGGAAATTTCCCAAAATGCGGAACTACAGCAAATCCCAGTCTTCCTTTCTTCTCCACAGGCTTCCATTCTAAAGCTCCAGGATGAAATAGCAGCTGATAAGAAGCAGTCTAGCAAGCTCGAAAACGTTTATAACTGGTGCGCCAACTTACTCAAGTACTTTGTTTCATATTACCGTGACAGAATCCTTACTCCTGATGAGAGATCAACCTGTTTATGCGCCATTGTCTTCGTTCTCCATTTGAGCATCCCAAGCGATAAATTCAGCATCTACCAGGTCGAGTGCATCGATGAAGTCTTCAAGATCCTCAAGGAAAACCCTGTCGTCCCACTTTATGGTGAAAATTCTTTCGTCCCTGGCTACACCCTTCCAAAGGTCCCAGGATTCAAGGAGAGCACCAAGTATCCAATCGTTAAATCCCAGGCTGACCTCGAAGGATACAAGGATACCCTTCTCATCAGAAATAACATGGATGTCTATCGTAAGGACTATTCCGAACAACTCCGTCTTGTCTCAGATATCCCTCGTGATAAGGAAATCAAAGAAAAAAAGCTTATGTCCCTTCTTAAATTCATTTCTACGATGACAGGAGCTATTCAACGCCAAGCCGCCTTCAAGTCAATCAATACAAGTTCAAGCTCACCACAATCCGACAAGAAAGATGCCAAACAATACAAATACGATCTTTGCGTCAAATACAACTACAGTGCTGAAGATTTGGACAGCCTCGTCGAAGTCATTGGCATGATCAAGACAATCTCCTCCATCCTCATCACCTCCGAGCCAAATATCGTCAAATATACCAACAAAATGATTTACGCCAAGGTTCAGGAATACATCCAGAACCAGCTCGAGCGTCCACTCGTTCGTTCCAGAAGCACCAAGTGCAACGGCGAGCGTGAATTGATGGAACATATCCGTGATATCTTCGGTAACTGGGGCAACGTTGGAGATCCAAACAAGAACCTTCCAAAGTCCACAAAGCAGATCAAGACCCACAAGATCGAGCCAGGAAATGTCCCAATTACCGCAAACCAGCTCGATATCCTTCGTATCCAGCTTTCAGCCATGATTCTCCCAGACTCAAAGTTCACAGCCAGAGTCGGAGCATTCACACGCTCTCATTTCCGTCCAAAGCACATTAACATTACAAAGGACTTCCTTGACTCAACAGTGAACTGGTATACTCTTCTCAGCTACGTCTCGACCGTCCGTGCTGCTTCCAACCTTTCATTCCTCTGGCTTCGTGAAACATATCTCGATATCGATGATACTCTTCAATTCCCTGTCAGATCATCACTTCCATTCATTCTTTCCGAGCACATTCTTAAGGTTGGCGACGGTGCAGCCATCAAACCTCAACTCCACGACAATACTTTCTTCCCATTCGAACTTTACAACGATGCAGCTGCTACAGCCATCAACACATTCAAATCTCAATACCTCTACAGAGAAATTGAAGCAGAAGTTTCTCTTTGCGTCGATATGATCGCTTTCACCTTCTCCGATACGTTCTACAAGTTTACGAGAGCTACAGCCTCAGCCATGGAGTTACCTCCTGACTGCCTTAGCCGCATCGTTCCTCCTCCGAACAGATACAATGTTATGGTTTGCCAGAACAGAATGTCCCTTCTTGGTTCCGCAGTCGATTTCAACCAGGTTACCACACAGAAGTTGAATACGAAGATTCGCCAAGAATTGGAGTCATTCATTGAATTATTAACTGATATCAGACTTGCGCCATACATTGCCCACAGAGTAAGAGTTGCTCGTGCATCCCACAACCTTCTTGTCCAGAACAGGTTGTTGATGGACGATTTCGACGTTCTCTGGCAGAAAGCTCGTAATTTCGACAATCCTTTATCAATTGATTCGAAACTTACAGCTGCTATCTGCTCATCCCTCGATTTCCCTCACTACAGACTCAACGTCATCTCCAGAAGACTCCTTCCTCTTTCATTATCCAAGGGACCAACAAATTCGAAGGATAAAGTCTCAATTCCAGTCACTTCCAAGGAGAAATGGGTTGAAGAATACGCAACAATCCACACCCATGAGACAGAATACATCGGTTTGGAACATATCAAGGCTATTATTGATTTATGCTCTCCAGGTGAATTGGCCGCTGTTGTTTCTAAGATTATGGCCAGATTGGAAGACCAAATGATCAAGGTCGTCGAAGTTTATACACAAGTTGCATCTGTCATCAGATTATTGCCAGCAATTTCAAAGGATGATATCTCCGGCTACTTCAACTTCAACCTCGATGCTTACTCATCTATTTCCCATCCAAAGCTTCGTTCTCTTTACGATGGTTTGAGAGCGATCGGAAATACAATTACATTCTTGTTCTATCTTGAATCGGAATTGAAGGTTCAGTCAGGCAGTTCATTCCTCGCTGGCGTTATGCAGATGATTTCTCAATTTATCCTCAGTAAGAAAGAATTATTCTTATCTGACGGAACAATTGACTTAGAAACAACAATGACACACAGATCATTCCCATCCATTTGGTCTGTTCTCGAATTTATGGCTTGCTCACCAGAATTGAAGAATCTCGAAGATAAGGACAAGGAACCAGTCATTATTCTCGATTACGTTGGTGACGGACCAATTGTCGCTGCCCATGTATTCATCACTCTCTGCAACCAGGAAGAACTTTACAAGTTCGACTCAATCTGCTACAGAGCAACACAGCTCAACCTCACTGAACAGAACGTTTCAGTCAACGACCAGTTGACAAAGTTCCTCTACAACGCTTCTGTCGCTGAACAATGCCAGAGATTCGCTGAACTTGTCGCTTCTCCTTACAAGATGAAGATTCAGTAAAAAGATTATTTATCATATATGATTAACTTTTTTTTATTGCTTGGGGAGCTGTGAAATTCAATCTTCTCTTCTTCCATATGCAGCTTAATATCTTGAATCGAATCAACTTTTAAGGGAATGTAGATAGTTTTAATCACATACAAATAAATGAATGTGAGATTTCCTGACAATTTGATGTTTATTTTTTTTTCAATGTGCACAAGAGTTGAAACAATTTTGGGGAGTGAGGTGATACTTGTAATCGAAAGGATATAGCAGAAATCACTTAAATTCCAATGTTTGATATATTTTTCCATCACATAAACTCTTCATTATAATTTTACGCAAATTATGAGCATTATTTATGATATTTTCGGTTTGTTCAATTCCAAATGCGAAGAGTCATTAACAAGAGCTCAAATTTTGATGATTTTGAAATTGCTAAACGTACAGTTTGAAGATGTATGATGCAATGTCTAGTGTGCATCAGGCACCATCAGGCCTGATTTACCTTGCATCGAAAAACGAACCGCCAACAGAGATAAATCCGACGAAACTTAAAACGATTCTTTCGAAATTCAATTGTTATCCTGCAGATTTTCGTAAAGCAATTTGGGAATTCATCTTACAACTCCCACGAAACAAAGAAGCATTCCAATTCTACTGTAATAAAGCGCAACTTCCTCAAGCACGTAAATTATGTTCAGCAAAAGGTTGCAGTCCAAAGTGCCTTACAATTTTCAATGCCCTCATTCATTGGCATGCACCATTAATCAATTGTGATTGGCTTCCGCCTTTCGTAGACAAGATTGTTAACGCTTTTGGAAAAGATCTTTTATTCTGCTTCGAAGTTGTTATAACATTCCTCACAAACTACTTCTCAGAGTGGATATCTGTTGTACCAGGTCCCCCACCTGAAGTTATCTCTCGTATTGATGCCATTTTAGCAGATCGAGATTTACCACTTCGTGAAGCTCTTGGAACAGGTTTTGCTGCATGGCCAGTTTATAGAAGTTGCTTTGCAGAAATCCTTTATGACCAATCTTGGTTTGATTTAATGGATGTCGTTTTCTCATCAAATCCGCAGTTCTTTGAATTTCTTGTTGTCGCTTGGCTTGAAGTTAATAGTGCTCAGCTTCGTCTTGACCATGCTACATTTCATAGTACAAGACGTCCAGCTAATGTAAAGAAATTAGTTCAAGTTGCTCAAGAAATTTGGAAACAAGTGCCAAATTCTTTATTTACTTCAATGATGTTTACTCCTCTAGAGAAAGGGCAATATCCAATCATAGAAGCTTCTACAGATGCTGTTGTTCTTCGTACACTCCAGAGCGATCACGATAAGCTTGCAAATCTTCAGAAGCAGCTCACAGAAGAAAGAAGAGCTGCAGATGAAGCCGAGAAAGTTAAAGCAAGAAAGAAACAGACATTCGATACAATCGAGCAATTACACAGAGCTAATGCCGATGAAGAAAGAATTGAAACTGCTAAGGCTGCTGTTGCTCTTGATACACAGATGAAGCAGATCAGACTCGAAGGCAAGCGTCTTAAGTTAACAGACGAAAGACAATTTATGGAACAATGGATTCACGATTGGGGAAATGGCATCGACACAACATCTCGTTCGATGCAAAATGCATTTGGAGATACAGAAGAAGAGAAGGAAGTTGTCGACAAGGATAGCATAAGAATACAAGCTTTAACAAATATGAGAAGATCAGACAGTTTGATGAGAGATGCAAGAAAGGCATCTGTTGGAAGAACAAAACAGACAAGATCAGAATTAGATGCTCAAAATCATCAAAGAGCATTGCATTCTGAAGTTATGAGACTTGCTAATGATCCTGATTTGTTGATATCTTCGTCAACTAATTTGCAGTCTTCAAAGAAGAATGATGATTAATTTATATATTTGTTTTGAGTATTGTGTATCTTTTTTAAACATTTGTTTAATTTAAGTTAATCTTATGATTTTTTAATGTTGTTTTGTTACATATTAAGGTGATGATCCTTTAATCTGGTGTTGTATGCTTAGAATAGGAATACTGTCGAAAATCATTGAATATTTGGTAAATGTCATTAATTTGGGTTTCACTACTACTCCCAGGAAATTTTGAGTTGAAATTATGATTTTTCTTGATAAATTAATTACGTTAAACGAGGAATAGTATTTCAAATTGATATGGTTCATGAAATTTTATTTTTAAACGTACACTTTTTGGATGGAATGTGATGCATCCAAATGTGAGAAGTGTAGTTCGTTTGTACTTATTCGAAATAAGATAAGTAAGGTCAAATACTTTCAATTGTGGGCCCAAAGACATCATGATTTGCATTCACCAGAATATAAGTTAATCTATGCTTACCAATTTATGAAAAACAAGATTTTATTAGCAAGATCATTTAGAAATTGGAGATTACAGACAAAAATATCAGTCCAACAGAGACAAGAAGAAAATTCGCCCGCATATTTATTAAAAAACGACAAAAGATACCAGGAATTTTTCCATGATCTTCAAGATTTGGCCCTTCAAAATGCTGAACTTGCTACAAAGAGAAATAAAATCAATTATAATATCCAAAAGATTGAAGAAATTATGCCATCTATTCTTGAAAAGCATAAAGAGCTTAAGAATTCATTGATGTTACAGACCTGTAAAAACGAAGAACTTATTCGTCTTAGAGCTGAGAAAAAAGTTCAATTCAAAAAAATCGTTGAGGAGTATACTATAAAGCTAAATGATGCTTCCAAAGTTGAATTTAAGCAAGAAACTCAAAATAATACCACAGATCTTGCTTCCATTAAGAATGCAGAAGATTCATATCAAGCAAAAAATCTGGGCATTAGAGTGAGATTGAATGAATATAAACAGCGAGCAATAGCTCTTCGTAACGAGATTCTCTCCGTTTCTAGGAATATAAAAGAAAAGGAAGCAGATATTTCTAATATTCAAAGGAAGTTAATCAAGTACTCGGACATTTAATCTTATATTTATATAAGCAAGCGCTTTGTATAATATTCTTATAATATTACCATGTTATTTAATAAAATTTGTATGTATCTTTATATATTTATGCTTATTATTTGCTTAGGTCGTCATTAAACGAGATCAAGTCATTCATAGTCTTTGAATTACACAGTTTTCTTAAATATATTTTTGAATATTTTTGTAAATAAGATTTTATATGAAACCGTATTTAAAACGATATAAAGCAATACAATTTATAAATATAAAGGATATCAAAAATGAATAAGAAAGAGTGCAAAATAAATTATTTCTTTCTTTTTCCTTTTTTGCCTTCATTCTTCTCTTCTGATGCAGCATCTGTAGATCCTTTAGCGTTTTTATCAGGAATTAAGTTGTTATCTCTGAGAACTTTCATTGCGGCACCAGTAATATCTCTGAATCTATCTCCATGTAATAATACACCTCCGAACCATCTCGAAACCATGACAGCTACGTTTTTAGCGCCATTTGTTTCAAGCATTTGTAAAATCTGAATTCCTGCATGTGTTTCGCCGTCATCATCGTAACCAGAATCTTCGGGTGTAATCCATGCAAGAATGTTATGTGTTGCTTCGCCAATCTTTGGTTCATCTAATAAAGTATCTCTGAAAAGACAAACATCTTGAACATTATTGCATACAGCGCAGTAAGCTTGGAATTTACTCTTTCTATCTGTAAATGGTTCGCCTCTGAAAATCTCTGGTGGGTCGTCGAGACAATAGGCCATCTTATAAAAATTGTGTTTTCCCCAAAATTTTCAAAATTATTTTATTTATATGATAAACAGTTGATATGGATTCAAACACAAAATCTTAATTAAAAAAGCTTTTAGTGCAATTTTTCAAATTTTCAACATTAGTCAAGTCATTTTAAGTAATATCGCATATGGGTATAGCTACAAATTCCAGAAAGATGGCCTTGCGCATACTTATCACTGAAATATAAGATATTTTCAATTAAAATCAAAAAAATTAAGCTAAAGAAAGAGCTGTCACTATTGCTTTTATTTATTTCATTACATAAACTATTCGAAGACTACTTTGTAGCTGGATGAATCAAATGTGGGTAGTTGAATTACGGATTGAAATTTTAAATATTGATATTGCTGGGATGTGACCAGCACACAATGACTAGCATTTTATCATATTGCCAAATCCTTTGCATGAACATCAAAATAGAGATTATTTTGTAAAAAAACACTCAGATTGAGCAAAATTAACCTTCAAAGAAATAAAATTGATCAAGAGAGTTGTTTGGAATAAAATTCAAGATGGACTGGTATGTAGAAAAGATGATATATTAAAAGACGATTTCCATTTTGATTTCCGCCGAATAAAATAAAAGACGTTTGAGAACTATCAATTTTGCCACTTTTTGCGTGTAATATGTTCAATTTGAAAAACCTCTGAAAAACGGATTTTACAGAAAATATATAACATCAATAGTTATGCTTAAATATGAATTAAGTGAGGTTAAAAAGTGGCAATTTTTCTGGTATAAATGGGTGTTTTTGGGACTCCTTTACTTGTTCTCGTACAGAAGCAGTCACGCGCAATACCACCATTTTTAGAAAAATGCTTCAAGTTCCTTTTGGTTAAGACAAATCTCACTCAAGACGTTTTTCGCATCCCAGGTAATGAGCGTGAAATAGAACGACTAGTTCATATTATTGAAGCATCAGGTGATGTAGCCTTTAATTCAAACACATCCCCTCATACTGTTGCTGCTATTTTGATGAAATTTTTATCGGAGTTACCAGAACATGTTCTTGAAGATAAAAATGCTTCGAAATGGAGTACATCGCTTGCCAACAAAGGAGACAAAGAACCATACACATTAATCAGGCATCAAGTTAAAAAACTTCCGAAAGCGAATTTAGTATTTTTATCGAGAATTATGGCATTTTTCAAACTTTTCGCTAAGCACGAAGCAATCACAGGTCTCAGCCTTAATGATATTGCTGAAATTCTAGCTCCAAACTTGATTGCTGATCCGAATGATCCAAATTATGTTATAAGTACAGATATTGTTGTACAAATGATGAAAAATTATAAGAAGATATTCCATGAGATATACTCAATTAGCAAAAAGAAGTTCATTTCTTCTAACGATTTCGAAAAACAATTCTTCAATGAAATATATTCTGAGTTCTTCACACAAACAATCAAAGTTGTATCAAATAACCAAGAAACTTTCACAACAAAGAAAATGTGCCGAAATGTAGAATTAACCCCTCCAAACTGGGAACGATTGCTTGGAAATCTGTTATCCAGAGAAAGAAGAGCACATGCTCAGACTAATGCTCCGAATTTTACTCTTAAATAAACATGAAATTTTATTTGTTAAAATATTAAGGAAATCTTATCTAAACAAGCTTGTATTCGAAAAGCTAACCTAAAGATCTGTTAATAAATAGAAACAATTTAAAATAATAAACAAACAATTATAAATTAACAAAACTATATAAAATAACATACATAGATCAGAAACATAGAACATGGTATTAATTTCTGATCATTCAATACAAACAAAAAACAAAATAATTTTTCTCTATTTGGGAATCGTAGCAAAGAACGCTTCAGATACAGAATCTGCTAGCTTATCGAATTCTCTCCAGTCCTTTCTATATAATTGCTTCGGAGGCTCTGGATTATTCGGCGTATTTGTAATTTTAGAGGCTTTTTTTATTTCTTCCATCGCTTGAGGTATAATAGGTTCAAACGGATTGATGAAATATCCCCTTGGAACTTCTCCAAAATGTAATTGTATTGGTAATATCTCACGGAAATTTGGGGCGTGCCTTCCATCGGAAACAACCATCATGGGTTTTATCTCTTCCTCGATGGATTGCATCGAATCATTTTCAATTTCTGTTTGATATATCCATGGTATTTGCTTAACAAGTATAACGCGAGGCATGCTTTGCTGAATTGCTGCTGCCATTAACAATGAGGCACCACGAGATCTGTTTTGTATTATTGATGGAATTGTTATCGGTCTGTCTGCTACGATATAATCTGCAAGAATTTTTGATTCTGTCATAATCAAAGCTCCAGCTTTCTCGAGTGCATTCTGTGCAAGATTTTTGATGTTTTTGTCCTCTATTTCTAGATATATGGACGTACCTTCGAAGAAATCTGCATTTAATATCTGAATTTTTGGTTCTGACTTAATCATTTCGGGCATAATTTTGATCTTCATCTTAGGCTTTATAAGTTCACGATCGAACTCTCTGTTTCGAACTTCAAGCATACTGTTATTCAATGGAAAAATCTGCAGAAGTAAAGCCCGTTTAAAAATTCACCATGGTATTCAAATTTGAGCATCAGAGTTTACCAATAAAATCTTTGATGAAATATTCATCTACTGATCATGATTGTTAAATCATACCTCTGCTTCCATCGGAATCCAAAAGTAAGATCCATCAAGAGCAGCATCTTCGAGAATTTATCTGTGACGTGATAGTAAATTGTCTATCTATCTCATACCAATATCATGGTGAGTATAGTAGTTAAAATTTGCAAGAAAAAAATAAAGATCTCATTTTATTCAATGAGCTTTCATGTATATTCAGAAACAGATGTATTTTGTAACTGAAATTCTTAATGAATTTTGTTGCAAATCAATAAAAAACAACAAAATAATTATATTGTTAAATTTTATCTTTATAAACAAACAAAAACTATTTATACTTTTACTTCATATTCTTGATTCCTTTGAACGTCACTCCATTACCATTCTTTTCGAAATATCTTGGAGCAATTTCTCTGAGCCATTCCGGCTTTGTTCTCATCAAAGTCCTCATGAATATGTCTGTTGTCTTGGATAATTCATAGAATATCAGATATTGCTGTGCAGTGTACTGAAGCAAGCAACTTGATGGATGAATTTTTACTTCGCCTTGACCTCTTAATGTTTGGTAATAACCATTTGACATCAATTGAGCGCAATTAAGGAAGAAACCCATACAGAATGCATGAGATATATTCTCTGATGTCTCATTCTTCTTACTTTCATCTTCAACGAAATTCAAAATCTGACAAATATCAGATAATTGATTTTTAATATTTTTCGCATTCAAAAGTGTTCTGTGTTGTACTTTATTGCCTATACACCATTGCTGAGAATATTCTGCATCAACCCATTGGTTATATACATTCAGACACATTATGTGATCACCTTCTTCATCGTAAAACTGTTTAATGTGTGCAATTGCATCTTTTGACTCATTTTGACTGAAATAAAACAAAGGAGAACCACTTTCCAAAACAGAACAAATTGTTATAACGCTTTCACTGCATCCCAACTCGAAGCTCTTTAATATAGCTCTTGCACACATTGGACTAACCGGTAATTGCGACATTTGTTCACCTAATTCAGTCAAATTTCCATCATTATCTAATGCTTGCAAAGCGCCAAGTTGTTCATAAGCAGAAATGATGTTATTTGTTGCTGGTGAATCAACAAAATTGAAGTTAACAATATCAGTAATTCCCATCGATATCAACAGCAATAATGTAGGTGCAAAATCACATCTCTTTATCTCAGGTTTTGTCATTTGTTCATGTTCAAATTCGAATGAACTTTCTGTATATAATCTATAACAAATTCCATGACTTGTTCTTCCAGCTCTTCCAGCTCTTTGATCTGCGGATGATTTAGAAATAGGAACTCTATCTAAACTACTGCATCCGTTCTTCGAATCGTAGCTCATTTCTTTAACAAGACCGCAATCAATCACATATTTAACAGTATCAATTGTCAAAGAGGTTTCAGCGATATTTGTTGAAAAAATTACTTTTCTTGTTCCTCTAGGTGCAGGTTTAAAGATCAATGATTGTCTTTCTGAAGGCAAAGCTGAATACAAAGGAAGAGCTTCTATATTATTAATCACTTTAGAACTGATCAATTCGTTTATCTTTGCAACAGATCTGTCAATTTCATCTTGTCCGGTTAAAAATACTAAAATATCACATGGTTGTTCAATTTCTGTTGATGTATGGATTTTAACAACAGTATCAATAGCAGCGATTTCATAGTCAACAACAGGAGTATTAGTATAATTTATATCAACAGTAAATCTCCTTCCAGGAACAGTTAAAATTGGACATTTATCATAAAAATCAGACATTGAAGCAGCATCTAAAGTTGCAGAAGCAACAACTAATCTAAACTCTGGTCTGACTTGCATCAAGTCTTTTAATAAAGATAACAAGATATCTGTAGAAATAGAGCGTTCATGCGCTTCATCAATCATCACTGTTGTGTATTTTGATAATAAAGGATCAACTAAAAATTCTCTAAGTAATGTTCCATCAGTCATATATCTTATTTTTGTAAATTCACTTGTTTTATCATCAAATCTAACTGCATATCCAACTTCGAAACCAAGTTCAACATGTCTTTCTTCAGCTACTCTTGCTGCAACACTCATTGCAGCGACACGACGTGGTTGTGTACAAACAACGCTTTCATTCGGGCTTCTTTCTAATAGATATTGTGGAATCTGTGTTGATTTACCACTTCCTGTGTCACCAACAACAACTAAGACATGGTTTGAGACTAATGCATCGAGTAATGTCTTCTTATACTTAAAAACAGGAAGTGATTGTTGTACTTCTGTATAATCAATCTCTTTTACAATTAAGTCTTCTCGTGGAGGTAAAGTAAAAATTGTTGGTTTTTGAGTTTTATCCATGTATGCAGACTCAATTTTCTCGTTTTCCCATGTAGTTTCCTTTTTAATGTTCGTTGCATATGCATCTTGTAAAACTGAAAGCCTTCCTGCAGATTTCAATCTTTCATTTAAAGTTCGTCCTGTTTCTGTACTATCACGTAAGTTAACTGATAATGATTCGTCGGTTGCATTGTATTTTTGAACATAATCTGCTGTTTTTTGCAAGTTATCTAACTCAATTTTTTCTAATTCAGTTGCAAGACCTCTTTCTTCAAGTAATTTTTTATCAGTGATTTTTCCTTTGAGTTGTTCGATCTGTTTCGCTACTCTTTGTTTCAAATAATTTTCTCTTGACCTCTGTCTTGCTTCCTCCATAAAAAACTTTGACAAAAAAGATTTTGGAGCAAATCATTATCCTAGAATGAGTCATCGAAATAGAATCATTTAAGATTCACAAGAAATATTTTGTCAATATTGTTTGCTAAAAGATATCTTTGCTGATATGAATTTTAAATTTATCAGAAATTAAAGGCAAAAGTTAATTGATAAGTATATTTTAAGAATCTACTATCACAAAGTAAGAAAGAGCTTGACTCATTTGGCTCAAAAGTTGAATTCATTTTTATGGAGATGAATTTCTAAACGTACAAGATTTTTACATGACGAGCGCTTTTGACCGACGAATTGAGCACTTTCAGCATAAAGTGCAAGTTAATATAAATCTTGCAGATGATGAAATCGGACGCTTGTCTTCTGATCTTACTGTTTTGCAAGGAGAAATTGCTCAAACAAAAGATCAACTAAATCGCGTAAATGTTATGCTTTCACAGTCAGAACAAGCGAAGCAGGGAAAAATTTCGCGTGATATCGCTAAAAAGAAGTCGAAAATTGCAAAAATAAAGACGCAATACGAAAATGAAATCTCAGAACTAGTTGACAAACACAGAAAAGAAATGGAATCATTACAAAGAGATTATCAAGAATCTTTATCTCGCCTGGAAGTATGGACAAAGAAAAGAGAAACACAACGTACAGGAAATATTGATATTGCAATTAAGCAAGCACAGGAAATGTCACAACAGTTATTAAGTACTGTAGGCAAAGCCGAAAAGGCAGCTCTTGATGATGCTGGCCCTGATGTTGAAGAATTGCAAGCAATTGAATATGAAAGACTTTCTCGTTTGGAAACAGCTGTTAAGCAGAAAAACGATGAAAGATATGCATCTTTGATGGCAGCTAAATCAAGACTTAGTGACTGTGTAACTACATTAGAAGAGATGGAAAGGAATCAAATTCTTAAAATTAATTCACTCCAGAATAAGTTAAAGGCTCTTGATAACTCATATCAAATGAGACAAAAGAGATGTATTGATCAAAACACCCACCAAATCGAAACTTTGAAGCGTAAACTTGAAGAGGCCAAGAGAAAGGAAGATATGATGAAAGATTCCATCGATAAGGTTGAATCAGCTCAGAAGAAACAGATATATTCAACTGTTCGTAAAGGAGAAGAGCTTAGACTTACAATGCAAGCTGTTAACTCAGCACCAAGAACAGAAAATATTGATAGTGATGATATATCATATGCCGAGTATGAAAAATTAAAGAAACTCTTGGAAGCTAAGGAGAATGAGCTCATAAATGCTAGAACAGAAAATGAATCTATGAAAAGAGAATTAGGCCGTCTCAAACATGAAGCAAAAATGAAGAGTCTCAAAAGAAATAACAAGAATTTCTAATTTGTATTTGTTAGTCTGCTAATAACCTAAAATATTGTTTATGATAGCTACTTATATAAGTTTTCCTTTATATATTTCAGTCTCATTTCTGAAATAAATTCTGGTTTTCAAAATTCACTTCAAAGATAACCAAATCTATTAAAGAAAAGTATAATGAAGAAGAGTAATAATCAAAGAATCAAATTGATCTTCATAGAAATAAAAGATTGAAATAAAAATCAGTAATTTTCTATGCTTTCTCGTAAATGTAAAAGAGCTGATTGTATTCATAATATTAAAAAAAAGTTTATTGTTGGCGGGCACCTGCGCGGCGTATGAAAACTTCGACACCTTCCATTTCGCCGAGGCCGATGGCAGCGAGCATTTCCTTTGTTTCTGGATCAACGAGGATCTTTGGAACGTTAAGCTTGGAGGTTGTTGGCATCCAGTTATCACGCTTCTCACGTTCTTGCTCCTGGAGCTTGAAGGAGATGCCACGAACTGGGCCACGCTCAAGACGGCGCATGAGGTGGGTAACGTAGCCGGCGATTTTGTTGCGCATACGCTTTGATGGAATATCAGCGACAGCATCGCAAACACGCTTGTTGTCCTGGAAATCGAAGGAGAGTTGGCCATAGAAGCGCTCAATAACAAGGCGAGCTGCTCTCTTTGTTGTCTTTGTACGAATACGACCCATGCTGAAAAGGGGACCAAAACCGCTTCTATCGTCGCTGGACCGAACTGGGCCATGCGAAACTTTGTCTAATTTAAATTGTATATATTAAAATACCATCCTAATACCAACAAAATTAAATGATAATTGATGCTTTAATTTTGAAATTTTATAAATTTTTATCAAAAATATCATTGAAAGAAGCCACAATACGGCAGGTTTGTAAACTAGCAAGTATTGGCATCACAGAAGTGAGATGTTTAGCAACAACAAGTTGAATATACTCTGATACAAAAATGAGTGAAAATCTTGACTTAAAAGATATATATGCACTTCAGTGCTTAATTCACACTAATAATTATTTCATATGGAATGCTATATCATATACTGTGTGACAATATGAAAAATTCAATTATAAATAATTGTACTATCGAATATTGAGTAAAGTTTTTCGGTATTATCTGATATAATGAATTCATTAATTACTTATTTTTACAAATAAACGCAAATACAAACAAAAATATCATTAATTATGGAGCGACAAACCGTCGCCTTTATAAGATCTTACTGCTTCCATGAACTCTTCATTTGTAGTTAACTCTTTTTCTTTTTCATTTAACTGAAATCCATAATTAATTTTAAATTCGAGTCTATCATAAATTTCTTGGGGAGTCTCTGTATTGATATCAGGTAGAAATGCATCTATAATATCAGAGCACTTGAGTTGTACAATTATTTTAATTAATGTATTTAAATTCTTGAGTTTTCTTGTTGAACCAGAGAAATAATCGATAACAGCTTGAAATGAATAATCTTCATCTGGAAAGTCAAACTTGAATTCATTCATTATAGGATCTGCACAATGAACTAGTCTAATTAAAGGAGACATGTAATCAGCAATGTAAATAGGTACTTCATATTCCTTATTTGTGAAAATAAACTTGAATTTTTCCCCATTTGTTACCGTCTCCATTACCAAAAAAATGTTCATTGTATGAATTATAAAAAAATGACAAAATATCATTGAAATAATATTATTCGCAATTATTGATGCACGACGATAAGTATAATTATGGGCAACTGCACAGCAAGCATCTTCGAAATGCTTGCGTGACCTGGTCTGCAAAGATTCGTAGTTAAAATAATGATAGCTTAATTTAAAGAAAATGCAAGCGGTGTCAAATTACCGAGCACTTTTTTGCATCAATATTCCCAATAACAATAAGTGATTTTTGAACAGTGTACATCATAAGCTTCAAATATTTAATTGACCTTAATGATGTGACCTAATATAAAGCAAAATCACACGAGAAATATAACATAATTCTCCATTAAATGAGTCTTTCAGAATTATGGTATAAATTTTTGAGAGTTGTCATTAGGTATCGGCATCAAGAAGTAAACAATTGAAAAATTGGATACATTATGCGCTAAACAAGTTTAAAAACGATTAGGTTGTCATAGAAATAGTAAAAGTTTATAAAAAATCAAATATTATCATTGATCACATCTTCCATCCACGCGTTGAATTGGAAGAAGTGTTCAAGAGAGTGGAAATCATCTCCACTGAACCAATCTGGTTTTGCTTTGATAACTGGTTGCACGAAATGTGCCAACCACTTGCTGAAAGTCAATGGACTTGGTGCAGGAGATGTAATAAACAAGTTCGCCATCAATGGCATCAGTTGATTTCCTTCTGGAGGTTCATTATATTGGAAAGTAAACAAATCTTCAACAGTGCTCACAGCAAGGACAATTTGGAGAGAGCTTTCAATGGGATTCTCGTAAAGATGAGAACTTAATACTGCATTCAAAGCTGGTGTTAAAATTATGTCACTTTTTAGTAATTTTGCCACTTTTTCATCGTAACCATTCTTTTCGATATTTTTGAGTTCATTTTCTTTTCTTTCTGCGAATTTCTGATCGAGAACCTTAAGTTCAGGATGTGCATCTGCAAATGCCTGCAGAGGGAAGCTCTGCATGATGAAAGCTAAAAAGTATTTCACGATATGAGTGATCATTGTCGAAGCCCATGAGTTTTTCGATATGTAATTCTCAATAGTCGAGACAATGAAGTTGCAGAAGTAGTTTCCATCCTTCATCATCAAATTCTTCTTTTTAATATGCTCATTTTTGAAACTTTTGTCTTCGATAATGCTGCGAACAAAAAGAACTGCGAGGTTCGCTTCGGCACCATAGAATTCCTTCTTAGTTGCATTTAGAATTCTATCCATCGTTTCCGTCTTTTCTTGGATGTCAACAGCTGATTCCGAAAATTTCAAAATTTTGGATTCAACTGCGGCCACGAATTCATCGGGAGATTCATTTATGGTCAAAGCAATCTCACCTCTTATTGATGGAGGCAACTGTGTGTGGTGATAAGGATTATTTTTCAGAAATGCGTGTGCAATCAACTGGAAATTCCTCTTAACATCGAGATAATGTGTTCTAAGTGATTTTCTTTGAGAACAAAGCACAATATGAGTGTCACTGTAGTTATCTAAAAGAGGGACTTCTTTTCCAAGCAATCTCGCCATCTTTTTAAGTGCGGCGGCATTCATTGAGAGTGTTTTGTTCTCAGGAACATTCCAGGGAGCTTCAGGATCGATCGGTTTCATTAAAAATTCAACTAAATTTGTAAAAATTGAACTATCAAAGCGATCATAGGTTTCTATAATCGGAAAATCTTGAAATTCATCAGGAAGTGGAAGTCCACAGATAATTCCGGCGTAATAACGTAAGAAACGTGCAGTATCTAAATTTTCAACATGGAACTGTTGATAATTAGGTAGAGCGGAAAATACAGTTGGGAATCCGATCATAGGTATGATTAAGCTATTTAATATGACTGTAGCAACGATGTGTGTTGGATTAAAATTTGCGGCCATTCTTTGGAAGAGCTTTCTGAAAAATGTGGGTGCTGTCTGTAATGGTTGCGAAAACTCTGAGAAAAATAAGCTTAGGAAGCTTTGGAAACGAGAACAAGAAATTTGATCATTATTTGATTTCTTAAACGTAAAGAAACTGAGAAATCCTGAAAATTGTTCGCCAACGAACTCTCTGAAGAAAGGAGAAAAGAAGAATTCACGTAATACTCTGCATAAAAATGAAGAATCAAAGTTAAGAATAAAATCAAAAGGCTGTTCGGCAAATGAATCAAATGCTCTTCCTACAGCTTCAATGAAATCATCTACATTTTGTTGGCCAATGAAATTTCCAAATAAATTCGGTATAACTAATGAAGAAATAAAAGAATCAAGAGCTGTTTCGCAATTGTTGAATAAAACTGGTTCTGATTTAGATATAATTATCTCATTATGTGCAAGAATTTTGATGATATCTAGTCTATCATTAATCAATGACTTAAAGAAGTCGACAATCTCTGGTATTTCGCATCTTACTAATTTATCTGTTTCTGGTCTGTGAATTGAATATAATTTTTCAACTTGGAAATTTTTTTGATGCTTTGCGATCATCCATGGAAGTCGATATCTATAGTGATGCAAGTATAGAAGCAATTCATGATTAGTATTCTCAAGTTTTGTAAGTAAATCATCGTATTGTTCATGAATAGATTCGAGTTCAGTTACTTTTTGGTATATTTTCACATACTCCTGAAAGGAAATGTTTGGAAATGGACGAGTGAAGTCCATTCTTTCATTCATCCCCCTTTAAGTTCTTGTGAAATAAAAAAAAATATTAAATTCAAAAGGGTCTTACACCAAATCAATCAACGAAAATAGTTCCCTCTTTTGTACATTAATCGGCTATACATTGAATTTACAGGATAATGAACGCTCAGAAGCATTAATTTGAAAAATATGAGAAACAAGATTATAGAATTTAGACATATTGGATTGGAATTTCATTTTGTATTAGTCTGATATGAACTGTTGAAGTGTTATTGGACAATTTCCTTGAATTGATTCAAATTTTCAAAGTAAAACATTGAAAATAATGGATATGTTGTATTATGAAAATGTTGTATTTTACCCAAATAATTCAGATATCATGAAAAATCACTCATAAATAGTAGACTGATTTTTAAAACGGACAATTTTTTATCTAAAAATGACCGAAGTTAATCCTGAATGGCGCTATCGCATCAGCAAGAAGATTGCTGAGTTGACAAAGGTCGTTTTTAGGCTACATGCAGATAGCATTGATCATAAAGATGACATTCAGAACTTAAAAGCAAGATATGAAGCAGAAATTGAGGAAATTATGGAAAAATCAAAAGAAAACCTAGCAGAAGCAGAAAAAGAATCCGAGCAGTACCATGTTTTAATCGAAAATACAGTTAAAACAGAATTTGAAACAAAATTTGAAGCAACAAAAGCACAATTCGAAGCTGCAAAAGCAAAACTTGAACAGGAATCTTCTAGAGCTATAGAAAACGCCACTAAGCGCTTGAATGAACTCAAAGCTCAAGTAGAAGAATTAAGAAAACGTGCTGAAGCTGCAAACGCAACATTCTCACAAGCAAACGAGGAAATTCAAAGAATACATTCACAAGTTACTTCTCAAATTGAAGCAAAAAGGCAAAACGAACTAGAATCACATATCAACGATGCGAATGCAAAATATCAAGCACTTCTTGAGTCCACACAAAAGAAGGAAGCTGAACTCAAAGCCAAATACGATGCAGAAATTGCCGAACTTAAGAATACTCTTGAACAATCTCAGAATTCTTCTGTCGAAGCTCTTGATCGCCAGCAAAAGCAAATTGAAGCAGAGATTGCCAAACTGGAGCAAGAAAAAGTCTCACTTACTGATGAATTAGAGAAATTCAAGCAACTTTTAGCATCACAACAATCAGATTTCGATTCAATGATGCAGAAAGCGGAAAAAATGAAGCAGCAGATCATAGAATCCCATCAGAAAGAGCTCCAGAACCTCCAAGCCCAATTAGCGAACTCCCAGAAGCAGCATCAAGATGAATTAAACGCAATTCGCACCCAAATGGAGAAAGAAGAGAAAGAACATAACGAAGAAGTCAAGAAACGCAAAGAAGAACTCGAACTCGAGAAGCAGAAATACCAGAAGCAACTAGAAGAGTTCGAAGCCGCAGCAAAAGCAAATGCAGCAGCATCAGACCAAAAGAACGCTCAGTTGGCCGAAGAACACAAAAACGCTTTGGAAACATTGGACAGCCAGCACACAGAGTACATCGAGAACGCAAGGAAAAAGGAGAGAGAAGTGCACGCGGAGATGATTGAGTTGCAAAAGAAACATCTCGCGGATTCCACGAAAATCAGAAATGAAATGGAACAAGAACTGGAACAATCAAGGCAAAAGATCGATGAAATGAAGAAACAACATATGGCGGAGATCAAAAAGATGAAGGAAGAACACGACAAGAAAATGGTTGATTACCAACAACAACTTCGTGATTCATCAAGTAACTCAATAAATGAATTAGAGAAACTATTAAAAGACGCTGCAAGATTGAGAATAGAAACAGAAGCAGTGAAAATAGAACATAAACAAAAGATGGCAGAAATCGATCACAAACTCGATGTCGATTTCAATGTACTTAAAATGAAACATGGAGCAGCAATGAACATGTTAGATCGAGAATATGATTTGAAAATCAAGTCAATTGATGCAGGACATCTCGCGCAAATGGAGAAAGCAAAGAAACAACATTTGTTGGACATGAAACGCATCGAAGAAGAAGGCCAATTAAACTTGAAATTGGATACAGAGAAACAAAAATTCGAAACAGAAAAGAAGAGATCAAATGAATTAGAACAAATGAGAGAACAATGGGATAAAGAATTGGCTGATTTAAGACTCCAAATTGAAGTTAAAACAGCAGAAAAGAATGCAATCGATGCACAATTAAAACGTGAAGTTGAAGAGAAAAATGCAAAGATTGCAGAACTTAAAGCTGAAATGTCTCAATTGGAGATGAATTGGGCAGACGAGAAAGAACAATTAAAGAGAGATTGGACAACGAAATTGGAGAATTTAAGGAAACAATTCGCTGAAGAAGAGAAACAAAATGAAGATGCAAGAAGAATGAAGAAAGAAGATTACCAGAAGACATTGGACAGATTAAAGATAGAACTAGCTGATGCAGAAGAGTTTAAGACAAAGGAATTGGCGAGAATAAGAAAAGAAACTGAAGAAGAAACTAAAAGAGGTGAAGCAGAATTAAAGAAACTTCAACTTGAAATGAACAAAATTTCGGCAGAAAAAGGTGCAGCAATCAAAGAATTGGAAGGAAAAATAAGCAAATTCGATGGAGAAACACAAAAGAAACTAAACGAAGTCGAACAAAGAAGAAAGAAAGAAGTAGACGCGTTGACAGAAGAATTGAAACAAATCAGACAAAATGGAAAAAGAGAAGTCGAAGAACTCAACCAAGCATTGTTAAATTCTTCACACGAACACCAAAGAAAACTGTTCGAAATGAAGATGATGTACGAACAAGCACAAATAGATGCACAGTTCGAGCTCCAAGAATTCGAAAGACAACAAAACGCAGAATTGGCTGAACTCCAAAACCAGCAACAACACGAATTGGAATTGTTAAATATCGAGCTGCAACAAATACAGAATCAAACAGATTACATAAGACAGCAACACCATGAAAGAATGACTCAATTGCAGGAAGACCACAAGAAGAGAATGTCCGAACAATCAGCGGAATTCGAGAAGAGAAAGGAAGCTTTGGAAGGAGAAGGAAAGAGATTAATTGCTGCAAAAGAAAAAATTGTTCAGGACTTGGAACAATCCGTCAAAGAATGGGAAGAAAAACTCAAATTCAAAGATGCAAGACCAGAAGATTTGGAACATATCCAGAGATTGGAAGAAATTGTTCAGGAAAGAACAGATGCATTGGCTAAATATCAGGCAGAATTCAAACAATATGAAAGAGAAATAACTGAGCATGAAAATGCTTATAGTAAGTTGTTCGCTCAAAGACCAAGTGCAAACTCTTTGTCTCACGCACCAACAACTTCGAGATTGTCGAAGAAAGAAGTTTCTGCTGTTTCATCTGCTAAAAAACTCCCTCCTTTACTCGATAGAACAGAAACACCAAGAAAGAGAACTCCGATGTAACTTATTTTTTTTCATGCATTTATTTTTATATAATTTTTTTTATTTATTTTTGATTGTAATTTAAAATATTCCTTTTAACACGCTTAATAAAATGATTTGATGAACGGGTGAATGGATTGCTTTATAACAACTCATTAAAATGTTATCATGGAACAGAAGAAAAATCACAATCTGATATGAAGATTATAACGATATAAATAAATCAGAAAAATGCAATTTACCTGAGCTATATATGCAATTGATTTCGTTATTACTCAAAAATCAATAGATTTGAAAATTCGATAAAATTTAAAAATTTTGAAAATGAAATATAAAACTATAACTTTTATTATGATTTTTAAGATTTCATAATTTTCGAAAAATAACTTCTATTTGTTAATACATTAGAAATACAACGAGATTAGTGAATATCAATAATTCTGCTATTTATAAAAAATTGTTATATTTTGTTTCTTTTTGAATAAAAATATTATTAAAAACATGTTTAATAAATAATACAAGCAAACAAATGAATATGTTTTATGTGTTTCCTTCTTCTAATGATTGAATAATCTTTTGATAATGTTCTAGGTAGCAAGAGACAATGTTAGAGACATTTTCATCCTCAACTGAGTCTAAATATTCTTCAAGTGTTTCAGAATAATCATTTTCGTTAAGACATTCAATAAGATTTCTGATTTCCTGTGAAAATGATGATTTTTCTAGCAAAATATCAATGGTTTCGAATGGGAGGATATCTCCATCTGGATTCAGTTCTGCAAATTCAGCAATTGAACTACCAACAGACAAAATCGTCTGAACAGCAAAATCTGGAGGTAATTTAATTAGACAATGGTGAATTATTTTAATGGCGCATACCTTGACTCTTAAATTTGCATTTTCGAAGATTTCAAATAACAAATTAATAAATCTTGAGTCAGAAATGAAATTTTCATCAAGCAATGATCTATCTATTAACCAAAACAAGAGTTGAGAAGTTAATATGACTCTAGAATCTTCGACATTGAAGATTTCCAAGAGAAAATCTAAATTTATAAATTGAGTAACTATGTTTGGTTCAATATCTGTTTTAATAAGAAGAATCATTAGCTGTAGATATGGCGTAACGATTTCAGGATGGTTTAAATCAACGAATTTGAAACATTTTGGCAAAAGTGTTGGATTTGATTGGAATTCTATGACAGACATACATGTATCTATGTATTTCCTGTTGTTTCTTACGATATAATAAGAAATCCACATATAAAAATATCCAATTTCGTAATTTACAGTGGAAACTGACAAAGATTTGTTAATTATCTTTACACATGATGTATACCCAATAGCATTCTTTGATATAGTTGTTAGAAACTTCAAACATTGCAATGGAAATATGGATATCGGTAAAAAATCAAAATCTTGTGAAGCAAGATAGAACTTATCGATATTATTTATGTAAGTTAGAACATTTTCGATGATTGCAAGGAGCGCATTTAAATTTTCTCGATCATTTTGTTTTGAAACTAAAGAAAATAAGTGTGAAAGTAGGGAATTTTCATGGATTTCATTAGCTACAACTTCTATTTTGGAAATAATTCCTAGAATTTGAAGAATATATTGATCTATTTCCTCATTTTGCATCGTAAATTCAATTAATTTAATGAAAAATCCTTCTTTTGCAAATATATTAGGATTTTTCAGTGAATTAATATCGATTGATGATAAAAAATTTGCAAATGAACGTACTTTGTTAAAATCAATTTCTGAATTATTGACAAATTCTTGAATAAATGAGACAATTTGTGACTCATAGTAATCTTCTTCATCAAAATCCTCATTCTTGATTGATGGTGGAGTATTTGGATCTTCTCCCTCTTTGTAGAAAAACTGCAGCTGAAAAAAAAAAGTCATTTTATTCAGAGATGTTATATCAAACAAAGCTATTTGCCATATGAACATAAAAACTTAAATATACTTAACAAGAATTTTATATTATCACACATCCATTATATAGGATGTTATTCTATATGAAATGGGATGATTCGAGAAAGAACACCTCGCCAGTTAAACATAATGTAAGTATGCACGTTGAAACAAACTTAGAGATTCTAATTGAATTCTCAATATCAATATTCCATGTTGTTCCTGATTTCTTCTATAAGTGAACTCATCTGGATCTATTTTGACATATATTCTATGGATGTGTTACAGAATTAATCATCATAAAAGTTTAAAAATATAAAATATTTTTTAGGATAAAAATAAAAGTATGCGATAGTTCATTAGTTAATGATAAAACTATCAATGAGTTGATGTGCATGTTTTGAAATAGTTCAAAACATTATTGCTATTGCCTTCTTTAGCATAATGAATTGAATTATGCCCTTCATCATCTTCTGCAAATATATCTGCACCATGATCAACAAGAATTTTTGCAATTTCTTGTAAATCACGGAAAGAGGCCATATGAAGTGGTCGAACGCTAAAGTTATCTGGAGTGTTAACATCTGCACCTGCTTTGATTAAGGTTTCAACCATTTCTTTATTTGCATTTAATATTGCATAACAAAGAAGCGATTTACCATCTTGCAATTTTGCATTGACATTTGCTCCATGTGCAATTAATAAATCAATCATTTCTTTGCCCTTGGATTCGAGCTTAAATGCATGGAAAAGTGGTATCATGCCATCCTTATCTTGAGCTTCGATATTGGCTCCATGAGAAAGCAAAGCTTCTGCAGCTTCCTTTGCAGCTTCTTTCACAGAAATATGAAGTGGAGCGAGTTTAAATATGTCTTCAGCTTCAATATTTGCTCCTTGATTAATCAATAATTCAATTGCGTCTTTACTGTTACCGCATGCCGCATAATGAAGTGGCGATCTTCCCTCAATTTCTCTTACATTGACATTTGCTCCAAGTGAAATTAGATTCTTAATAATAGTACAGTTATTCTTCATTGCGGCATAATGCAAGGCAGTTGTTCCACGTTCTGATTTTGCATTGAAGTTTGCTCCATGGGAAAGAAGATATTCGCTCAATGATGCAAGTTTGAACAATGGAGAATAAACAAAGAGAGTATCGAGATCATTTGTTACATCCAAATAGAGGGCGTATATTGGGAAGTTTGAATTGATCAATATTCCTTCCATCAAATCAATTTTGAGACCACTTGTCATCTTCAAGAATAATGCCAGTTCAAAGTTATGAGCATTAATAGCATATATCATGCATTTTTGATCTGGTCTTCTTTCATGCATGCATTCAGTCAAGATATCCTTATTTCCGCCTAAGCATGCAAGATGGAGACATTTCATGGTGATCTTTGATTTGAATTCTGATCTTAAATAATTAAAGCACTGAAGAGATCCATGATAACAACATAATTCAAGAAGAGATAGAGGACTTTCCGGATAATATTCATGACACAATGCTTGATTCTTATCAAATCCTTTCTTCTTTGTGAAAGAAATCATTGCATTAATGTCATCTTCCATAATAGCTCGATATAATGTGTTCTCCTCATGAACTTCTAATGTGTAGTGCATTTTATCGAAGTAGCTAAATAAAGGTTTCAACTTTTGATGAACAATAATTCCATATTCTTTGTAAAAGAAGTAGTGTATTATAGGATGGATAATATTGATCTTATCTGGGTGGTACTCTTCATAAATCTTCTTGAATATGGTCCAATACGATCTGGAATAGCGAATATTGTACAGCATAGCAGCAAATATGTGGAATATGACTTCTGAGGGCAAGAATAACTTTGAATCAATCAACTTGGTTTTGATTGCATTATATAGTTTGTTAATTTCTTCTTGGTCAAAAGTTTTTAAGTTGTATAATTCGATGAACTCATCACTATAGCCATTATTCTTATCCAAGAGTTCTAGGGCAGTATCATGACTAGACTTTTCTCCAGACATCACTAAAAATGATGTGTAAAATCCAGATAACTTTGAATGTAGAAAATTGAATGAAAAATGATACTTCTATTGAAAATCAGAATTGAATGATTAGAAAACTGTTGACAAACAGCACATTCAAGTAATAATGATGATAGAAACATGTACAATGGTTTACATAACCTTTGAGTTTTGAGGATAAATTGAGCATCTTACGGGGTTCGGAAAATGTAGTCTAAATTGAAGCAGAAGCATTCACCTATTAATGTATGTCTGCCATATATCCGATATTTTCAAATTAGGAGGAAATTGAGATTATTTTTTTTATTACAATATTTTGACTTTAGCGCTTCAGAATTTGTCAAGTATTTGTTATTTTATACTCAGAAATCACAATCATTGGGCCAAATTTGATTTAACGATATAAATTTTGGCAAATATCTTACATATAAAGCATTTTAAAACGAGAAATATACAAACAATCTTCAGTTTATTCATATTAACAAACAAAAAATCTATAATTTTATTCCATATCAATTTCGGTATCAAAATTAGTAAAAATGAGGGCAAAGACAAGGGAACAGATAACCTGTACTATACCATCATAAAACAACCCAACGTGCTGGTGCAATTTTATGATTTCTGGGAAAGATAAAGGTCTGAAAGTTGTCCAAAGCGTTGTACACGTAGAATAGAGCTGAATAGCAATAGCAAGTAGTATTTTGACTAAATCAGACCCTTTTACGAAGAAAGTGGCAATGACAAGAAGAATTATTCCGAAAATCGAAAGAAATCCAATCAATGGCAATGCAAAAATCAGTGCTTCGGAGTCCGGATATTCATTAAATCCATCGATGATGTAAAATGGCTGATGTCTAGGCGTAAAAAGTGGAAAAACTGAAATAAATAACAAAAATGAAAACAAAACGAAGAATGAGAAACATAATGTTGGTAGCAAATTGGAAAATGGGTAATAAGAAAGCGCAATTGTTGGAACAGCAGCGTAATATATGGCTAGAAATAGAGAATAAGAAATTTGTCTGTAAATATTAATAAAATCGTTAGATGCTTGCTTAATTACACTTGGATTAAATGCAATTACAGCAAACATTCCGATGATAAGCGCCATTGATGATGTGAAAGACTTTCTACATAAATAATACTGAATTATGAGAATCATGAAAGAAATAAAGGTAATATTAAGCATATTATTTCGTAAATAAACTAATGGTGTTATGTCTGAGTCCAAATAATATAAATTCGAGTAATAACGAGAAAATTGAAAACCTTTTGTTTTGAATACGTAAGAAAATGTTGAATTATTGGATGGAATTACTGTAGAATACATTGTAATCGGCTTTGTTTTGTTTGCGTCTATATTAAATTGAAATGTTGTACTTAATGTTGAAACTTGATGAGTATTACCAGTTGTTCCAACTAAATGTTGTATACTTACTGGAATATTCGTTATCTTTAATTTCTCATTGTGAGTGCCGATGATTTCCAGTTTGTAATGAAGAGGTTTTGGAATTTTTTCACTAAAATATAGTTCAAATTCTACAGAATCTGTATTTGGACCATTATTTAAGAGAATTAATGAAGTATTCCTTTTAGAAAAATGTATATCAACAGATGATAAAACGTTCTGAGCGTAAAATAGTCCAAATATCAGAGAAAATACAATCACAACAGATATAACAACCATCATTACATAAGATATTCTCTGTTTTCGCTCGATAACATTTGGAGCATACTCAGAAATTTCGACATCTTTTAATTCATTCATTTATGTCACTTTTCAATTCATTGAAGTGCCTATAGAATTAAGACAAATAAATAAGATAAATAGAATCATTAGGCTCCAAATATGAATGATATGAATGAATAATAACAATCATATCATGTGATTTATTGATCTGCAGTGCGAAGATATATATTTGATCATATATAATTTGGGGCCTCAGGTGGCTTCGCTTGCCCTTCGGGTAAGCACGCCACCTTCGGCCAAATTAAATAATTTTTTGAAAAATTGACAAGAATTGCTACGATTCTGACAAAATAACATTAAACATTAGAAATATATTTTTATAGATCGAATGCAGCCACAATTAAATTAGAATCTAAACCCATTTTCCTACGTAAAGTCTCCCTATAGAGGTATGCTGACTGGAATAAGGTCAATTTTTTCTCTTAACGTCATTTTTAATGGCCACGTCTAGAGCTAAGCATAACATTATTTTAGATCATCATTAAGCTTGAACCTAAGAAGCAAATATTTAAAAAATTGGCGGAATAATATTCAAAATTTTTCAAAGAGGACAGATTTTTAAATGTCGAAATTTATCTTATTAATGAATTTAAATGAAAAGCATAATTATAAAACATTAAGATTGAACAGAGGACAGAAATTGTAAATTAAATGAACAAAATTGATGACATAAGAATACATAAGTTTGATATTCTTGCAAAGAAGCTGCATAACGTCACACAAAGAATGAGAACGTTTATTGAAGTCTTCAAATAAACATTAAAGAAAATAAAATTATAAAACAATAATATTTAAAAGAAATGAGTAATCTTTTCGGTAAAAAAATTTTCAACTAACTTGGTAGAATCGGGCAATCACATTATCTCTTCAGGGTTGGAAATTTTGCATTATTAATTTATTATATATATATGTTGAAAATATGAGAGAAAAGGGTAAATTTTTTGAAAAGGGTAAACACTTCTAGTGTGATACTGAAGCGAGGGCGCCAAAAAGTGACAGAGTGAGAGACATGATGGAAAATCTTTACTTTTACACTTCTCATTCAAGTATTTTACTAATATAAATCATACTTTATCAATGCTTAGTACTATTCTTTTTTAAAAAAAGGATAATAAGGACGATATTTGTGATTTAAAATAATTTTTAAAAATTCACCTTTAACTCATCACTTTGTGAGATATAAAAAGCATTCGCAATACTCATTCTGTTTAATTGATCAACTCAAAATTCCAAAAAAATTCAAAAATTGAAAAATGAAAAAATCAATTTTGAAAAAAATTTGGAAAATCAAAGTATTATATAATTAATCAAATCATCAAATGGAATCGTTTTTACTAATAAAAAACTTCTAATTTTTGATTTTGATATCATATTTAATAAAAATTCATTCTATAATTGATGTAATGTCATGATTGAATCATTTATTGTTGTTGCAAATATTATTTCCATAACAAAATTCTTATTTTAAGATAGTAAAATAATAAAGTTTTTATTTCAACAACAACAAGTAAATAGATGAATGGAAACGTACTATATTCGCATAAATGTAGTAACTATCGTCTAGATTTGAGTTATGACTATTCCAATCAAATCATAACGATTATATGCAGTGCTGTGCACTCATTATAGAGATCATCGTAATTTATAAGTAATTTATATATAAAAGCCGTCTTTTAGTAACTTTTTCTATAATCAAATTATTTGAATATGTTTCATAAGCGAAATAAGAACTCAAAATTACGAGGAATTCTGTCGTTGCATTTTCGAGATGCAAAATTTGGATTTTTAATGTATTGCTTTGGCAAGTGCAATCTTGATGTTTTATCCATGTAGGAGTTGATTTTAAATTGCATAATGCTGGAGAATAAGAATACTATATAGGATAGTTGCTAATTGGTGTAATAAATTAGGCTACACCAATCAGTAACCTAAATGTTTGAAATATTAAATAAAATGACATTTTATTTTACTATTGTATATTGACATTTTGTTTTATTTACATATTAGTAACTACTTTCTTTATTAACTTGTGAAAACTCTCTCAATTTACATGAACAATTCTTTCCGAAACATTGTATATGATATAATCATTAATATTGCATGTAAGAACGCTTTTCAGTACTTTCCAATTGGAATCAACTCCTTTGTTTCTTTTATTCTTTCCTTCCGACCACTTAAAAGATCTAATTTTGTGTCACTTATAAGATATAGCATGGAGCATTTTGAAGAGCAGTTTGTCCATCGTTATCTTTTTCATTGATATTTGCACCATGTGAAATAAGAAGTTCAACTGTTTCTTTACTATTATTTTCTGCTGCATAATGAAGAACTGTTTGTCCATCGTTATCTTTTTCATTGATATTTGCACCATGTGAAATAAGAAATTCGATATATTCTTTACTATTAGATCTTGCTGCAATATGAAGAGCTGTTGCTCCATTATTATCTTTTTCATTGATATTTGCACCATGTGAAATAAGAAATTCGATATATTCTTTACTATTAGATCTTGCTGCATAATGAAGAGCTGTTTGTCCATCGTTATCTTTTTCATTGATATTTGCACCATGTGAAATAAGAAGTTCAACTGTTTCTTTTCTATTATTTTCTGCTGCATAATGAAGAGCTGTTTGTCCATCGTTATCTTTTTCATTGATATTTGCACCATGTGAAATAAGAAGTTCAACTGTTTCTTTTCTATTATTTTCTGCTGCATAATGAAGAGCTGTTTGTCCATCGTTATCTTTTTCATTGATATTTGCACCATGTGAAATAAGAAGTTCAACTGTTTCTTTACTATTATTACTTGCTGCATAATGAAGAACTGTTGCTCCATCGTTATCTTTTTCATTGATATTTGCACCATGTGAAATAAGAAGTTCAACTGTTTCTTTACTATTATTACTTGCTGCATAATGAAGAATTGTTGCTCCATTTTTATTTTTTTCATTGATATTTGCACCATGTGAAATAAGAAGTTCAACTGTTTCTTTTCTATTATTACTTGCTGCATAATGAAGAACTGTTGTTCCATTTTTATTTTTTTCATTGATATTTGCACCATGTGAAATAAGAAGTTCAACTGTTTCTTTACTATTATTTTCTGCTGCATAATGAAGAGCTGTTGTTCCATATTTATCTTTTTCATTGATATTTGCACCATGTGAAATAAGAAATTCGATATATTCTTTACTATTAGATCTTGCTGCAATACGAAGAGCTGTTGCTCCATTATTATCTTTTTCATTGATATTTGCACCATGTGAAATAAGAAATTCGATATATTCTTTACTATTAGATCTTGCTGCATAATGAAGAGCTGTTTGTCCATTATTATCTTTTTCATTGATATTTGCACCATGTGAAATAAGAAGTTCAACTGTTTCTTTACTATTAGATCTTGCTGCATAAGGAAGAACTGTTTGTCCATATTCATCTTTTTCATTGATATTTGCACCATGTGAAATAAGAAGTTCAACTGTTTCTTTACTATTATTTTCTGCTGCATAATGAAGAACTGTTTGTCCATATTCATCTTTTTCATTGATATTTGCACCATGTGAAATAAGAAGTTCAACTGTTTCTTTACTATTATTTTCTGCTGCATAATGAAGAGCTGTTTGTCCATCGTTATCTTTTTCATTGATATTTGCACCATGTGAAATAAGAAATTCAGCAGTTTCTTTACTTTTAAATCTTGTTGCATAATGAAGAACTGTTTGTCCATCGTTATCTTTTTCATTGATATTTGCACCATGTGAAATAAGAAGTTCAACTGTTTCTTTTCTATTAGATCTTGCTGCATAATGAAGAGCTGTTTGTCCATATTCATCTTTTTCATTGATATTTGCACCATGTGAAATAAGAAGTTCAACTGTTTCTTTACTATTATTTTCTGCTGCAATACGAAGAGCTGTTGCTCCATATTTATCTTTTTCATTGATATTTGCACCATGTGAAATAAGAAGTTCAACTGTTTCTTTTCTATTAGATCTTGCTGCATAATGAAGAACTGTTGCTCCATTTTTATCTTTTTCATTGATATTTGCACCATGTGAAATAAGAAGTTCAACTGTTTCTTTTCTATTATTACTTGCTGCATAATGAAGAACTGTTGCTCCATTTTTATCTTTTTCATTGATATTTGCACCATGTGAAATAAGAAGTTCAACTGTTTCTTTACTATTAGCTCTTGCTGCATAATGAAGAGCTGTTTGTCCATCGTTATCTTTTTCATTGATATTTGCACCATGTGAAATAAGAAGTTCAACTGTTTCTTTACTATTATTTTCTGCTGCATAATGAAGAGCTGTTTGTCCATCGTTATCTTTTTCATTGATATTTGCACCATGTGAAATAAGAAGTTCAACTGTTTCTTTACTATTATTTTCTGCTGCATAATGAAGAGCTGTTTGTCCATCGTTATCTTTTTCATTGATATTTGCACCATGTGAAATAAGAAGTGCAACTGTTTCTTTTCTATTATTACTTGCTGCATAATGAAGAACTGTTGTTCCATATTTATCTTTTTCATTGATATTTGCACCATGTGAAATAAGAAGTTCAACTGTTTCTTTACTATTAGATCTTGCTGCAATACGAAGAGCTGTTGCTCCATTATTATCTTTTTCATTGATATTTGCACCATGTGAAATAAGAAGTTCAACTGTTTCTTTTCTATTATTACTTGCTGCATAATGAAGAACTGTTGTTCCATTTTTATTTTTTTCATTGATATTTGCACCATGTGAAATAAGAAGTTCAACTGTTTCTTTACTATTAGATCTTGCTGCAATACGAAGAGCTGTTGCTCCATTATTATCTTTTTCATTGATATTTGCACCATGTGAAATAAGAAATTCGATATATTCTTTACTATTATATTCTGCTGCATAATGAAGAACTGTTGCTCCATTTTTATCTTTTTCATTGATATTTGCACCATGTGAAATAAGAAGTTCAACTGTTTCTTTTCTATTAGATCTTGCTGCATAAGGAAGAACTGTTTGTCCATCGTTATCTTTTTCATTGATATTTGCACCATGTGAAATAAGAAGTTCAACTGTTTCTTTACTATTATTTTCTGCTGCATAATGAAGAGCTGTTGTTCCATATTTATCTTTTTCATTGATATTTGCACCATGTGAAATAAGAAGTTCAACTGTTTCTTTTCTATTATTACTTGTTGCATAATGAAGAACTGTTTGTCCATCGTTATCTTTTTCATTGATATTTGCACCATGTGAAATAAGAAATTCGATATATTCTTTACTATTATATTCTGCTGCATAATGAAGAACTGTTGCTCCATTTTTATCTTTTTCATTGATATTTGCACCATGTGAAATAAGAAGTTCAACTGTTTCTTTTCTATTATTACTTGCTGCATAAGGAAGAGCTGTTGTTCCATATTTATCTTTTTCATTGATATTTGCACCATGTGAAATAAGAAGTTCAACTGTTTCTTTACTATTATTTTCTGCTGCATAATGAAGAACTGTTTGTCCATCGTTATCTTTTTCATTGATATTTGCACCATGTGAAATAAGAAATTCGATATATTCTTTACTATTAGATCTTGCTGCAATATGAAGAGCTGTTGCTCCATTATTATCTTTTTCATTGATATTTGCACCATGTGAAATAAGAAATTCGATATATTCTTTACTATTAGATCTTGCTGCATAATGAAGAGCTGTTTGTCCATTATTATCTTTTTCATTGATATTTGCACCATGTGAAATAAGAAGTTCAACTGTTTCTTTACTATTAGATCTTGCTGCATAAGGAAGAACTGTTTGTCCATCGTTATCTTTTTCATTGATATTTGCACCATGTGAAATAAGAAGTTCAACTGTTTCTTTTCTATTATTACTTGCTGCATAATGAAGAACTGTTGCTCCATTTTTATCTTTTTCATTGATATTTGCACCATGTGAAATAAGAAGTTCAACTGTTTCTTTTCTATTAGATCTTGCTGCATAATGAAGAACTGTTGCTCCATCGTTATCTTTTTCATTGATATTTGCACCATGTGAAATAAGAAATTCGATATATTCTTTACTATTAGATCTTGCTGCATAATGAAGAGCTGTTTGTCCATCGTTATCTTTTTCATTGATATTTGCACCATGTGAAATAAGAAGTTCAACTGTTTCTTTACTATTATTTTCTGCTGCAATACGAAGAGCTGTTGCTCCATATTTATCTTTTTCATTGATATTTGCACCATGTGAAATAAGAAGTTCAACTGTTTCTTTTCTATTAGATCTTGCTGCATAATGAAGAACTGTTGCTCCATTTTTATTTTTTTCATTGATATTTGCACCATGTGAAATAAGAAGTTCAGCAGTTTCTTTACTATTATTTTCTGCTGCATAATGAAGAACTGTTTGTCCATATTCATCTTTTTCATTGATATTTGCACCATGTGAAATAAGAAGTTCAACTGTTTCTTTACTATTCAAATATGTTGCTAAATGAAGAGCTGTTGTTCCATTATTATCTTTTTCATTGATATTTGCACCATGTGAAATAAGAAATTCAGCAGTTTCTTTACTTTTAAATCTTGTTGCATAATGAAGAACTGTTTGTCCCTTATTATCCTTTTCATTGACATTTGAAACCTGTGAAAGAAAACATTCACATAAGGATGGAGTATCAAACATTGTTGAATAAAAGAAACATTTGTAAGTATCTTTAATTTGATCGAAATAAACTAAAAATGATTCGATGTTCTTATATTTTCCGCAATATTCTAAATTGATCTTTATATTGTATTCATTCATCAAGAATGTAACAAAATTAATGTTGTGTGAAATAATTGCATATTTCATGCATTCTTCATTTGGTGTTTGATGTTTCAAACATTCATTGATGATTTCTGCATTTCCTCCTAAAAATGATAATTGAAGACATTTCTCAGAAATTTTTGTGTCAAATTTTGTTATTAATAACTTGAAACAATCAACAGCTCCATGGTAACAACATAATTCAAGTAATGAATATCCTTCATAAGATTCTGGGAAAAATTTGCTATAAAATTTTTGATCTTCGTCAAATCTTTCGCTTTCAATGAAGTAGATGAATCTTTCTTTATCATCATCCATAATTGCTCTGGGAATTGTATTTTTTGCATAAATATCGAGATCTTCATATTGAGTTATTTTGAAATCATCGGATTCGTCTAATTTAATTCCAAATTCTTTGTAAAACAGGAAGTTTGAAATATGTTCAACTTTGACATATGTGACATTATAAGCATCATATACGAGTTTGGCAAGATATAAATATGACTTTATATAGCGATTATTATATGGGATTATATCTAAAATATCTTTGATTATATTTTGTGGTCGATAATTCTTTGAATCAATCAATTCGGTTTTGATCATTTTGTAAATTGAGTTTAATTCTTCTTTGTTTTCCGTTTTCAGTTGATACAATGCAATATATACATCGATGTAGTATTTACATCTGCTTCTCAATTCAATGTATTCAATTTGATGAAGGTCTTGCTCAGACATTAAAAAATTTAAAAATAAAAATTCCATAAAAATTTTCGATTTTTTTTTCCACGATTCAATTTTTTTTCCATTAAAAAAAGGCACAGTGCATCTCCAAAAAATTAACATTTTAACTTTTGCAATAAACAGAAATTCATCAAAAGTGACAGCTCTCAATTTTTTGACATTTGTAAATTCTAAATTGAATGAGAAAAATGAAATAATACTAAGCATAATACAATATTCTAGATTTAATTATAATTAGGAAAAAGTTAGTTTTGAGAGTACTTTTCATAGGCATATAGAATGAAATCTTCTGAAAAATAATATCACATAAACTCATATTATTTTCTAATATATAACTCTTTTATATAAAAATCAAATTCAATGATCTTAAAAGCGAAGGATAAACCTCAAAATTTACGAATATAATGCTTATCTATCATAAAACCATATGAAATATCAATTTTTGCTTTACGCCTAATTTTTGACGACAATTAGCAAAAAATGTTAAATGTTAACACTCAGTCCATTTGAATATGAAAAATAAAATTGACTTTGATTAAATGTTTTTATTTATCATGCAATTCTTCTTGCGACCAAAGATTTGAATAAAATTTCAAAAAATAAGATAGCTTAAAAAATAATATACGGTAGTGTTTACTAATAGATGAATAGTATATAAATTCTATTAAAATGGATTTGATCCAAAAAAATATATAAAATTTGATCATAAATAAAATCGTTTTAAATTACTTCTTCATTTAAATTATAACAATTATTTTTGGTTTTATATTTTTTTGGATCAAATCCATTTTAATAGAATTTTTATACTATTCATCGATTAGTAAACACTACCGTATATTATTTTTTAAGCTATCTTATTTTTGAACTTTTATTCAAATCTTTGGTCGCAAGAAGAATTGCATGATAAATAAAAACATTTAATCAAAGTCAATTTTATTTTTCATATTCAAATGGACTGAGTGTTAACATTTAACATTTTTTGCTAATTGTCGTCAAAAATTAGGCGTAAAGCAAAAATTGATATTTCATATGGTTTTATGATAGATAAGCATTATATTCCCACTCATTATATTCGTAAATTTTGAGGTTTATCCTTCGCTTTTAAGATCATTGAATTTGATTTTTATATAAAAGAGTTATATATTAGAAAATAATATGAGTTTATGTGATATTATTTTTCAGAAGATTTTGCGTTCTTCTTCAAAATTTTATTTTTTATTAAAAAGAATCTTTACGAAATATACATTTACTTTAATTAATATTTAAAAACGTGCTCTATCAAAAGTTCCAAAAATTCAATATTTTAGCTTTTCTGAGGTGTCACTTTTGATGAATTTCTGTTTACAACACTTTATAAAATGGAACTCATGAGGAAAGGAAAAAAAATTGGAACTTCATTTGTGAACAATCATTTATATAAGGAGAAATATGAAAGAATAGATATCAAATAACATCCGGAAACATGCATTGTTTTGAAATGCATGTATTACACAGCAATAATTGAACGAGTTTCTATTTATTCCAGAGGCGATTAGAGGATCAATCAAAGACGAATAACAATCCACACCACAAGAGATTCTTGTGCTCAGAAAAGCCGAGTTCCCAATTATTGGCTGGCCATAAATTCTCACGCATTGAAGCATTTTCAAACCCTGGAAAGCACCAATTCCAATGTTGGTGACAGAAGGAGGAATGATAATAAATCTCAAATTCACAGCACTCGTGAAGGCATATTCATTGATGACTTTTGTTTCATTTCCGAGAGTCATAACCTCAACAGACTGATAATTAAGATTTAAGATATTCTCCAATTCTATAGTCAAATTTTTCAAGTTAGGACAATCATCTATTACTTCTGATGGCATTTTAATAACACTCTTTGGAATTCTCAAATAAGTAAGACTCTTCATATGAAAAAAAGGAGTACCTTTAAATTCAATGCATAATCCTGGAATAATTATTTCTTGTAATCTTGAGAAACAAAAACAATCGAAGCTAATAATTTTCACAGTACTCTGAACATAATATGTACCATTAATTTGCGCAGGGTATGCATATAAAATAGTTTCATCATGGCTAAGCAATGCTTTCTCAACAATCGAATAAGATATAGATTCGCCACCAAATATCTCAATCAAATTTGGAGTGCATATAAAAGCATATGGATGTAGCATTGTTAGAGATGATGGTAAATATATATATTTACAATATGCGTAAATGCAAGCACATGAGCCTATTGACAGTAAACCTTCATTAAATCTCAATTCATTGCCTTGATAATATGAAAAACATCCATATTCCATTGATTCACCATTAATATGCCTTAATGATGATGGAAATGAATAAGATGATACTGAATCAACTTCACAAAAAGCTGAAATACCTAAAATCTCAAGTTTTGACTTTGTGGGAAAAATTACACGTGACAATGAATAGCATTTTGCAAAACAAAAAGATCCAATATTTTCAAGGGAGCTACAGTTAGATAAATCAACTTCCGATAGATGAGTGCAGTGATAGAACGAATAGTGACCAAGATATGTAAGTGATGATGGACTTTCGAAAGAAACTTTTCTTAATGTTTGAATTGATTTTAATGCAAAATATTGATTAGACGTACCATTAGCAATACTTACGATATCTCTTGGAACAGTATATTCAGATACTGAACTTCCAATATCTACAAGTGTCAACGACATTCAGAATTATTTACATTTGAAATAAATGTCACCTTTTATATGATTTATTCCTTTTTTCCTTGTGAATAGACTTTTGCGGGCATGATGTCTGTTGAAATTATGAGCTATTGCTTTTTAATAGTATTGAAATATAAGCTTAAACCTGATCAGGATCGATCCTAAATTTATCAAAATTAAGACTTGAAAATCGGAGTGTTAGAATGGTGATGATAAAGGTGTTGGATGTTTTTAAGTCTGGACGCTGTTTTATCTTAATCATATTAGAGTATCGCAAAGTTTCAAATTCTACAATTAATAACAGTCAAAAATGGAAATGCTATTAGAATTAAAGGGTAACAGTGAGCCGGTGGATTGTAGCTGATTACATTGAATTCAATCGTGTTAATTTATTATTATACTGATCTATGTTTTGTATATGGTTTACAGTATTTTCGTACCAGGAATGACTATAATAGCAATTGTGAATGACTATGCTTATAAAAAAAAGATATAAAAATAATTTTTTTTTTTATAATTATGATACTGTAAAAACTTAGTTTAATACTTGAGAACTAACTGTTCATTAATATACTTTTTCCTAGCTTAACAAATTTAAGCTGGTTTCTTAATTTCCTTATAGCAGATAAAGATGCCAGCAGCGATGAATGCTGTGACGAGGATACCGACGACGATACGGATAGCCAAGATCTTGCCCTTAGCAATCTTTCCGAGGCATTGGTCGTCAGCTTTGTAAGAAAATGTGTTTGATGGGCAGGATCCGAAGAATGGGCCTTCGCTATCACCCATGACGCATTCCTTAGAAGCATGGCACCAAACGCAGCTCATATTCGGTTGTGTGGAAACGCATTTCTCGCACCATGTTCCGGATAAGAGTTTGCAGAATGTTGTGTTAGCTTCGTAGCGTGGCCATGGCGTTGGAGATGGTGGCGGGACTGGTTGGTTGCAAACTGTTGTATTGTAGTAGAAATATTTGGCGTCGCATGTTGATTTTGAAGCTTCGTAGCATGTGCCAGATTCGCCACTAGCCATACACCAACCGCAGTTTCTATCAGCAAAGTGAGATGTGCATGTATCACAGTCTTTGTAATTTCCGCACTGATCACCTGGAAGTGGTGTTGGATATGGTGTTGGTTCTGGTGTTGGAGTTGGAAGTGGTGCTGGGCCTGAGCATGTAGCAGCTGGACCATAATAAAAATCGCCTGTGCATTTGGATTTGTCGTCGATATACATACATTTGTTTGATGATGGGCAATAGCCACATTTTCTATCTGCAAAATGCGTTATACATATTTGGCAATTATCGCTGTATAATTGCTCGCAGTCAGTTGAGTTAAAACAGCTGGACGAGCGAAGAAAGAGCGTGAACATATTATAAATAATGGTCCCTAACCGCTCCTCTGGATTTAAACTACCTCCTTAGAATATGGAAATAAGATATCCATAGTATGTATTGCATTTTTTGTCTATGAAATCTGGCCATAATCCTACAAATTCAAATTCTGGAATAATAAATTTGCGTTTAAAATGAAATTTCATTGTAAAATCGCTTTATAACTATATGATGAATACGACTCACAAAATTATGGGCATAATTTGATTTTTGCAAAATATATTCCGTGTAAAGTTCGGAATATGAATATGCACCTAAGAATATCTGGATCAACATATATATAGCACATTAATTGTTCACTAAGAATATGTAAAGGGGATTTATGAAGAATTCAAAGTTTCAAAATTTCAAATCTTAGATAAGACTGTAGTCCGAAGTTTTACACTGTGTTCAGCTATTTCCGGTATGTGATCAGTGTGACTAACTGAAATTAGCTGGATTTCTCACATTCTCATTAAGAATCTGAGAATTCGAGAGATATGAATGAACAAAATTTACAGGATTTTATTCAGCAATATATAAACAATTTTTACGGTTAGTATTGCAAACAAAATACATCACAATTATAGAATTGGCTCTTGAATTTGGTTATTTTTAATTGGTTTCTTGCGTAATATTGACAAAAACGCATATATCCAAACAATTAGCAGAAGGACTGCTGGAGCACAACCAATTATTGGGAAAGCGTAATTATGACGGAAAACACCGATATCTTCTGGCTTAACGGTTGATATAGATCCACTATAGTATAGAGGATTCATTAGCTTTGTTTTGCCATATGCTGTAATGTTTGCGTAGCCCTTTAAGTCATCATTTTCGGTTTCCAATCTAAAAATGATAGGATTAAGAATTTCTCTGGAAGCGTTGTAATTATATTTACCCTTAAAAGAATAATCAACGCGATTCAAGATCATGTTATGAATATAAACTAATACCTTATCGTTTGCCATATTGCAATCGATCTTAAAGTTCTTGATTAATGCAGGTGGTGCAAAGAATATACATTCGTCAATATTTCGAGCAGATGTATCCCAATGATGATTTAACGTATCATTAACGACAACAGTAATGCCTGTCATACATGCAGACCGAAGTATACTAGCGTATGAAAATCCGATGCACTGGTCTTTCTTTAATACGACAGTTATTTCTGCATTTCCGGTAGGGAATCTATACGCTGGAAAATCCATGTTGAAAGGATGATGAGATGTACCAATTGGCTGTGCGTAAGAGATAGGCACTCCTGCTGGTGCTTCAGTTAAGGCGATAATAAAATCATGGTGCCAAGGTGAGAGTATCGTAAAATTCATATCCTCTTCAGCACATTGCCTAATAGTATTTATTGTGTGACCGACTTTCTTGATAAGTTGACTTGAGCATGAGGCAAAAGATATAAAATAAAACATTGAGAATTTATGACGATTATTATCAATTCAAATAAAAAATGTTTGAGCAGTGGAGACTTTCAATTGCACAAAACGATTTTCCTTTATTTGTCGAACTTAGCCAATTACAGAATATAGAAACAGTAAAAGGTGGTGGCCAAATTCGAGTCCGTGACTACATATTCGATGATTTAAACATTTTTTTTTATTGCATTTTCTATCGACGTCCTATATTTGTAGAACATTGCTTATCAGAAGGAGTTAATGTAAACATTACTACTTCTAATGGTTGGTCGCCATTATTCATTGCAATTGCGCTTGAATATGCAGAAATTGTCGAAATTTTAATATTTTACGGAGCAAATATCAATACACCAAATAAATACGATATAACACCCCTCCAATTTGCAATTCAAATGAAAAATATCGAAATAGTCAAAATTATTTTGAAATCGAGACAACAAGTTACAGATTTAGCAAATACTTTGGCATCAGCTATAGTTTACGATCAAACTGAGATTGTAGAAATATTAATTAAAATGGGAGCAGATCCATTTACGATGACTAAAAAGGGAGTACCTGCAATTCAACTAGTGTCACCTACTCAGATCAACATTTTACACGCATTTTCTAATAGAGAATCTGATGAAGATAGTTGTTCTTATGAAGAGTCATACGAAGAAGAAATTTCGGAACCAGAAGAACCACAAAAGGCCGAAGAAAAAGAAACAACAGAAATGAAAGAAGATGAAAATACTGAAAAACAGTCAGAAACAAAACAAGAAATTCCTAATTTTTCACCTGATTCAATGTCATTGAATGAGCTATTAGAAATGGTCAAGGTTAAGCCTTTTCCACCTATTACACCAACATATCCAATAGAATTTTTATAAAAATTGTATGTATTTTTTTTCCTTGAAATAATTACTCCTGATATTTGTAAACTAACGCACCTTTTGCCACCTTAATTTGTTTATATCATTTTATTAGGTAGCAAAAAGATCCTCAGAAAAGTGTCTGATAGTTAAGGGGATATCCCCTAAATAAAATACATATTTGATATCGAGAACTTGCTTCCACTCATTATTTAACTTTCATTGAAAATATGAGGGGGAATAACCCCGCCACTTCCCAAAAATTTTTAAATGAATCCAAAAGAATTTATTGGCTTAGAAGAAGCTAATATAAATAATGCAAAAGAATTCGAACAGCTTGTTAAAGAAGCTCAAGAGGAATCAGAGGAAGAAATTACACCAGAATCAATACAGAGAAATATAAGTTTAAATCAACCTCCCATTCCCAAAGTTGTCAACATTGTTGCATGTGTAGATTACGGATGCAAACTTGACCTTCTTAAGATTACATCTTCAACAAGAAATTCAGAATATAATCCGATTCGTTTCCCTGCTGCTACGCTAAGGAACAAAGAACCAAAAGCCACAGCTTTAGCTTTTAAAAACGGAAAAGTTAATATCGTAGGATGTAAAAGCGCTGATATAGCATTAAAAGCTGCACGTTGCTTTGGTAGATTATTCAAAAATATCGGCATTAAAGACGTTAAAATCAAATCATTCTCAATAGCTAACATGGTTGCAACAATGGACTGCAAATTCCCGATACATCTTGAATCAATTGCTTCATCGCCTGGTCATATTAAATTTGCTACATACAATCCTGAAATTTATGCAGGTTTGATTTATAGATTGGCTAGTCCAAAGACGACTTTAATGATATACGTTTCAGGTAAAATTATTATCACTGGAGCTAAATCAGAAGAAGAATTAAAAGCCGCATCTGCATTTATTTATCCTATTCTTAGATTGTTTGCTAGCACAGAACCGCCAGCTGCTTAATTTAATCCAATTTTGTTTATTAAATTTCTATTGTTTCCTTTATAAATACTATTTTCCACTATAGAGTATATCAAGAGCCAATTTCATTCATTTTTAGTATGATTTTTTGCTATTTAAAATGATATCTTTTTATTTATTGGAAGCATTATCCTGGCTACATTGTTTTAGTACTAAAAAGATATTACAATGTGAATGAGTTCGTATTTTTAACTTATATAGGATGAAAAACTCAATTGAGAATGCAAAACTATGAGTAAAATCTATTCATTGACTAAATTTATTTTTTAAAATATGTAAGTATGCTAATGAAGCTTGTTTACTTTTTCCTTCTGTTAAAAAACGGTGACGAATAAGTAAACGGGTATTAAAAATGTGCGCCTGTGTTATTCCTGCACAAGAAAGAGAAAACTATAAAAACGCTTTTGATGCTTTTGATGAAGATAGAGATGATATGATTACAAAAGATGTCCTTGGAAAGCTCCTTAGAGCACTCGGATTCAATCCATATCCAGAAGAAGTAGAGGATATGATTGCTGATGTTGGTGCTGATAAGATAGACTTTGATTCATTTATGTACCTTGTATCAAAACATGCTCGTGAAGCTGATCCAGAAAAGGAATTAGTTGATGCATTTAGAGTTTTCGATAAAGAGGGAACTGGAAAGCTTCCAAAGGATCAGGTTCGTCAAATTCTTAGAAGTCTCAAACAACCATTTACAAATGAACAGATTGATGAATTATTTAGCAAGACTGGAAAAGATCAAAACGTTGATTATGCTCAGCTCGTTCAGATTATGCTTACATTTTAAATATGATTTATTTTTAAAGGAACATAATACCTATTTTTTTATATCAAGTAAAGAAAACATTCATTTGGAGATTGCTATGTTATTTTTTGAGCAAAAATCTAGTTCAATCAAAAATTCTTGGATATTAGCATCTTCACTAATATTGATGTAAATTCCTATCATTGAAGAGCATCCAATGCTTTAAATGCGTTTCTACACTATCAATTTTGTATTACTAATAATTAAAACTCATTTTTAATATTTTTATGAAATGAAAATTTGCGAATTTGATCTGAAATCAAGAAATAATGGAACACCCATATTGTTATTGTTTGTTTTCTGCGAGCTGCATTAGCAGGATATATCTGAAAACGGATGGTCGATATTGTGTTGTTGTAAAATCTGAGGTCTGAAAAATAAAATTTTCATAATCCAAAAAATGGGATGTGGAACACCTTTCCTTATTGGTGGCTCAATGGCCACATCAACAACATTGATCATGCTGAATAAACATGTCATGCAAAACTATGGTTTTAGATGGCCAATCTCATTATCTACCTTCCATTTCTTCTGCACATGGGGAGTTCTTGAATTACTCTGCAGATTAAAGTTCTTCGAACGTGCCACAGCTATGCCTCTCAAAATGAGAATTACATGCGCTTTTGAAAGTGTAGCCGGCATTATCTTTGCTAACTTCTCACTCAAGCTCAACTCTGTTGGATTTTACCAATTGACGAAGCTTCTTTGTATCCCAGCAATGGTCGCTACAAACTACTTTTATTATCACAAGAAGACACCTTTCAGAACCCTTTGCACCCTCGGCGTATTACTTCTTGGTGTTGCATTATTCACAGTCAACGAAGTAAGTGTAAATCTTAACGGTTCAATTGTTTCTGCAATTTACATTTTCTTCAACGTTATCTTCCAAATCCAGACAAATGTTATCTCTAATACTTATCACATCAGTGGCCCATCATACCAGCTTGCAAACTCCCTTCCAATGACCATAATCAGCTTCTTCTGCGCCGTTTTCTACGAATTCTTTGGCGATAACTCAATTTTGAAGCACGAGTTCAAAGGACCAGAGCTCTTCTGGACATTCATGACAGGCATGATCGCTGTTTGGGCAAATGTTTTCGGAATTTCAATTATCGGCAAAGCTTCACCAGTTACATTCCAAGTCGTTGGCCATGCAAAGACAATCCTTATTTTCGTCTTCGGCCTTATTTTCTTGGACAAGAACGTTGAAGAAACAGCTGATCAAAAATTCAAGAAGATTTGTGGTTTAACACTTGGTATGATTGGTACAATTGCATACTCTATCTTCGAAATGCAAGATAAGGCCAAGGCTAAGCAAGAAGAAGCAAGAAAAGCTAATAATCAGATTGAAGCTTCCCCAGATGATCTCGAATTAAGTGAAAAGTTCGCTAATGCTGATGATGATGCAGTCGAAGTTCCGGATGAGGAAGAAGAAAAGAAAGAAAACTAAAAATCTATCAAAATTTTTTGTATGTTAACATCAGATGTATTATCAGAGATGATAATATAATAAAACACTTTTATTACTAAATTTAATACCTTTTTTGGTCTATAAATGCTAAGTTTATCGATTATTGCTGATTTTTCGAGGCTATGCAAATCATTTGCACAATGACGTTAATCATCACAACAACAAGATCGAAATTTCTAAAAAAGAGAACAAAAGTGCCATTTTCTTAATTTTGGTTTGTATTGAATGCAAAGACATAATAGAGATCCTTTATTAACAGATATGTTATTCAAACAACAAGAGAATTCGTATACATCTGGCGTTAATTCTAATAAATCTATTGATGAATTAATTCAATCATTTACAGATTCGTTTTTAAATGAGGATTTTGAAAGATCTCTTGAATATATTCTGCAAATTAACACAATTTTGTCTAATTCTGGGCCTCAAACGTATAATTTTAACATCAACCTCATTTTATTTGAAATACTAACTAGAATTTATAATGATTCAAGTAACGATACTGCGTCACAAGAAATAGCTAAAAATATATGGACTTTCTTGCAACTCTCAACAAAAGTCGGTGGTTTTCATGATATATTATTGGATATAAACGTTTTCGAAGCGTTACTTTATATTGTAAATGTTAATGATGATTTCACAATTGAAAATATCCTTAGATTTTTTGGAATAATACTTCAAGACAAAAAAGGATTTGATGTATTTGTTTCATCTAATATTCTTAACAAGCTCATCAAATATATGCTTAATTTAGATATTACTCAAAATAATACAAATATTCATTGTGCTATATTGAATTTTTTACACTTTCTTCAAGTTATATTAGTTACTCCAGATGGTTCATCATTATTAGAGAGCATTTGCGAATATGTTTATGAAATTATTCCTATTTTAGTTCAAAAATTAAGTGATAATTTAGACATATTTGGTATTGCATTAAATATTATTTCGGAATCTATTAAATACCCAGAGGGTGTATCGAATTTATCAAATTCAAATATTTTGACTTTATTAAATGAATTATTGAATAATCCGAAAGCATCATCTACATGGAAACAAATAATTTCCATTTACATAAACTTAACTAGTATATTATCCAGTAATTCAGAAGAATACCAAAATTTATTAAAAATAATTCCGATAGAAAGAATAATTAAAATTTATAATGAACAACCGTTTGATCCCCAGGCTTCATCGTGCCTTCAGCTTCTAAATAATCTAATTGCTGACAATAAAGAAATGGCTCAAATAGTAAATCAAATTCTGGTGCCATATTTCATTAATGTTTTCGATGAATACTCGTATTCAATGAAATGTAATGTATCGCAAGTCTGCTTTGCCGCATTTTATCAAGGAGAATTTAATTTATTTTTCAATTTATTGGAAAATGGGGTTTTGGAAGGGTTTGTTGATGTAGTTTCTAATAGTTCTGAGCTTCAAAAGTATTTTTGTATGTCAATGCTCAGATTGATCAATTCCGCACCAAGTTCTGAGATAAGAACAAGCTTAATAGACATAACAAGAAATGTATTTTCGGAGCTTCTTGAAAATATTTCTGAATCAAGCGAAATTGAAGAAGTTGATTTACTTTTTGAGCTAATAAACGATATCCAGTAACATCGAATCTAGAAATTTATTTAAATTATCTTTTTGATCTTGCTTATGCGTCTTATAAATATGTAAAGCAAAATTAATAAAATTATTGCGCGGTAGTTTAAATTGAATGCAAAATCTTGAATAGAATTTTTAATGTAGTCAATTAATATTGATTTACACGATCCTTTAAGGCTATTAAGTTGTTCTCTGTAACGATTGCAAATTTTAATTTGTTGTGGCATTAATTTATTATCATAACATCTATTATCTTTAAGTTTTAACTCTACTTCTTGAATTTTTGCTTTATTTAACTGCTTATTATTTTTTGCAATATTAACCAAGTCATAAAAAGCGCTCAAAAAGAGTAAATATAGCAAAAGAAATATGCCAATTCGAAATGCTAGATAAAGGTAATGATTTACCTTTAGAAGAAACTGTGATGCTTTCTTCAAAATAAAAATGTCACTTTTTGAAATAACAAAAAATCATACTTCAAAAAATAAAATCATTTCTTCGAAGAATCCTCAGTTAATTTCTTCTTCAATGAGTAAGAATGAATCCTTACTGGCCGTACATTTATAGTTTGTGGCTTTCCAAGCTTAGTTTACATTTCAATGATATTCCATTGAATAGGCTTGTATTTTGAGTTCAATTCTGTCTGAAGCTTAACAAAATTTGTGAAATGTCGATTTTTGGTCGGCTTTTTATTCTACATATTGTATTTCGTTTGCTATCCAGATTGAAATTCTTCATAAACATGTAGTGCATTTTTGGAAGACTGTATCCAGTGAATTCATGTGCAATTTCACGAGGATGAATATAATATAACACATCACATCTAATAAACGATTGTTTTACTATCAATCCAAAAATCTTTTTTTGAAAATACCAAAAAACTAAAGAATGTCTTATGTAAGAACATTATTTTTCCGCACTATGTGAAATGAGAAATTCTGCAGTTTCTTTACTATTATACCTTGCTGCAATATGAAGTGCGGTTTCTCCATTATTAGTTTTTTCATTGATATTCGCACCATGCGAAATCAGAACTTCTGCAATTTCTTTTCTGTTATTTTCTGCTGCAATATGAAGTGCGGTTTTTCCATTTTCATCTTTTTCATTGATATTCGCACCATGCGAAATAAGAACTTCTGCAATTTCTTTTCTGTTATTTTCTGCTGCAATATGAAGTGCAGTTTGTCCATATATATCTTTTTCATTGATATTAGCACCATGTGAAATAAGAAATTCCGCAGTTTCTTTCCTATTATAATGAGCAGCAATAAGAAGTGCGGTTCTTCCACTATCAGTTTTTTCATTGACATTAGCACCATGCGAAATAAGAACTTCTGCAATTTCTTTTCTGTTATTTTCTGCTGCAATATGAAGTGCGGTTTTTCCATATATATCTTTTTCATTGATATTTGCACCATGTGAAATAAGAAATTCCGCAGTTTCTTTACTATTTTTTCTGCTGCAATATAAAGTGCAGTTATTCCATTATCAGTTTTTTCATTGATATTCGCACCATGTGAAATAAGAACTTCTGCAGTTTCTTTCCTATTATAACATGATGCAACATGAAGTGCGGTTTTTCCATCTTTATCTTTTACATTGATATTCGTACCATGTGAAAGGAGGTATTCCAAAAAGGATGGAACGTCAAATATCGCTGAATAAACGAAACATTTGTTTATATAGTATTCGGATAAGGATTTGTATATATCATTAATTTGATCGAAATAAACTAAAAAGGATTCAAGATTATTGTAAATTCCACAATATTCTAAATAGATCTCTATATTGTATTCATTCATCAAGAATGTAACAAAATCAATGTTGTGTGAAATAATTGCATATTTCATGCACCATAAATCTGGTTTTTGATATTTCAAACATTCACTCATGATCTCTGTATTTCCTCCTAAAAATGAAAATTCAAGACATGTTTCAGTTATTTCTGATTTAAATTTCGTTCTTAAAAACTTGAAACAATCAACAGATCCATGGTAACAACACAATTCAAGAAATGAATATCCTTTGTAGGAGTCTGGATATAAGTTGCTTTTAAGTCTTTGATCTATATCAAATTCATCACTTTCAGTGAATGTGATGAATCTTTCTTTGTCATTATACATAATTGCCCTGTAAATTGTATTTTCTGTATAAATATCCAGATTTTTTGAGTTAACTTTTTCAAAATTGGCAGATTTGTCTAATTTAATTCCATACTCTTTATAAAACAGGAAGTTTGAAATAGTTGCAACACTGCTGACCTCTGTGATATGGTAATCATCAGATATGAGTTTGGCAAGATATAAATATGACTTTGTATAGCGATTATTATATGGAATGATATCTAAAATATCTTTAATAGCATTTGTGGGAAGATATTTCTTTGAATCAATCAATTCTGTTTTGATCATTTTGTAAATTGACTTTATTTCTTCTTCTTTTTCTGTTTTTAGCTGATACAATGCAAGATATGAATCGATATAGTATTTGCAGATACTTCGTAGTTGGTTGTATTTGCTTGGATCAACGTCTTGCTCGGACATTAATATTTTTTAAAAAAGGACACATTTACGTTTTATCATGTGGGTTACCCCTTAAATTCATTAGAAGAAAAAAAATACTAAGATATACCTGTAGAAAAACATTGACCATAACGATTTCGGATATATTTTATGAATTTTGATTAAGTCAATGGATATGATGTGATGCAATAACAATGGAAAAGCCGATAAAAATAGAATTTTATTCTAGATACTTGTATTATTCAAGATTTTTTTTGACAAGACTGTAATGTTATCTCATTTGAGTTTTATGAATTCAGAGGTTAAATAAACTGGCGTAATGCAGCAATTTGTAATAACTATTCAAAGCACATTTATTAATTACAGATAACTTCAGCATAAACGAATTATAGATATGCTCCCTCGCTCTTTGTGGACCAAGTACCACAACTGCATTACACTAGGGCAGAATTCTTCCAAGACCTCTCATCAAAAGAGGGACTTTAGAAAAGCTCTGTCCTAGTCGAATAAATTTACAGTCTCTGACTTTTTGCAGGTCAGAAACTACAAGCATACTACTTTATGACGAAGTTCCTCCTAGACCTCTCATCGAATGAGAGACTTCTGTAGGATTTTGTCCAATTCGACATACTACGGAATAATTGGCAATTTGGCAACCAAAGAAGAGTACTAGGAGTACTTTGAGGCAAAGTTCTTGCGAAACCTCTCATTCGATAAGAGACTTCGTAAGGAACATTGCCTCATTCGACCAAAATTACATCCTTGACACTTCGTATATCAAGGAGTAGTAGTGTAGCTCATTAGGGCAATAACGTATAACTGATATCTCAAGAGGCACAATAGTTATACAGCCTAGCTACTATATCCTAATAGCCAGACTGCATAAGTGTTGTGGTTCTGGCTTGCAGAAACCTCATGGAAGACTGAGTGGAGATCTTACTAATTCCAGATATGTCAACACTGTTTCTGACATTAATGTAAGTACTAAACTACAATACATGAAGAAAACTTCAATCTCTCTCCACAATTAAAGGAAGTTTGGGTTTTCTTACTGGGAAAAATCCGCTTGAAGTTGTTCATGCGAATTTTTTATTATTTTTATACATCCCGAAAAAATAAACAACACACTAAAAAACAACTCATAATTACATTAAAATTTACTTAAATTTCTGACAGCCAGATCCTTTCCTTAGCTAAAAATTTTTTCAATGGAAAATTTTGAATACGGTATCGTATTTCAAAGGTTCTGGAAAACAATTATTACGTATTCGGGATTAGTTTGTTGCATAGAAAGAATTTTGTCCAAAAAGTGGCAAACAGAAATTTTCAAAGCATGTCACGCTCAAACCATGCTATTGGATGTGACTTCAGTCATCTCAAGCCAAATGAAGTATTCGAATACCCTGATCAAGCTTCAAAAATTATTTGGGGTGTCAATTCCAAAAATATTACACAAGTAACTTCACAAATTATAGAATTAATTACAACTTCTAAAATTTCTATCCAAATAGCACTCAACTTGATTGATGTCTTTTCATCAATTCGTCATAAAGATATTAAATTATTTACAGAACTTTATTTCGATATATCAAACAAATTTTCATTCACCCTCAAGCCGAAAAATTCTAATTTGACAGCATTGTTATATTATAAAGGACTTAAATTGCAAGAATTAGCACCTTTCAGGAAACAAGAAGAATATCTCACTTTATTTCCAAAAACATCCCCGTTATATTATATTGCATATGATAAAGTTGATGAACTTAAAACTAAATTCCCAAAACTTAAAGTTAATAAAGAAATGGATCATGATTTCACGCCACTTGATTGTGCTATTAAATACGGATCCGAATTATGTTTCAACTACTTGAAAAATATGGGAGCTAAATACGATATTAGCTCTCCAATATTAGCTTGTCAAGGAGGAAATAAAAACATATTTATGCAAATGATCGAAGATGGTCAATCATTTGATGACTTGATTGATACAGCAGTTTCTTACCATAATTATGAAATTGCTGAGTACCTTCAATCAAATTGTGGACAAACTTTTAATTCAATAGCAAAAAGCATGCACTTTGGAAATTATGATGTTGCATCTTGCTTAATTTATAATGGGGCCAACATCGACAAAATTTTCATTTCCTTTCTCTTCATATTTATCATTGTTTGATAGAATTCTCTTTCTTATCATATTTATCATTGTTTGATAGATTTCTCTTTCTTTTCATATTTATCATTGTTTTATGACATTCTCGTTCTTTATACATTTATCATTGGTTTATGGAATTCTCTTTCTTTTCATATTCATCATTGATTTATGGAATACTTTTTCTATTCATATTTATCATTGTTTTATCCCATTCTCTATCTTTTCATATTTAACATTGTTTGATAGAATTCTCTTTCTTTTCATATTGATCATTGGTTTATAAAATTATCATTCTTTTCATGTTTATCATTATATAAGTACATTCTCTTTCTCTTCATGCTTATCATTATTTTATTACATTCCCTTTCTTTTCATATTAATCTTTGTTTTATTACATTCTCTCTATTTTAATGAATGCCCCCTTAGTATTGCAATCAGAACGAATTCAATCGAAATTGTCAAGGACCTAGTTGAACATGGTGCTGATGTTAACAAGGAACTTATTTTCTTTCTTTCCATGTTTATCATTGCTTTATAAAATTCATTTTCTCTTTATTTTTATCATTGATTTATAAAATTCATTTTCTCTTTATATTTATTGTTGTTTTATGTAATTTTGATTCTTTTCAAAATTATCATTGTTTTATAAAATTTTCATTCTTTTCATATGTATCATTTGTTTTATGAAATTATCTTTCTTTTCATATATATCATTGTTTTATGGAATTGTCTTTCTTTTTATATTTATCATTGCTTTATTACATCCTCTTTCTTATAATATTTATCATTATTTAATGATATTCTCTTTCATTCCATATTTATCATTGTTTAATGAAATTTTCAATCTTTTAATATTTATCATCGTTGTATGATATTCTCTTTCTTTTCATGCCTATCATTATTTTATTTTATTCTCTTTAATATTATATTTTACATAGGTTATTGACACTCTCTTTCTTTTGATATTGATCATTGGTTTATAAAATTATCATTCTTTTCATGTTTATCATTATATAAGTACATTCTCTTTCTCTTCATGCTTATCATTATTTTATTACATTCCCTTTCTTTTCATATTAATCTTTGTTTTATTACATTCTCTCTATTTTAATGAATGCCCCCTTAGTATTGCAATCAAAGCGAAATCAATCGAAATTGTCCAATTCCTAGTTGAACATGGTGCTGATGTTAACAAGAAACTTATTCTCTTTCTATTCATATTTATCATTGTTTTAAATAATTTTCTTTCATTTCATATTCATAATTGTTTTATAACATTTTCTTTCTCTTCATATTTATCATTGTTTTATGACATTCTCTTTCAATTCATATTTATCATTGCTTTATGACATTCTCTTTCTTTTCATATTTATCATTGTTTTATTACATTCTATTTCTTTTCATATTCATCAATGTTTTATCTCCTTCTCTTTCTTTTCATATTTATCACTATTTTATGACATTCTCTTTCTTTTCATATTCATCATTGCTTTACCGTATTCTTTTTCTTTTCATATTTATCATTGATTTATGGAATTCTTTACCTTTTCATATTTCTCATTGATTTATGGAATTCTTTATCTTTTCATATTTATCACTGTTTTATGACATTCTCTTTCATTTCACATTTATCATTGTTTGATGGAATTCTCTTTCTTTTCATATTTATCATTGTTGTATGTAAGGGTTTCGTTTTGCTAAAATTGTCACTTTTATAGCATATTTGTTTTTGGATGTTTTGCGAAACCAAAAAAAAACTATGATATACAATGTGTGTGTAAAGAAAATACTTTATTTACTAGTTAAAAAATCATTTGGTATTGATCAAGTTTTTTTTTCTGGATAAGATATTATATGGATAATTGGATAGAAAATACAATTATATAATCTTGTACCTGGTTTAATTAAGCTAATTGTCATCAGAAACTTGTAATTTTTATGAATTTCAGATTTTCTTTTCATTACTGCTTTTCTTAATAGGTCAAGTTCTTATTTACGTTATAAAGTATGATATTTACAAATATCAAGTTATCATGTTTTTTGAGAAATTATGAGAAACAAACAAAAATGAAAAAGATAGGAATAGCAATGAATAGTGATGTGGGTATAGAAAATGTAAGAGATATGAATGCAAAGCAATCAGTATTTAGGATATTGACCATAGATTTCGAAAAAAAAATGCTGCATATTGAGCGAAAACTATGATTATATTATAAGGCTGTCATTTAAAGCATAATGAAACTATTCCCTTTTCATTTTAATCGAATAAGATAGTAAAGATTTTTGAATTAGCTAGAAACTGATGAGATGTTTTCACAAATCAGATTTTTAATCTCTATAATGCATAATTCACTCAATATCTCAATTTTGATATTGCGAGATATTTTTGCTATCGGTTTCGCAATTTTGACACAATAGCAAGAGGGTTCTATAAGCATTATTATCAACGTAGAATCTGAATATCATATCAGAAAATGTCGCAAATCTGACATTTACCCGACCAAATAGCAAAAATAATTGAATACTTTTCGCAAAAACTTTAAAAATCGATAAAAATATGAAATATAGATATTAAAGAGACTTTTTATATAATATTCATAAAGATTTTCCAAAAATATGATACCGCAAAATTAAAAAAGTAACGTCTTGAGTGGAGTCAAAGGTCGAAATTGCTAGCTAAATGTTTTTTTAGCGAAATTGTGTGTTGTACGTTTTTTTCGCAAAACGAAACCCTTATTGTATTCAATTCTCTTTCTTTTAATATTTATCATTGATTTATGATATTGTATTTCTTTTAATATTCATTATTGTTTTACCGTATTCTCTTTCATTTCATATTTATCATTGTTTTATTACATTCTCTTACTATTCATATTTATCATTGATTGAATTAATTCTCTATCTTTTCATATTCATCATTGTTTTACCGCATTCTCTTTCTTTTCATGTTTAACATTGTTTTCAATAATTCTCTTTCATTTCATGTTTAACATTGTTTTCAATAATTCTCTTTCATTTCATATTCATCATTGTTTTATTACATTCTCTTTCTTTTCATGTTTGTCATTGTTTTATGACGTTCTATTTCTTTTCATGTCCATCATTAATTTATGGAATTCTCTTTCTTTTCATAATCATCATTGTTTTATTCAATTCTTTATCTTTCCATATTTATCACTGTTTTATAGGATTCTATTTCTTTTCATATTTGTCATTATTTTATAACATTCTTTTACTTATCATATTTGTCATTCTTTTATGAAATTCTTTTACTTATCATATTTATCACTGTTTTATAGGTTTCTATTTCTTTTCATATTTATCATTGTTTCATTACATTCTCTTTCTTTTCATATTTATCATTGTTTTATGAAATCCTTTTACTTTTTATATTTATTACTGTTTTATTACGTTTTCCTTCTTTTCATATTTATCATTGTTTGATGAAATTCTTTTACTTTTCATATTTATCATTGTATTATAAAATTCTCTCTAATTTGATGAATCCCCTCTTAGTATTGCAATCAAAGCGAAATCATTCGAAATTGTCCAATTCCTAGTTGAACATGATGCTGATGTTAACAAAAAACTCATTCTCTTTCTCCTCATATTTATCATTGTTTTAATCAATTCTCTTTCTTTTCATATTTATCATTGTTTTATTCAATTATTTTTCTTCTTATATTCATCATTGTTTTATCGCATTCACTTTATTTTAATATTCGTCATTGTTTTATACAATTCTCTTTCTTTTCATGTTTATCATTGTTTTACGACATTCTCTTTATTTTGATATTTATCTTTGGCTTACTGTGTTCTCTTGCTTTTCATATTTATCTTTGCTTTTCAAAATTTTCATTTTTTTAATGTTTATCATTGCTTTATAAAATTATCTTTCTTTTCATATTTATCACTGCTTTACAGAATTTACATTCGTTTCATATTTATCATTATTGTATAACATTCGCTTTCTTTTCATATTTATCATTGTATCATGAAATACTCTCACTATTAATGATTGCCCTCTTTTTATTGCCATCAATGCGAAATCACTGAAAATTGTCACATTCTTAGTTGAACATGGTGCTGATGTTAACATGAAACTTATTTTCTTCCTTTTCATATTTATCATTGTTTTATAGAATTCTCTTTCTTTTTCTATTTATCATTGTTTTATAGAATTCTCTTTCTTTCCATTTTTATCATTGTTTTATTACATTCTCGTTCTTTACATATTTATCATTGTTTTATGACACTTTCTTTCTTTTAATATTTATCATTGGTTTATGGAATTCTCTTTCTTTTAATATTTATCATTGCTTTATAAAATTTTCTTTCTTCTCACATTTATCATTGTATTATATGTTTCTCTTTCTTTTCATATTTATTGTTTTTTTACAAAATTCCCTTTCTTTTTATACTCATCGTTGTTTTATTGCATTCTCTCATTATTCATGAATGCCCTCTTAGCTATGCAAAGTCCCTTAGATGTGTCAAAATTGCTAATCTCTTAGTTGAACATGGCGCCACAAATATCAAATAATTCTTTTTCTATCGCGAGATTCTATATTGACAATAGATATAATAATCTCCTCATTAATTAAGAATAAACATTCCACAATAATTTAATATAAATCCAACATATTAACACACTTACATTTGAAGGTGGTGACATATAAAAGTGCATTTTTAGTTATTTGGCTGGCGCTTTGCAACAACCAAATAGCGAATGGTAATAATATAAGTTTACTTAAGAGCTCACATATACACATATGAAGTTACACCCAATTCTGTTGTTTATGATTGATTTTCAAAGATGCTTCACATTGAATTACTAAAATTTCTGAATAAAAATAGAAAATTAAGAATCTGATTTATTTTGGAATAGAAATCCAATATTAATAGATATAGAGTCTTATTTCTATCGGCGCGAAGCACCGATAGAATTAATTGACAACAGACGTTTACAAAAGTTATTCAAAAATGTTTGGAGAAGAAATTGATGAGCATATTATTCTTGAAGCCAAAAAGTCATTTGAAGGCTTCAGTGAGGATGGAAAAACACTAGCTCCTGAGAATCTTGAAAAAGCATTACGCGCTATTGGATTAAATCCAAATCCCGAAGAAATAGAAGATATGCTTGAAGAAAACAGCACAATTGATATCAAGGCATTTATGTATATTGTATACCATCACAGTCGTTATACAGATGTTAAGCATGAACTTATTGAATCATTTTCAATTTTCGATAAAGATGGCAACGGAACATTACCTGTTGATAAAATACGTGAAATATTACATAAAATTAAGAATCCATTTACCGACGAACAAATTGATCAGCTTCTCGAGAAAGTTGAAATCAATAATAACGAAGTCGATTATTCTAAATTTGTTGATGCTATGCTTGAATAAATAAAATCTAAAATAATATTTTTATGTACAAATTCATGTTTGAACCCTTAATATTTTTTTTTCTGAATAATGCAAGAACTCACAGAATATTGTAGTAGAATATAGGGTAAAACATAAACCATTAGATACATACTACCTATAAATTTGTTATTGCCATATTTGGCCAATCCCATCATATAGATTTCCTCATTTTTAATTGAAGGGAATCATTGTAATCAGAAAGATAAAAATCCAAATAAGAATTGATGGACGAGTATAAAGAAAACGTTAACAATGAGATAAATAAATCGGAATTAGATGTAGATGACTCAAATCAACAAGGAAGAATTGATAATCAAATCTTCGCATCAATATTCGATGCCTTATCTCTAATAATCAATGAAAGCAACCTTATAAAAATTCCAGAAGTGATTGATAGCTTGAAAATATTATTTTTTATAAATCCAAAAGAATTTTCAGAACTATTTTGCTTAAATCATAATTCAGAAGTTATTGTTGCTCTTCTAAAAGCTCTTGTTCAAGACAATTCATGTAATAAAGTTCAGATTTTTAAAACATTATTTTCATTTCTCGAATTGATCACCCAAACTAAAGAAATTTGCATGATATTTAACGAAAATGAAATCATTGCTTTGCTTTCAGACTATTTATTGCTTGGAAATTGTATATCAGGATCTTTTTTACATGTTATTGAAAATTTATTCAAGATTAATAGTAACAGCATGGAATTTATATCATGGATTTTGCACATTGCAGAAACAATTAATAAGCAGTATATTGATACATCTCTTTCTTTATTAACTTTAGCCGTCGAATCTGAAATAGTCGAAGAAACTGGAATATTTTCAATTTTAATGTTTCTTGTTTCACTCTTGGAAACTAATCATACTGATCAAAGCTCCAAATATTATGAACTTCTCCATAAAATCTTAATCAAATTTCCATTTGTGTTTCAATCTATTCAAGTATCAAGGATCATTCGCCTAATAATAAAAGGTTTGGATTCTTCGAATATTCATATAAAAACTCTTTCATTTGATATGATTTCAAATTCATTATCACAACTAAACAAAGATAATGCAATTATACTCTCCAACTTTATAAAAAGAGAATCTATCATTTCAGGATTGCTAGATGATGATATTGACCTAACAATTTCTGTTTGTAATTTTTTATTACAGCATGACTTTATTTTAGAAAATATTATTGACGCTATTATATCTGAAAATATCATACAATACTTAATTTCGCAAATAGATAGTTCTAGTTATGAAGCAAAAGAAACAATTTTCAACTTTGTTTCAAAAGTGTATATATTATCGCATTATGATATTCAGAATATGATTTTATGTCATTTGGATGTACAAACAGTCATAGATTTCTGCGTAAATGCGCAATATTCCGAAACATTGAAAAATATCCATGAGTTTATCTACTTGGTATTGAAGGAACACCCTGAAATTAGAGGAAATATTAATTTAGATGATTTTTTAGATATGGAAATCCCTGATGAAACAGAAGATAATTTTATTTTACTAATTAATGATTTAATCAATGAAAATCAATAGTACATAGTACTGCAAAGAAAAACTAAATGTAAATCTTCTCTAAAAATATAAAAATACACATAATTTACTTCAAATTCTTGTTATTTTTTAGAAATAAGAAAGATAAATCAGATAATTCAAGATCTATTTCAATTTTTAAAAATCTTTTGCGATATTGAGTTGAAATACGAAGAAAAATTATAGAATGAAAATAAATATCTTTATTCCATAAATATTTTGAAGCTCAATAAATTGCATGATATTTATAAATACAAATGAGATGATTTCATTAATCAGGTTTCAGATTTTCGAAATTTCAATAAAAAATTCTTTATTATAAATCCTAAAAATAGGTCATGCATGTAGTATATTCCATTAGGATTATTATTTCATCATGTTTGGTCTCATTCACCGATGAGACCATTCCAAAATTTCGATATTCGAATATCCAACCAAATAAAAATTCAAAAAATTGAAATTTTACTTGGCCGGGTAACGATCAATTTTTATGTTTGTTTTCGCTCTTCTTTGCTACCTCGGTCAGAGTGTAGATTACATAGAAAAGATATCAAAATTCATGAGCTCTGGACAGCATAACAAAGCCATTCAAGTGGCAACAGATTATATTGAAGATCAAGGCATTATTGACGCTGATCCTCTTCTTTACAAGTTACGTGGTGAATGCAAGTTTATCTTAGGTCAGTATGATGATGCAATATTAGATTTATCGAAAATTATTAACTATGTTCAAGCACAACCGAAAGATCAACAAAATGCTTACTCAATTCGTGGCCAGTGCAACTTAATTCTTGGCAACCTCGACGATGCGCTCAATGATGCTACGAAGAGTAAGAACAACACCCTCTTAAAAGCAGTAAAAACTTGCAAATTCCAAATTGACGCTGCCAAAGTTTCTGAGAAGAACAAAGTTCCAAAGGAAGCCCTTGAACATTACCAAAAAGCCCTTAAATTTGCTCCTCTTTCCATTGTTCATCTTGTTAAAGCTGCAGAAAACGCTTTACAGATTGGAAACAGTGAAGAATTTGATAACCTCGCTCGCCAGATCTTCAAAGTTGATGCAAAGAACCCAGGTTACATTCTTTTGATTGGCCGTGACGCCTTTGAGAAGAATGACCTTGGTTTGGCCGAAACTCGCTTTAAGAAATGTTCAAGCACCAATAACAACTGCATGAGATTACTTAAAGCTACAAAGAAGCTTTCCTCAGCCAGATCTAAAGCATCAAGTCTTATTCGTCAGTCAAAGTTCGAAGAAGCCACAGAACTGATGAACCAATGCATTGAGATTACAAAGCAATACGCCAAACCAAGCTCCCATGTTTCTCTTTCTATTGATATTCTTAATGTTAAGATTCTCATCAAGAAAGGCAAGCAAACAGAAGCTCTCGATATCCTCAACAATATCATCAAATCATACCCAAATAATACAGAAGTTCACTGCGATCGTGGTGAAATTCTCATTGAACTCGAAGATTACGATGGCGCCATCAGCGATTTCTCTCTTGTTACACGCCTTGATCCAGAAAACAGACGTGCTAAGGCTGGCCTCAAGAAAGCATCAGAACTTCGTGAGAAAGAGAAGCATCAAGATTATTACGAACTCCTTGGTGTCAAGAAAGGCTGCACAGAGTCCGAACTTAAGTCTGCATACAGAAAGGCCATCTTTAAGTGGCATCCAGACAGATTCCAAGATAAGACTGAAAAGAAGAACGCTGAGAAGCGAATGAAGCTGATCAATAAGGCCATGGATGTTCTAGGTGATCCTCAGAAGAGAAGATTGTACGATAACGGCGTTGATCCAGAAAATCCAAATCAGCCTCCACCAGATGCAGACGGCCAACAGTACTACGGCCAAGGCGGCCCACAGGGAGGTTTCTACCAAGGCGGTCCACAAGGCGGATTCTTCCAAGGAGGTCCTCAGGGAGGATTCTTCCAAGGAGGAGGTGGCGGCGGCTTCGAAGATATATTCAGAATGATGGCTGGACAAGCGCAGGCTCAGAGACAAGCTCAGCATCAGAACGGAAGAGCCAACAGGCGTAGATAAATTTAATAATAAAAAAAATACTCTGTTTCTTATTAAAAATTCTAAATATCTTCTTTACTTATTTGTCATGATATCTTTGTATTTCATAATTTTTCTAAAATCAAATTATATTACTTACACCAAAACTTTCCAATAGAGCTTTGGTAAAAGAATAGTGTCATATACTTTTGCTCGATCATATATTGTATAAAACATTCTAAAATTAAAATGAAATTTTCGTTAAAAATAGAATCATTATTTTAATATCAATATTATCTCATAAATTTGAGATAATGGCCCAATATTAAGTGGGTTATTATATCACTCAATATTTAAAGTAGAAAATATACTTTTCGAAGGAGTATGAATTTTCTGGTGCAAAATATATTATAAATCTTGTATCTAAAGTATAAATTACAAGAGTAAATGTATTGAATTATGAAAATAATTGTGTTGTAAAGACTCGTAACAATACTATGTATAATTTAGCAATTAGAAACTGGAACTATGCTCCATTTGGCTAATTAACGACAGAATAAATATAAATCGGTTTATGCCAAGAAACTATTAATTTGTCGGGCAAAAATAAAATCCTTTGATGCTGTATTAGAAAGAGTTTTATTTTTACAAACAACTAGGAATTTAAGAATCAATTCGAAAAATAAAGCGACAAATTCTAATGGTAATTCAGCAATTGATGTAGATCAGATGGATCTACTTCTCTATCTGTTTCGAAATTTTGTTCATGATCCGAAGAATTTTGATTTTCTGGATTTGAAGGAATGAATTCATTAAGATGAGGGTAAATTTCATTCCAATTTTCAGAGTACCAACAAAGTAAAGCCATTCTATTTCTATTAGCTAGTCTATCGATTTTTTTATTGATTATCTTGGAAACACTCCTTGCATATATTCGGAGCTGATCGACTGTAAGTTTTCCACCATGGTGGCTTTCTAAACAACTTACTACTACGTCGATCATGTGCTCATTTTTTATAATACGATCTTCAATTGCTTCTTGATCCTTAATATTCGAGAACATAATATCGTTGATATCTCTGTATCTTTTAGATTCAACAGTTTCGAGATAAGGATCATCATGCATTCGAGGATTGATGAATATTTTGACTGTAAATAAACTTTTCAAAACATAATTAATTTTTACTTCAGTAATGAATTTTCTATTTACATGAATTATACATGGCACGATGGGCGCTGTTTTTTGGCGCCAGCGGCGCCGCCCGAACCACCGGTTAGGGATACGACGGTTTTACGCCATGACCGTTTAAAAATAGAATAATACGCCATTTTTGGGGCCGAATGGCGGCTACTTCGTACCCGCCATTCGGCCGAATAACAAAACAATACAAAATTATCGCCGTCCTTTTTTTTCTTTCTTTCTCTTTTTTTTTCTCTCTCTTTCTTTTCTCTTTCCTCTTTTTACTCCTCTTTCTCTTTTCATCATTAAACGTAGAAAGATATATTAATATTATTTTAAAATTAAAAAAAAATAAAGAAAGTATAATAAGTAATTATTTAGTTATCGATATATATATATGTAAAGTGATAATCTGAGGATAATCTGAGGAGGAGTCTGAGGATTAGACCGAGGAGTAGTTTGAGGAGTAGTCTGAGGAGTTTGAGGAGTTTGAGGAGTAGTCTGAGGAGTTTGAGGAGTAGTCTGAGGAGTTTGAGGATAATCTGAGGAGTTTGAGGATAATCTGAGGAGTTTGAGGATAATCTGAGGAGTTTGAGGAGTAGTCTGAGGAGTTTGAGGATAATCTGAGGAGGAGTCTGAGGATTAGACTGAGGAGTTTGAGGAGTAGTCTGAGGATAATCTGAGCATAATCTGAGGAGGAGTCTGAGGATTAGACCGAGGAGTAGTTTGAGGATAATCTGAGGAGTAGTTTCAGGAGTAGTCTGAGGAGTTTGAGGATAATCTGAGGAGGAGTCTGAGGATTAGACTGAGGAGTTTGAGGAGTAGTCTGAGGATAATCTGAGGAGTTTGAGGATAATCTGAGCATAATCTGAGGAGGAGTCTGAGGATTAGACCGAGGAGTAGTTTGAGGATAATCTGAGGAGGAGTTTGAGGAGTAGTCTGAGGAGTTTGAGGATAATCTGAGGAGGAGTCTGAGGATTAGACTGAGGAGTTTGAGGAGTAGGCTGAGGATAATCTGAGGAGTTTGAGGATAATCTGAGCATAATCTGAGGAGGAGTCTGAGGATTAGACCGAGGAGTAGTTTGAGGATAATCTGAGGAGTAGTTTCAGGAGTAGTCTGGGGACTAGTCTCAGGACTAGTCTGATGAGGAGGACTCTAAGGAGTAGTCTGAAGAGTAGTCTCAGGAGGAAGATCTGAGGAGGAGTCTTATGAGGAAGATCTGAGGAGTAGTCTGATGAGGAGGGGTCTAAGGAGTAGTCTGAGGATGATGAGTAATCTGATAAGGAGTAGTCTGAGGATGATCTGAGGATAACCTGATGACTAGTCTAGGAGTGGTCTAATAAAAATGTAAAATATTTTCAAAGAAAAAATTCTATGAATTTTATATTTTAATTCTTAGCATTATACTGAATAAAATAAACATAAATATCAAAATTTGAAATTGAACACGCCAAAAAATTGATAATCCACATTCAATATTTTGTAAGTGGCGTACATTTTGAATACTCGCCATACGCCTTGGAGTTCTCAATTTTGAATTCGCCTTTATTTGGGCGACCTCAGAAAAATACGCCATTAAGAAAATATTGTATGAGATTTTAAATTTGAACACGCTCTACCTTAAGGAATTAAATTTATTAAGATATATTTATATATAATAAACGATTACTTAAAAAAAAGGTATTTCATCGCTTATGTAAGTTTCAAAAAAATCACGAAAATAAAAAAATCAAGATTAAAATTTTATTTTTAATTTTTGAATTTCTCAAATGGCGAAATTTTTGGGCGAACAAAAAAAATGTACGCCCGGTCAAATGGCGTGTTTAACGCATCCCTACCACCGGTGTCTCCCACTGGTGGGGAGGAGACGATAGAAAAAGTATATTTTTTCCTAAAAAATTTGAATTTTGAATTTTTTTTTGAATTTTTTGATAGAATTACAGCACAATTAACCATGTGTTGTACGATTAAATATACATGTTAATATGTTTACTAATCAAATATCTATTAAAAATGTGATTTAAGGTAGTTTTATGCAAATTTTTGGATTACGATCATTTGCGCCCGCGCCCAGTGGGCGGGGCGCTCGTAAACTATTCAAAAAGTGATGTAAATCATTCAAAATTACCTCCCAGCTCCCAATGGGAGGGTGGCATATAAATGGCGAGTATAAGATTCTTGAGGTGAGAACACATAGAAGAGAAACTAGCTTACCCCAAAAGAATCAGTATTGGAAGCGCCAAATGGCGCTACACGCGAAATTCCATAAGAACTCAATTTTAGGTATTCAGAATTTACATTCGTATATTAAGCTTATTACAACATGTGATCGTTTTTCATTCCTGTCTAGAATTGAAATGTGCTCTTTTCTGTATTACTCATTATTTTTTTCATATTATTTATTTTCAATATAACGAAAAATACGATTTATTCATAACCCACAACTTTGTGATCATATTTTTTCTCTTTCGTTTCACATTCTGAGAATTGGTTTTTGTAAACATTTCAAATCTTGATTGAACGAATATTACTATATCATTAATGTGTCAAACGAAAAAACGCAAAAAAAATTAGTGTCAGTTTTAGGTTCTAACATTTATTTTCTTTCTTGGATTGTAATCAAAAAATGGAAACAGCTAATTATCACATTCTCATCCATGAGCTAAGAAATCCAGATACACGCTTTTCTTATAATTGTTTATTAAAATTTCGATTTATGTATTATGATTTCTATTGATCAGGCCATTCATATACATATCTAATCAAAATATTTATCAAAAATGCTAAAATAATGAAACTGTATGTGTATCTTTTGAGTTTCGTTGAATATTCAAATATTTAGTTCCAACTTTTGCATGGCACTAGTAAGAATGCTGAAACTGCTGAAATCACAAATTTTTAAAATAATTAATTGCCAACAGTGCTAATTCTTGTAAATCTTGTATATATTCTAATATATTTTTGATATTTGGAGAGGGAGGAATGGAAACAAAGTCCACAATTCAGTCTATATGATGCGAAGATAATTCCTTTTTTTAGTTTTTTTGAAATTTTCAAAATAAAAACGACAAATTGAATCAGTTGACTCCAAATATGAATGGTATGATTTTATTTTGAAAAGTTTCTAAAAGGTACTTTTTAATTTTCATAAATTTTATCAATCAATCATTTGGTTATGATTTTCATATTACGCCTAATTTCAAATATATGGTAAAATCCCTATTCATATTTTGAATTTCAAATTGAAGTATTATAGCCCCTTTTAAAATGTAACTGTAATATTGTTAGCTTATTTTATCCTGCGTTATTATTCAATGTCTGGTTGTTCAGTTAAATAAGAAGAAATAATATGATCAAAATGACTCATTACAGAAATATTTTACAACCATTAAAACAACAATCAATATTTCAAATATAAGTTTTTCTATGGACAATTATTTTAAATAAGAAATAACAATACCCAGGACCTTCAAGAAGATGTGGGCCCAAAAAACAATGTACCGTTAATGTTAATCCAATTAGATGTTTACATACGTTATTGGATGAAAATCTAATTGATGCAGTCATTTCTTCTTTTCTTGTTCTATTTCTACAAACATAATAACATGTTTTCCCACATATATAATATAACATTTATTTTCCCCAATGAATTTCAAAGATGTTTTATATGGTAAAATTTAATGGTGGTAAATTTAAAAATATGTTACTTTTAAATTTTTTCATGTCTGATAAAGACACTCACCCAAATAAATACAGTGAATTGCAAAGTATATATAAATACTACATCGACCCATATAATATATTGTATAAGCTGAAAACTGAAAATGAAGAAGAAATAAACAAGATTTACAAAATGATCAAAACAGAATTGATTGATTCAAAGAAGCTTCTCCCTGTAAATATTATACAAGACATTTTATATATTATTTTGTTTAATAATCGCTATATAAAGCCATATTTTTCTCTTATCAAACTCATATATAATAATTATCAAGTACAAAAGGAAATTAGGGTTCCATTATCTTCCGGATATCTACTTTACAAAGAGTATAGAATTAATTTAAAAATCAGAAAATCTTGATATTCATTCAGAAAATACAATTTACAGAGCAATTATGTATAATGACAAAGAAAGATTCATGTCATTCACTGAAAGAGATGGATTTAATAAAGATCAAAGACTTAAAAGCAAGTTATATCCATATTCTAACAATGGATATTCATTTCTTGAATTATGTTGTTACCATGGAGCAGTTGATTGTTTCAAGTTTTTAAGAACGAAATTTAAATCAGAAATAACTGAAACATGTCTTGAATTTTCATTTTTAGGAGGAAATCCGGAGATCATGAGTGAATGTTTGAAATATCAAACACCAAATAAAGAATGCATGAAATATGCAATTATTTCACACAACATTGATTTTGTTACGTTCTTGATGAATGAGCACAATATAGAGATCCTTTTAGAATACTGCGGCATTTACAATAATCTTGAATCCTTTTTAGTTTATTTCGATCAAACTAATGATATAAACAAATGTTTTATTAATTCAATGAGGTTCAATTTTCCATCCTTATCCAAATACTTTCTTTCACATGGCGCAAATATCAATGCAAAAGATAAATATGGAAAAACTGCTCTTCATTATGCAGCAGAAAATAATAGTAAAGAAACAGTTGAACTTCTTATTTCACATGGTGCAAATATCAATGAAAAAGATAACGATGGACAAACAGTTCTTCATTATGCAGCAAGATCTAATAGAAAAGAATATATCGAATTTCTTATTTCACATGGTGCAAATATCAATGAAAAAGATAAAAATGGAGCAACAGTTCTTCATTATGCAGCAAGATCTAATAGTAAAGAAATAGTCGAACTTCTTATTTCACATGGTGCAAATATCAATGAAAAAGATAACGATGGACAAACAGTTCTTCATTATGCAGCAGAAAATAATAGTAAAGAAACAGTTGAACTTCTTATTTCACATGGTGCAAATATCAATGAAAAAGATAACGATGGACTAACCGCTCTTCATATTGCAGCAGAAAATAATAGTAAAGAAACAGTTGAACTTCTTATTTCACATGGTGCAAATATCAATGAAAAAGATAAAAATGGAGCAACAGCTCTTCATTATGCAGCAGAAAATAATAGTAAAGAAACAGTTGAACTTCTTATTTCACATGGTGCAAATATCAATGAAAAAGATAACGATGGACTAACCGCTCTTCATATTGCAGCAAGTAATAATATAGGGTGTCCAAAGGTGCGTTTAGCACAGCGCTCTATATGAGACTATTAAAGGAGATATATGCTGATTATAAATATATAATAAAAAATATGAATATATGTATATGATGAGTATGTTGTATTTTGGCGCCATGCCGGTATATAAAATGAATTTTGAGACAAGAGGCGGTTTCGCGGGAAATTTTGGCGGGATTTTTTTCATTTTTTTAATGAATCATAAAGAAAACATCCTCGCTCTTGCAAAAAAATGCAAAGACTGTAAAAAAATCTACGCGACATTGGTAAAATGCTTCGGTATGGATGCTCCTAGCTATTCCACTGTAACGTATCATGTTAGGATGTATCACTTCATGAACAAAAAGGCGCCCTTCATAAAAATTGACAAAAAATCGCCGGATCAAAGAAAAATCAAAGCAATTCTTCAAGCGCTAGATGAAGACCCAAGAGCATCACTCAGAAGGATAGAGGAGATGACAAAGATACCAAGTACAACAGTCAGTTATTATCTGCACAATTATTTGAACTACAAACTAGCGTATACACGTTGGGTTCCGCACAACCTTAATTCAGTTCAAAAAAAATCTAGAGTCCAATCTTCGAAAGAGCTCCTCTCTATATTGGGTGCGTATCAATCCAAGAAGTTTCGCTTTTTAGTAACAGGGGACGAGTCTTGGTTTCAATATGCAACAAAAGCCAAAATCATGTGGATCCCGAAGGATGAAAATCCGCAAACATTCCCGAAGAAAAAAATTGACACACCAATGATGATGTTGTCGGTTTTTTGGGGCGTGAATGGCATCATCGCAATTGATATTCTTCAAAAACCTAATACGATGAATGCTCAGTATCTAATTGACAATGTTCTTACTCAAATTATCAATTCTGATGAGTTTGAGAAATCCAAACAACAAAAACAAAAGTTTGCAATTCATTTTGATAATTCAAGAGTTCACAAAAGTCATAAGGTAATGAATTACTTGGTGGAAAACAATGTCAAAGTTGTTCCAAACCCAATTTATTCACCTGATATTGCACCCTCTGACTTTTATTTATTCGGCACGCTAAAAAGAGAGCTGAAGGACGCGAATTCGCGAGTCCAGATGATCTTGAAAATTTTGTAAGAGAGCAATTTGAGCAATTTTCTCATGATGATTTAAAGCGTGTCTTTCAAGCCAGGATCGATCGCTGCGAACGCGTGATTGAATCCAATGGTGATTATATTTAAATAAACTTTATATATATGTAACTTGTTTATTTCTATTCGCAGTATTCAGGTTTGTGCTAAACACACCTTTGGACACCCTATAGTAAAGAAACAGTTGAACTTCTTATTTCACATGGTGCAAATATCAATGAAAAAGATAACGATGGACTAACCGCTCTTCATATTGCAGCAGAAAATAATAGTAAAGAAACAGTTGAACTTCTTATTTCACATGGTGCAAATATCAATGAAAAAGATAAAAATGGAGCAACAGTTCTTCATTATGCAGCAAGATCTAATAGTAAAGAATATATCGAATTTCTTATTTCACATGGTGCAAATATCAATGAAAAAGATAAAAATGGAGCAACAGTTCTTCATTATGCAGCAAGATCTAATAGTAAAGAAACAGTTGAACTTCTTATTTCACATGGTGCAAATATCAATGAAAAAGATAAAAATGGACAAACAGTTCTTCATATTGCAGCAGAAAATAATAGAAAAGAAACAGTTGAATTTCTTATTTCACATGGCGCAAATATCAATGCAAAAGATAAATATGGAAAAACTGCTCTTCATTTAGCAACATATTTGAATAGTAAAGAAACAGTTGAACTTCTTATTTCTTATGGTGCAAATATCAATGAAAAAGATAATAATGGACAAACAGCTCTTCATAAAGCAGTATATTGGATTAGAAAAGAAATAGCTAAACTTCTTATTTCACATGGTGCAAATCTCAATGAAAAAGATGAATATGGAAATACTGCTCTTCATTTAGCAACATATTTGAATAGTAAAGAAACAATTGAACTTCTTATTTCTTATGGTGCAAATATCAATGAAAAAGATAAAGATGGAGAAACAGCTCTTCATAAAGCAGCAATTTCGAATAGTAAAGAAACAGCCGAATTTCTTATTTCACATGGTGCAAATCTCAATGAAAAAGATATATTTGGACAAACCGCTCTCCAAATATCAGCAAATTGGAAAAGAAAAGAAATAGTTGAACTTCTGATTACAAATGGAACAAAGTATTAATGTTTCGATATAAGACACTTATTATTTTATGATAACCATGTCAATCGAGTGGTGATGCGTAAATGAAGATTCTTATCATTTGTTAAATATTGCAAGAAATCTCTTGAAAATCTTGGAGTTCCTTAAGAATCGATCTGAGTCAAGATACTTGTCGAGATACTGTTTTGAAATTGCAATTTTAGGATACCCAATTGCTCAAAATTACTATGCTTTACACCTTGAGTTTGTCTGTTATGAATATAGGATCAATAGAGGATTCTCAGACAAATGGTAATGCTAGTCATCATAGTGACGATAGTATATTAATACTCATAGTAAGTTAAAAGTATGTTAATACATATAAAATAAAATAATTTTGATAAGAATTTATAAACTTAATAATTTAGTCATATGATTTATTTACATCCAATATGAATCAAATATATATGTTTTAATATTAAAGTCACAAATTTCATTTTACTGAAATCTAATTAATTCAAATTCCTGAAATGATGGTAATTTTGGGAAGATTTTATTGTTAAAATCATGAAAGCTTCATGAAGTTGTATATGATTTAAAAAAAATGTAGTAATTGGGCAAGTCTTTTAAAGAAACAACTAAAATATCATATAAATATATCATTAATCTCATGCCAAAAAGTTTGGAATTATTATTTGATATAAAAAAAAATCAAAGTTTGGAATTATTATTTGATAAAAAAAATCATATTCTCAAATGAGATACAACCCACTTTAAGTGTTCACATCTGTTAAAAAGCTAAATTTAAAAAAAAAAGAATAATATATAAAAACTTTATTTTGAATTCATCAATTTTCTATATTGTATCAATTTTTCTGTATTTGGACCACCTAATTCAATTAACATATCGACAGCTTTCATATTCTTTTCATCAAGCAAAATAGCTTTAGATAATTGCTTGCGAGCGATACTTTTATTATCATCGCCATCCATATTCGAGCGAGCTTCGGCTGCGTAGACATAAAATGAAGAATCATCATCGACAAAGCTGATAGCTTCTTCGTAAGCAAAAGCTGCACGGTCGTAGAGCTTTTCCTTCATGTAAAGGTGTCCTAATTCTATCCATGCTAATGTATCATCGTAGAAAATCTCGAGATGTCTGACATATGCGCCAATTTGCTCAATTGGGTCATTATTATCGTGAACGTAGAGTATAACACGAGAGTAAAGAATGTCATCAGAGTGGTGATCAGACCAATCTATCAATTGGCCTGCTAAGTTATCACGATCATATCCTTGTGTAAGTTTGAGAAGCCATTTAATGAGTTGGAAAGGACCAGAATGGTCATGCTTGTTAACAAGCATCTTTTGAATAGTTCTTGCAACATCATTATTCTCTTCTTTCTTTGATAAAGCCATAACAATGCCAATCTTGCATAAGAGTTCGTCAGGTAAGTGTTTAAGATCAACATTACGAAGTTTATCAGCTAATGCTTCATTCCTGAAACCTATACTACGTTGTATCTCTTGTTCGAACTCCATTTGCTGTCACTTTTTAGAACTAAATCAGCCCCAGAATCCAAAAAATATTCTACATCATATTTTTACTGTAAATTATCCATATTACCTAGAAATTCATTTTGGGCTTCTATTTCTCTAATATTAAGCCAAATAACTGAAACATCTCATTATATATGGAGTATAATCTATGCAAATGAATGGATTACATATTATAACTCTTGAGGATACTTCTCATCGGAATAATGATGCCAATAAGTTTTCATGGAATTTTAGTTCAAGAGTTTTGTTGATGTGAGATAGTATAGAAAAAAATTTTGGTGAAAGACATTATTTATTGCTCAATGTGTTAGTTGTTTCAGTGGCAAGTAAGTGATCAAATTGTGTTGATAATGAAAATAAAACATAAAATGATGTGTTTTTATAAAATTATTAAATTTGATTCAAAATATCATCAATAAAAGCAATCATTCGTAGATTATACCCAAATGAAGTATATACAAGCAATAGTAAAGGAATGCATTGCGCTTATTGCCTTGCTTTCATTTACTATGATCTATTCAATGATAATTTGATTTACAAATTTTCAAACTTTTGAGTGCAGAAAACATCATTTCTGAATAGTCGAATTATGCTTTATAAACTAGATCTTGTAGTTATTATTACGATAACTTTCAATACCTTTGATTAACACACTGTTTGATTTTGAAACATTTCATTTTAAACATAAGAGAATTATTAAAATACTCAAAAACTAAAGGGTGATATCTTCTAATGACATCAGTATAGTGCTTATTTTAATAACAAAAAAGTATAACTACCATTTTGGGAACTATATGGTGTTCTATAAAAACTTTTTGCAGACCAAAAACATTAACTCTTTAGTTTAGAAATTGGGACATAAAGAAAGTGGTATCAAAAAAATTGAGAAAATATCAGAAAGTCTTTTAAAAGAATAAATTAGATATATATGTGTTTCACATAAGCAAATATTTGTAAAAAAATTTTGAAATTTTTTTTCATAAGAACAAATAAATACTTATTGATGAAACATAAATAAAATAATGAAAATAATATATAAAAAATCAGTTAGTAACTGCAGGAGTGAAATTATCCGCATTTGCATCCATCCAATCTCCACTTAAAATCAATTCAACCAAATGAAGCATTTTTTCAGACGAAAGCTTCAAAAACGCGCCTCTCTTAAACCCTACATCGCTTTCTCCGTAGTTATCCACGTAAGCAGTTGTCACATCAAATATCTTTTTTACAACACCGGAATAAATGACTACAGAGGTTGAATTCCTTCCTGTTATGTACATAATAGGACTGAACGTGTTGCCCAAAACCTTCCTCACGTGTTCTTTATACGTTGGAAATCCTCCTTCCGTCTTCTGACTGAATTTGACCACTTTTCCTGTGAGAAGACACAATCCTGTGTCATGATACATGTCTCTGATCTCCAAGGAATAAGGTTGTCTGGCCAAATCAACGTAATCTAGAGGTAATTTGAGCAAAACATAGGCAGGCAATGAAAAATCAGGGATTTCGAGCTGGTATCTCACTGAAAGAGATGATGCTGATAATATATCATCCCAGTCTGTGAAGCCACATCGGTCTTCGAAGCGTTCATTTAAACAAAAATGTTCAATTAGAGCACTTCTTCTGGCGAATTCCAATCTTTGGTCCGGGGAAACTCTTCTACCTATCGAGGAAACCCTTTTCACGTACCCTGTCTTCGGATCTTCGTTGACTAGCAATTGCATGACTAAAATTATCAATGGATCGTTAGTAGCGAACGGAGTTTCCTTCAGCAATTTATCATTTATCTTGAAATAATGATAAAGAGAGATGAAAAGGTATTTTGTAAGTAGATGAAAATTCGGTTGGTCGATGAAATCCGGTTTTAGCCTAAATCTGATCTCCGAAACTGTCAAGTGGGCACAAAATGACTGTAGTATGTACTCAGCGTTGGCCTTTCCGAAGATAAATTGGATACAATTGTTGATACTTTCAATTTGCTGGTCAGAAAGAGGTCCAGAAAAATCATTAATGATAGGGATTAATGCGTTCCTTCGTCCTCTACAGACCGGGCATTGAAATCCTTCCTTCCAATTGAGACATACCGGATGTACAGGGTGCGTACACATCTTAAACATGGTCGTAGTGTTGTAGGAGTCCTTGGTAGTACCGTTTAACGAGTTTTCAATGACATCGGCCATAGGAGAATTATATGCCAAAACTGGGTAATGAAGTAATCCCAATTCCGACGCGCAGACCGAACATGTCTCTTTATGCTCTGTCTCGTCATGCGCGTAGAAATCGAAATTGGAAAGGTGGCATTGTAATTCGTCCAATGCTCTTTTCTTGGCCATGAGGGCCATTTTTTTGTTTGTCGTCGTTTTGGAGTCGTGTGGTGGTACAAATCCAATTGACATCTCTTCAAGGCTCTTATAAGTCCATTTTCCGAAAGATGTGATTATATCTAACGCCGTAGTGGCCGCGCGACCTTTGAATGATATTGGCGTGAGCATGAATTGTTCGAATTTGTCGGGAATGGCCGTAACTAGCTCTTCCAAGTCCTTTGCAATTATCATTTTTGAATCTTTTGGCGAAATTCCTCTTTCTTTTGAGAATTTCGAGAACTGTACCAAGAGATTAACAACAATATGCAAACATGCGTTGTAGGAATTCGTCCAGGCAGCGTTAGAAATCACATTAAATTCAATAGCAAGGAGAATATTTGAAGATAATGACTCCTGGAGGTAGAGATGAGGATTATCTTCATATTCTGGGAATGGAATTATGCTTTCCGGGTAATGTGAAGTGTAATAAGCCATTGCTTCCAAGATATTCTTTGTTTGGAACCAAGGAGCGAACGGATGCCAGTCCCTTTCGTTCTGTAATCGAATCCTCGTGCGGCCATCTGCTGTAGATCTGTTAACGTGCTTAAAAAGTTCTGTCATAAAATCATTATCTGACAAAACATTGCACCAAAGGGTCTGGGAGATCTGTACGAGCTGGATGGGACCGGTTGCAAGACTGAACAGAATCGTTTGGAGCTTCATTCGCTTCCTATCGTCCGTAATACATGTCCTATCGAAAATTAAACACGTAATGAAGTGTAGAAAAGCAAATTGGATGGATACATCATCATCCTCGTCAGTAAATTCGTCGAATATACCGAAGTTTCTCGCAATCATTCCGATAAACATGTCTTTATCTTGAGATAATGAAAGTAAAATCTGAACAAACGCGAAAAGAGGAGCGTAGAACAGCTTTACATTAATCTCATTCTTAATGGAAGTGATCGCTTTGATGAAAGAAGTGGAATTTCGGACGAAATACTTAATAATATGCTTTTCTGCAGCGAATAGACGGACAGGAAGCAGAGCAGCGTTGATACAGAAATAACTTAAGTCAATTTGGTCGGTTTCGCATGCCAAACTTAAAAGATTCTTTGCATTTGGCAAATTTGACCTTAAAATCATTCCTGCGAAGTTATGGATAGCCAATCCAACAGATATATTAACTGATGGTTGCATAATTGACCTAAACAAGGCCATATTTTCGTCTTCAATGTTGTCAAAATCATTTTCAAAAAGATTTTGATTGATCCATCGGCCAAGAGTATCAAATACGACATCGTAGTTGTAATCCTGACCTTTCGTGATCTTAGAACAAAGGATTGATATACAATAAGTAATATCAGACAAAGCTTGGTGTAAATCGCTAAGATCGTTAGCTTTTTCACCGAATTGGCGTGATGTAGGTAACGCGCCTTCAAGTTTGATCGCTTGCAAACTCAATGTTTTGATGATTTCGTTTATAGAATTTCTGCATTTTTCATATCCGTTCATTGCAGAGATAAGGGAAGCGTAGTTCTTGAATATCTCTTCGTATCTGGCCTTCTTGAAGATGGATACATTGAATTGCAAGGAATAATCAATTATTAAAGAAAATGAATCGATAAAAGTTTTGGAACAATCGATTCCTTTGTCGATAATGTTCTTAAAGTTCTGATTTGTGAACGCTGTCTCAAGGAAATACGCGAAATGTCTAATTTGGAAGAAAGGAGGCACTGCGGGGTCACTTCTTGGGACAGAAGCTAGTTTGAGGCATTGTAGGATCAGGTTGGAGTATACTTTGATACCGACTTCGGTCATTTTGTTCCGAAAATTGTCATCATTGACCAAATAATGAAAAAGTAGGTAATATCCTTCCGCAGACTTAAAGAAAACAAGGGCAGCGTCCATAAATAATTGTTCTATGTCTATTGTCTTGATAAAAGCGTTCGCAAGGGCAGATCTTGTTCCTTCGCATAATTTGGCGTATCCGATCAACCATTTGACCAAACTGTTGAATGTAGGAGGTACGTATATTGATAACAAGTGGGCATTTGATAGAGCAGCTGAAAAACAAACTTCGAAATTTTCCATTTCTTGGTTTGTGAAGAAATTAGTGGACTTTTGGTCATGATGGTTGTGTCTTGAGCAACAGCCCTCTTTCTTCCAGTTGCTGTTGTCCCCGCAATCGCAATTTCCTTTCACGGATACGCATAAATTCACATTGTGTCCTCTGTGGTCGGAATTCAAGTAGCAATTCAGGCATATCGCGGATAGTTTGTTCATTCTGCACGTCTTGCATTGAACAACGAGGGTTGGAACTGACCATGAATATTGACAAGCGTCAGGATGATAATGGCTAGCAATATATTGGTTAAATTCTTGTATGTTACTAAATTTCCCGTGGCAGAAAATCGATTCGCATTGTTTTATGGCACTTTTTAAATCTGTTTTAAATTTGAACTCCAGAGACTTTCTATCGACAATTTTGTTAGCCAGGGTTAATTGTCCGTTGTCAAACATGTTGTTGTTCAATTGGATAAAGGGAGTGAATGATATTTGTGTCGCAAATTCACATTGATTCCAATTGAAGCCTTTGAAGAAAGGATGGGTTTGTATTGTCTTGTAGTCCGTCCAATAATCTTTATGGCCTAATCTTTCTTCTGGTTTCTTCTTAAGAAGTTTTGAAATCAAATCTGCAGCATCTGGTGGGAAATAATGAGGTATTGTGTAGTTAACTAATGTTATGTGGCGCTTAATCTCTTGTTGGTTGCCGGAAACATGAAAAGGAGACTCTCCTGACAACATAAAATACAATATACAGCCTAAAGCCCAAAGATCGGTACTATGGTTAGCGGACTTTTTATCTATGATCTCTGGAGCTAAGTATTCCATGTTCTGTTGAAAAAAACATGTTTTTGAAGAACGAATATTCGGATAATCTTTACTTTGTGAGAAAATGAACTGAGAGAGCTTCACACGGTTTTCTTTATCGAATAATATACTTGATGGCTTAATATTACAGTGAATAAATGCTTTTTGATGTAAAAATGCCGTTGCTTTGAGTAATTGTGCAAAAATAAGTCTAGCGTTGAGTATAGACAATGACTTGTATTTTCCGACTATTGTGGCGAGATTTTCGCTTGATATATTTTCGAATAAGTTATATAAGTTTTCGTCTTCTTGAAATGAGGCTATTTGCTGAAGTATGTTAGGGTGATGAATGGACATGAGTATAGAAGTCTCTTTTGTGATTTCTTCAACGTTTTTGTGCTCTAATAACTCGGTTGTTGAAATTATTTGAAGAGTGTATTTGGAATTATCCCGTTTGAGTTCAACCTCGCATACTTGATATTTCTTGTTCGAAGATTGACGTTGTGATATTATATTAAAATCATTTCGAGTATTCCATAATTGAGAAAGCTTGGGCTTCAATGATGGCGGACTCTTCGACTTCTTGTGGATTTTCATCATGGTTTTTCCGTTTAAAAGCCGAACTTCTCTTGACCCAAAAATTGAATGAAAATTTTCAGAATTCGAATTGATAATGAAAATTTTACTCGTTTTCACTATGATAATTGTTATAAGCATCTAATAAACATCTAGATTTTTAATGAAATAGGGCTCAATCTTTACTTTTTGCCATTTGTCCCAAAGGACAGTACTTCTCCATGAGCTTTCAGGACTTCATTGTATTATGTCGTAGATTCTTTATCCTGTTCTAAGAACAACGGATGATGGTTGCAAACAAAAACTTAATCCTATTCGTCATATTAGCGATTATATTAAAATACTACGACTTCGGGGGATTGAAGCAAGCCACCAAGATGTTTTATGTACATATATATGATCTATGCATGCTTTATTAGAATACATTTTACAAAAATCATTATTGCAAATTGGTGACTTGGCTTTTTCATTTTCCAAATTTCGTCAATGTCAAATCAATTATAATTTCCTTATGTATAATTGGCATACCAAAATAATCTTTCAAAGTGTTGCTATTCGAAAATAATTTGATAGATCTTTATCTAATACCTTATTAATATGTATATTCTACTTAACTATGAGTGTATATGAGATATTTGTTAATGTTTACTGAGATTAATGATGATTAATTTTTAAAATTTTGATTTTTACATAAACTTTTGAATTTTTGAGATCGTAAAGAAATTTCTCATTATTATTTTCTGACAACCTATCCATTTTTGATCGAATCTTGATGAAACTGAATTTCAATACATATTAGCCTATTAAAGTATCTCCATAGATATCTCAGGCCGATATATTAGATAAAAACTTATTCAATATCAAGAAATCTATATCTTATAGATTGTGTTGCATAAGAAGGTGGCTCATTATTTTTATGTCCTAGAAAAACTGGAAAATACAGTATTTGAAATACTTTGACTAAAATCTGTGAGGTCAATTATACTTCATATGGAATATGCAAAATAAATTGCATGAAAAGCGTATATTTATTAAGAAAATGTATTGTATAGCTGTCATGTCAAAAACTTAGATATATTAAAAATTATATAAAAAATTTCTTAGTTTCTAAAAAGTTTTCATCCAACTTTGAAAGTGTAAATGAAAAGGATTGTGTATTCTACAAAAAATAAAACAAAATCAAAAAGAATTCTTCGTAATAAATTTCATTTTCTAATGATTTTGATAAAAATTTTGTATATGATAAAGTTCGGTTTATTTAGAAATCGAACATGTCGCCGAGGTCAAGTGGAGCAGCTGGCTCTTCTTCCTTGGCTTCTTCCTTTGGAGCTTCCTCAGCAGCAGCACCAGCAGCGCCGGCAGCTGGAGCAGCGGCAACAGCGGCACCTGTGGAGATCATCTTCTTGGCGCCCTCTTCAATGAGTTCCTCAACGTTCTTGCCTTCGAATTTGGCGATGACGTGGTTGAGCTTCTGCTCGTCGACAGCAGCACCAACGGACTCGAGAATAGCCTTGACATCAGCAGCTGATGGTGTGTTGTTTCCGCCGGCAATTGCGAGAAGGTAAGCAGCTACGTATTTCATCGGAAAAGAACAACCAAACCTCCGGCACTTTTTCTTGCTCCTCATAGGCCAGAAAAGATTTTCCAGTAAATAATGGATATGCTATTCCCCTTCAGTAATAATGAATAATTACGCTTTAAACAAGGGCTGTTCTTTATAATTTGTGGAAATAAATATATCTTGCGATGAATCATGTTGAAATATAAAGCAATGTTCCAAAAAGTTTGATTGCTTTATATATCATAGATGCTTTATGTTGATATCTTTGCAGAAACAAAAATTAGACCGTATTAAATGCCGCAAAGCATGATTCATCATAAAACATACTATAGTGTGTATATTTGTAGCCCATTTTCCAAAAATTTTGTACAAGTGTCTCAAAATTTTTTTTGTTGAGAAAATTCTGTCAAGATAAATAAATGTCTGAAGAAGCAAAGGAGAGGGTTACATTTGTTTATCACCCAGCAGAACTTTCTCTTAAGGGCAAGAACAGAGGAAATTTCGAAGATCAGCTTACTAAAAACATGAAATTACAACTTAAGCATTCCGGAATCACAGATGTACACATCGAAAAGATCCATGGCCGTCATTTCGTTTCAGTTCCAGCAGATAAGGAGTCAGTCCTTGAAGAAATGTCTCCAAAATTCTTTGGTGTAGCCAACTATGGTAGATGCTACACTTTCCCACGTGCCCAGGAAGATGAATTCAAGAAGCATATTGTCCAGCACTTCCGTGAGCTTAACGAGAAGTCCAAGATTGAGTCATTCCGCATTGAAACGTCTCGTGTTGATAAAAGATTCCCGTTGAAGTCAATGGAATTCTCAAAGGAGATCGGTGGTCTCATCCACGAGCAAGTAGGAATTCCAGTCAACCTTACAAAGCCAGCAACTACAGCCTGGATCGAAGTTCTTAATGATAAGTTCGTCTACTTTACAGCTCGTTTACCAGGTGCCGCTGGTTTACCAGTCCAATCATCTGGTCGTGTCGCCTGCCTTCTTTCTGGCGGCTTTGATTCACCAGTTGCTGTTTGGTACATGATGCGTCGTGGATGCGCAGTTCAACTTGTTCATTTCCACTCCGCACCATATGGCGAGTGGCGCTCATCCGTTTCCAAGATCCGCAAGATCGTTTCTGTCTTACATCAGTGGGGTGGTCCACCAAAGTTCTACGCAATTCCAATTGGCGAGCAGCAAAGACAGATTGCAGTCGATGCACCAGATAAACTCAGAATTACACTCTACAGGCGTCTCATGATGAGAGTTGCCAAGAAGATTTGCGAGAGACAGCATTGCGAGGCCTTAGCAACAGGAGATTCACTTGGCCAAGTCGCTTCTCAAACAATTAACTCAATGACAACAATCGAATCCGTCATTTCCCCAGATATGCTCATTTTCAGACCATTACTTGGCTTCAACAAGGAAGAAATCATGGAGAAGGCACAGCAGATCGGTACTTATGATATCTCTATCCTTCCTGCAGGAGATTGCTGCTCTCACATGTTGCCAAAGAAAGTTGCAACTCATCCAACAATCGAAGAGGCAACAGAAGGCGAAAAGAAGCTCAACATCGATAAGATGGTTGAAGATGCAATCGCTGCTGCTCAGCTCATCGATATCAATGCACCATGGAATGAAGAAGAGCCTGGTGAAGCTCTTGCTTGCCCATTAACAACATCTAAGTTCCAAGAATAAAGTTTTTTTTATTTATTATATTAACTATTGATTCTATTTTAATTAGTAATCGAAAAGTAAGAAAATTAATATAATTTCAAAATAATTTAGGTCAATATCATAAAAAATGCACTCAGTGTTGAACTTAATATAAAATTTTGTGGTGTAGAGATTGTATGCTGCCTAAAAATACAATGTTATAGAATAATGGTATCATAAAAATCTCTTTGAATCAAATTCTCATTGATAAATAGCATTTCTGTTTAATTATTTTGATTGTTTTCATAATGTTTCCTGATAAATTTTTCATATACGCATATAAACTCTTTAAAATAACTTAATTTTCATTTGATTATCATACAATTATCAAATCTTCATAAAATTAATGGTTAATTTCACCTTTTATCAATATAAAGGTAATTTTAGATATGAATATGCACTAAAAAGTTATTAAAAAAATTAATATAAAAATTTCTAAAATACTTTACTCTTCATCTTCATTATCATCAACCTTTGGTGCAAGATAGTACTTAATATCGCCAGCTTCGTCCTCAAGATCAAACTGAACAAGGAATGGACGGTCATTAGAAAGGCAAAGCTTAACATTCTCTGAAAGTGGGGCAGCCTTTGTGAATAAGTTAAGGTAGCGGAGAGCGAAGGAAAGCTCGATCTTATCCTCGCACTGGATTGTGACTTGGGATCCGTCCTTTCCAGCGGATTCGAAGTTAGAGTAGTTAAGGCAGCAGTTTGTGTTTGTACCAGCAACAGCGAATGAAACTCTAGACTTTTCTACTGTGATCTTAACTGTATCGCCGAACTGAGCGAGATCGCGGCAGATCTTCTGGAATTCACTGCATCCAAGTGTGATTGTAGCTTCTGGCTCTGCATCTGGAATAGAAAGATGTTCTGATGAGATATCCATTAAGTTCATCTGGAATTCGAAGTAGCGATCAGAAGATGAGTTTTCGAACTTGAACTTGAGGCAGGACTGATCCTCGTTTGTTTCTAATGTAAGAACATCATTGTTATCACCGCACTTCAAGATCTTTTGGATGGCGCCGAGATTGACACCAAGGGATGTGTTCTGAGCACAGTTGTACTTCTCAAAACCATTGGCGTTAAGGTTCATTGAGACGAGGGCAACGTGAGCTGTATCCATAGCCTGAAGAGAGAGTCCTGTTTCGCTGCATTCGATGTTAGCTTCTTCGACAAGGTCACGAAGAGCATCAAGGATCTTCTTAAGGTTTCCTGGATTGGTCAAACGGCACTCTACCATTTTTGCAAATGAACCTAAACGTATAGTTTACAAAAGGGAAGTTCACCTTTCGTTTCAAAAATAAGGAAGTTCTTTTTTGGAAGAAAATAAATATTTCTACTATCCACCTGTATAGGATTTTATTTCGAACAATTTCGCAGACTTGATAAATTCTTCAAAAATAATTTAATTATTCTTCTGAGTTTTTGTCTTATTCCAGAATGGTCTTTGATGAGATGACTCAATGAATGTAATAACAAAAAGATGCATGACAGCAGTATTATATGCTTTCAATTCCGTTGTTCAATACAATTGGAACACATATAGTATATTCAAGCAAATTAATGTTTCACATATCAATTATTTAACATCTATAGTGACTTTTATTTTCAGTGTCAAACAAATTCATTAATTCTTATTCCATTCCAAAACAATTGATAAAAATCTAATGTTTTAGCTTTGATTTATCACAAACCCAAGAATTTACAAGCTTGCTTGGTCTGATTTTGAGATTTTGTCTGTCTATAATTGTGACTAAGTTGATCATATCCTGAAACTGTGTGATTATGAAACATAATAGAACTTTTATATATATATATATTGTTTGTCTGTTATAACCTGAATTGAATGTGCGTTAGCATCATAATAGGAATTAGATTGAAAATGAATGAGATTTGTTCATAACACATGATATATAAGAGCATGACTGCAAGCATTCATATATTTATATAGAATATAGGTTCCAAGTTAGAGGATGTAAGCCATATCCTGAGAAGATTGCTAAATTCATGAAAGCACTTCAAAAAATGACAGATAAAAAACAAACAAATTAGGGTAAGGATTAAATAACAGATAGGTGTAATAACTTTTAGCATTATCCTGACGATAGAAAATTTTTGTAATTTTTTTTTCGATAAAATGAGCGATCAAGGAGAGGTTGATACAAAGGAAATAGAAACTGAGTACCAAGAGGCAGTTGGTGAGCAGGCAACTCCTGAACCAGCCGAAAATGAAAATCAAACAGAAAATTCAGAAACTCCAAAAGATGATGAAACAAAACCAGAAGAAAACAACAATGAAAACGCTCAACCAGAAGCAGAAAAGCCTGCTGAGGTTGAAGAAACACAAGAAAAGCAACCAGAACAAGAAAATCAACAAGTTAATCAAGAAAATGAACCACCAAAAGAAGAAACTACCGAAAATACACAAGCTGAGCAACCACAGGAAGAAACAAAACCAGAAGAAGAAAACAAAGAAAACGCAGAAAATGAAAATACAAATATCGAGGAAACAAAGCAAGAAACAGAAGAAACAAATACACAAGAAGAACAACCAGCTGAAGAACAAAAGCCAGAAGAGAAAGTTGAAGAAAATATCGGAAATACAGAATCTGTAAAGGAAGAAGCAGAAAAACCTACTGAAGAAGCGAAACCAGATGAAGAGCAGCCAGCTGAAGAAGTAAAGCCAGAAGAAAATGTTGAAGAACAAAAAGAAAACGCTGAAGAACAAAAATCTGAACAAAATCCAACAGAAGAAGAACCAAAGCAAGAAGAACAGCCAGAAACCGAACAAAAACAAGAAGAAAATACCGAAGAACAAAAAGAAAATACAGAAGAACAAAAATCCGAAGAAAATACAACAGAAGAACAGCCAAAACAAGAGGAACAACCAGAAACTGAACAAAAACAAGAACAAACAGTTCCAGAAAATACAGAAAACAACGAAAATAAAGAAAATACAGAAAATGCTGAAGAACCAAAGCCAGAAGAAGAAAAACTTGAAGAACCCGAAGCTGAAGTAGTTGTTGAACGCGATATTAAAGAAGAACAAGCAGAAGAACCAAAAGAAAATTCAGAATCTCGGCCAGAAGAGAAGAAAGAAGAATTCAACCCGTTTGGAACCACAGAAGAGAAACCAGTTGAAGAAAAGAAGGAAGAAGAGAATGTTTTCGGTGGATTTGTTGATAATGTCCCAGAAAAGAAAGAAGAGAAGAAAGATTACTTCAATCCATTCGGAAATACAGAAGAGAAACCAGATGAAGAGAAGAAAGAGGAAGAAAACGTTTTCGGAGGATTTGAAGATAATATTCCAGAAAAGAAAGAAGAAAAGAAGGAAGATTTCAACCCATTTGGCACTACAGAAGAGAAGAAAGAGGAAAAGAAGGAAGAAGAGAACGTTTTTGGTGGATTTGTCGATAATGTTCCAGAAAAGAAGGAAGAAAAGAAAGATACTGACTTCAATCCAGTCGGAACAACAGAAGAAAAACCTGCAGAAGAACCAAAGCCAGAAGAAAACGTTTTTGGTGGATTTGAAGATAATATTCCAGAAAAGAAAGAAGAAAAGAGCGATTTCAATCCATTTGGTAACACAGAAGAGAAGAAAGAAGAAAAGAAAGAAGAAGAAAACGTTTTCGGAGGATTCCAAGATAATATTCCAGAAAAGAAAGAAGAGAAGAAGGAAGAAGGCTTCAATCCATTCGGTGTCAGCTTCGAAGACAAGCCAGCTGAGAAACAACAAGAAGAAAAGAAAGATTCCGATTTCAATCCGTTTGGAGGCGGATTCGTCGACCAACCATCCGAAAAACCACAAGAAGAAGAGAAGAAAGATGATGGATTCAACCCATTTGGCGGAGATTCCTCATTCAATCCGTTCGGAGCAAATCAAGACAACTCTTTCAACCCATTTGGAGGAGATAGCCAGTCATTTACTGTTGATTTCAACTCATTCACACCAGACGCACAATCCCAGTCATTCACATTCGATGCTGATGAAGATGATTCAGCTCAAGATGAAGAACTTTACCAAAAATTCCTTACTTTGATACAGAATCCATGTTTCGACTATACAGGAAGACCTCTACAAGAACTGTTCCGTCACGAGGACCCAACAGATACTCCTGAAGCTGCATTCGCACTTCTTGTCGGAGAAAAGACCAAATAAGACTTTTTTTATTAATTATATATTTTATTAATAAATATGAATTCTATTTTGCTGTGCTAATACTTGATGATTCACTTGTTTTTAAAGTAAAATAAAAAATTCAAACTAAATTTCATAATTTAGATCTTCTCATCGTTACGTATTCTCAATTTTAAACAAGTCAACTATCAATAACCAATTATGAAGCTTCGTTACTAAAAATAAGATATTTTCTTTAAAAACTTTTTATTTTTGAAGATTCATGCTCTTCTCATTCTATAATATAGTCGGAAAACAATAGATATGACTATAGTGATTTGAAATCATTTAATGAAAATTCAGTATTTTGATTCATTTTTTTGTTTGTGATTGAGTTTTATTTGGAATTTAATTGCAAATGAAGATTAAAGTGATATGTAAATTTAACCACAGATGATTGACCCTTTGATACATTAGTTTTTTGAAATTGAACTTAAATAGATAGTCATTATCTAAAAATTAGATACAAAGATTAATATTTAAAACAAACACACTAAATAAACAATACAAAACATGTTCAAATAAAAAATTATTTGTTTGTTAATTCATTAAACCAAGAACGACCGTATTCTTCAACAATTGAGTCAATTGTCTTCATATTAACATCAAACGATCTATAATCTATCTTCAATTTCAATAGATATTCAACTACAGGACGATGATTTCCGATTACAGCATAATGCATTGCCGTCCATCCATCACTATTAACAGCATTAGGATTAGCTCCTTTCTTGACAATGTAATCCATAAATTTGAGGTGGCCTCTTAAAGCGGCAATGTGGAAAAGTGTCATTCCGTCTCCTGTTTTAGATTCGAGGTTAGCACCATTCTCTAGTAATAAATCAACGCATTCTGTTCTGCCTGAATAAGCTGCCCAGTGTAATGCTGTATATCCATAAAAATTCTTTTTATCTACTGTGGCTCCACTCTTGATTAAGTACTCAGCACATTGTTTGGAGCCGTGTGTAACTGCTGACATCAATAAAGTATGAGCATGATTTTCGGATGATTTTGTTGAAGCGTTTGGATCAATTTGTGAAGGGCAGATATCTTTTAGTTTGGTTATGTTGTCCATTTGACAATAGCCCCATGGTTCTTTGACAAGTCTATCATTGAAATTTGGAGCTTGCATTTTATAATAAAAGTGACGAAAATGATTTTTGATATAAAAGGATCCTATTTAATCAGACTTGGACTTATAAACTGGATAGTCATTGGATTGGTCTAGAGATTCAGAAGCGAAGGTTATCATTGTAATAAATAGTTTTTCAGATTCAAATTCAAATTCGAAACTAAATAAAAATATAAGATCTCTAATAATAAATCATACATAACATGAACAGTTTATTATATTTATTTGTGAACAACAGTTGTATTTCCTTGATAATTAACATAATCTTTTTTAATTTTCTCCAAATCTTCCAAATCAAGCTGTCTTAAATCCTTTATCGCATTGTCGTTGCAAAATGCAGGTGAAGCAAGGTCAGCTGTGAAAAAGCACGTTGTTGCTTCGTTTATGTTGGTCAAAATTGTTGAATCCCAGCAATGAGTAGTAATTTCAGCGTGCCTTTGGCCATTGATGACAAAACAACTATCGCCTTTTTCATAAAACAATTTTTCGTCTTCATATCTGTCAAAAACGCCAAGCAAATTGTATCTTGATCTGAATTCACCAAGAATAGATAGTTTGTACTCGTCTATTCTTATTTCATCCTTTCCTATCGAAAGAAAATTTTTGATATTTTGTTTTGTATTTGCAATATTTCTGGATTCCTGTAATTTCTGGGTAATTAGAGCGAGGTCACCTTTCTTATTGTTAATTTTGTGTTCATCAATGATCATCCAGAAGCTGTTCTTTGATTTATGATTGAAAAATGTAATTTTATAGAGTTTGTGTATTAAAGATTCAAATGCATTGCGCTGGTGTTTTTCTTTATTATGTTTTCTTCCATATTTTTGATCGAATTCGCTTTTAGCTTCGAGATAAGAAGCATTTAATTTTTGTGAATATGGTTCGTAATTTGCAATATATTTTTTGGCGTTCGCTATCATAGTTTCGCTATTTGACTGTATTTTTTGAGCTAGTTTAATGCCTTTTGTATAAATTTCTTCAAATTGTGCTATATAGTTTGAAACTTCGGAAACTACATCACGACAATTACTTGGACATTTAACCCTAAGATTACCTTCCTCATCTGATCCATCACAGCAATCGCAGACTCCGTCATAAACACTCCATTTGAGGATTTCTTTAGGTACATTTCCTTTATTTATGCAATAAAATGTTCCATTATTTGTTGCAGGAGTGCCAGGTTCATCTGATCCATCATTGCAATCAGCATAATTATCATTAACGTATTTCAGATCAATAATTCCTGATCCATCAAAGCACTTGAAATATCCTTCGATTTCATTAATGTTTTTCTTATAAAGATCCCAGGTTTTAGGATGAGCGCCTCGTGGAATTCTAACAAGAAAAATCCCAAAAAACATCAATAAAAAAAATACTGGAAACATCATATGATGGATAAATCATCAAAAATAGCATAGCATTCCGCTAGAATATCAATGGCATGGCCTTCCTATAGTTGATTATCCCGCTTGACTTTCATAATCACTTAAGGCTACACTGATGAGTTTATTCATGATCTTATTGCAGAAATCAAATCAAAGGAGTCTAGAGAGCCTAGAGAATCAGATTGTGTGGGAAAAATTGGTTTTGAACACTTAGATTGGGTAAAATGAGACTTTATGAGGTATGTTGTAGAAAGGAAGAAAAAAAGAATTTTAAAAATGGTCACTCTGGGGTTCGAACCCAGGCCCTCGCGGACCAGTGCCTTAAACTGGCGCCTTAGACCACTCGGCCAAATGACCTTGACATTCTTTTCAATTTTAATTGCTATACAATTTAAATTTAATTTATCTATGAGCATTCCAAGAATTATACAACAATTTCCACATCATTTTTCATAAAATAAAAAACTTTGGAAGATTTTGTATTCATCTCACAATTATCATTGTTATATTTTGTAAATCTATTTCTAAACTAAAACCAGGGCATCTTTAAGATAGCTTCCTTTTACACAGAGAAACAAGCCTTTTCAATGATGCTATATTTGTTTTAGTTTGGCAAATTGAAAAACATTTAGTGTAATCAAAAGTTTGGTAAGGTTTTATAATATGATTTAGAAAGTACTATAGCTAAGCGCTTTTAACCAAATGGTTTCGTTTTGTCAAAGATCTATTACAATTTTTGTTTAATATTCTGGATATGTAATCCAAAATTATCTTGGTTTGTGCTTCAACTAGGTTTAAAATGAGTTTTATGTCTTACCCTGAATAGTAGATGGAGTAATTATTTAAATTGCAGAACATTAATCTGAAATTTGATAAGTTTATGAGTTAAAATGTAAAATTTCGTCAGTATAGCAGGATATGTTTAACTTATTGCTGTGATTGTTTATTGCTATTCTTCTAATAATAATAAAAGATTTGAATACGTTTTTGTTTTTAACGATTGTCATCAATAACGCATCTCTTGATGGTTCCAAATGATTCTCCGCTTTCCTGATTTTTCCAAAAATTATTTGATTTTAAGAAAATAAAGGCGATCTTATATAATTTGATTATAAAAAAGGAAATTCGAATAAAAATTTGGAAAAATTGAATTAAGATTAGTTAAATTGATTTTTTAGGCTGTAATAAGAACAAAATAGTGATTTTATAACGATAGAAATATATCATTTTTAAAATATGATATGTTTTAAATTATAATAATAAAATTTGTCTAATTTTTTTTTGAGAATATTGAATTTTATTAAAAAATGCAAATTTACAATAATAAAATCAATGATACTGAAGAAGTAATTATTGAATATTCTATCAAAACTTGGTATTAATGATGATTTTAAAAAGAATTTTTATTTTGCTTTTATTAATTCGAAAAACAAGCAATAATGAAATATACATATCTGGAAAATCAAGGTTAAAGAGGTTCGTGTTATAATGGGGAGAATGTCTATTTCGAAAAAAATAATCGTCTTTCGGTCTATTTCGAAAATAATCGTCCTGATCACGACGATAGAGGGCGAAATTATTAAAGATTGCATTTTGAAGTGAATGAATATATGCATAGATCATAACTCGTCTAGGCCGAGGTAAATATATAGTAAAGAAAGTGTTCAAGTTCTTATATAAAATCATAATTTCATTATATATGATATGTATTGATGATTGTTTGGAGACTTACTAAACATATTCTATATATCATAATTTTATATTATAAAATCCTATAAAATGACAATTTGTGAGTTTTCATTATATTAATCATGGTAAAGAAGTTTTTATGGGATTATGACCCTGTAATCTCTCTATTATTCTGATAAATAAGTATGCTGAAGTGAATATATGAAAAATAAAGCACAAAATAATAATAAAAATAAATTTTTAGTCATAATAAGTAAGAAAGTAATAGCACTATATTTTTTTATCGTAGCAGTGATCTGGATCACTAGTATTAGAACGATTTTAACAAAAAAAGAATGTAAAATTTCTGAAAATCGAATTTTTTAAAGTAGTTGCCTGATAAAATATATCTGTAGTGTAATGCGAGCATAAAGGAAGCTGATAATGAGAATATTTTAAAAAGATAAAAAAACTTTGAAATTCATTTATTGATTGTACATTTGAGTTATACGTTGTTTGGTTATTCGAAATTTATAAAAGATTTCATTTTCGTTAATTCATGAATCAAAATATTGTAATAATGGAGAATTTTGTTTGAATTTCGTATTGAATGTAGATTGCAATTGTAATGTTGATAAAATGATGTATAATTTGCTTAATTTGAGAGAGTTTGTAATAATAATCGAGAAATATGAATTTTGAATGATTAAATAGAGACGAGTTCATCAATGTAATCTGTTTCGAATCAGTATTTGATGTTCCCGTTCTCAACTTTAGCTGTTAATGAATACGTTAGCAGCATTCAACCATATTCATTCACTATAAATGAAAAGAACAAGTAGTAATTGATGATATATGAAAGAGTTACATTGATCATTCTTGCTAATTCCTCATTATTTTTAAAATATTGACATTATTTTATATTTTCACTTAAAAATAAGTAAATTCGTTACAACTTAACGTAAAAATAACTATTGAAATAGTAAAAACGTGATTTAATGATGTGAAATTTCCAAATTTTTTTCAAAAAATAATAAATAAATTCAAAAATTGTTAAAAAATCTATGAAAATCATAAATCTAAAATTATTTTGGAATTTTTGAGTAAGTAGATCAAGTTTAATATTTGTATATAATGTTATTTCTGCGAAAATTTATAATTATTCTCAAAAATTTGTAATCAATTTTGATAGATATTCCCTTTTAAGATAAACCACTTATATATCATAGCAATTGACTAATTTTAAAGATAAATTCTCATATATATCTCTTATAAAATCAACAGCTTTATTCAAATTTTAAATTCTTGACAATTTTAGATGAATGATTGGCCAAAATTGTTAATTTATAACGTAACATAATCATTACTGGTGAAGCATTCTGTCTAATAATAGATTTATTGATATTTTTTTGAAATATGAGACAAAAAACTGTTTTTTCACAAATTGTGCATATACACACTCATAAACATTACTATTTAAATGATGTACCACAGCTATCTACCTAATATCTTAATCAATTTATGCAATTGCGATTTAACTCGATTTATATCGAATTTTAATCATTGAATAGATTTAGATTTCCTTAATACAATTCAGATCATCCATTATATTAATGATATGCTAAATATTTCATAATAATAAAAAAAATTAAGAGAATTATCACATTTTATTATTGTGAATCATCACCTTAAACTATGTATTTATTAAAGGCCTCGTTACAAACACAAATAATAATTGATAATATTTTTTATATTAAATACAATATATTTGGGCTAAACAACAGCGTTATTGTTATATCCTCGTATATTTTAGCACAAATAATATATTGTTATCTTATAAACACAATATTTTTTTTTTAGAATTAAATAAGCATAATACTTTTTATGTATTAACACAATAGCACAGTTACAAAACGTTAGTATTAGTATTAGGCTATCTGATCATATGTGAAAATAGTGAGAAATATCATAATTTGTCTTGCAATTCTTTAATTAATCTCATAAAAAAGCATAACATAGTATTTTTATTATATAAATAGATTGCAAATAGTATGCTTTAGTAGCGCCTAAAAGCCAAGGATCTAAAATAACTCTATGGTGGAGAATTATGCATTTTAATGTCTATCGTCGTGATCAGAACGATTATTTTCGAAATAGACCGAAAGACGATTATTTTTTTCGAAATAGACATTCTCCCTGTTATAATGGGTTTTCACAAAAGATCACATTTTTTTGATTTTTGACTTTTTGCTTGAGGAAAAAGATACCAACCAAATGTAGATAACAAATATATCAAAATCATAAGTACGTAATTTTTTGACAGATTCAAAAGGAATTAAATAAATCAGTAAAAGATATAATCAAAAATATAATTAAAAATTATAATTAATATTTTATTGAGTCAATAATGTAAAATATCTAATCATTAATTATGTATTCAATTTTTGTGTATTAAGAATTTCAATTAATTTTGATTAATTAGTAATATTAGGTAATATGGTTTGTCGAGCGTCTAACATTAAAAGAATATTAACCCACAATTTTCAATGATGTGATCAACTTTTTGGATATATATTAAAAATGGATTTGATTACGTGTTTAACTAATGTTCTATAATTGGCTTGATGTATTCAATTTTCTGTTATTAAATATTCTATGGCAAATCTGTAGTATTTATGAAATACATTCTAAAATTTAAATAAAATTTTTATAAAAAATTGAAAGTATTCTATATCAGTTAATGAGATTCTTTTGGAAACGGATTCTATTAGAAATTCTTATCAAAGTAATTCACTTTTTATTGGAAAATTCCTTGATTTATCTCATCGTTAAAAATTCACAAATTTCAGAGGCACTCAATTTCAAGAAAATTTATAATAGCCGGAATGATTCTTCTCTGTAATTAATGTATATAAAGAAATACTCCGCTTTAAAGATAGATTATTTTATAGTGTTTCAATTGACAATTTTGAATTGACGTGAACATTTTACATTTACGATAAAACGATAATATAATTATAGCAATTCCGCTTCTTTAAACATGGGAAATATTAGCATTCATTAATTTGAATTATTTTCAAAATTTTGAATTTATCCTTTTAAACTATTTGGTCATCCATTCAAAGTTATAGTATTAGTCTTTATATATTGATTTGTATTTGCAATTGATATATAATATCAACTTTTATTACGTTTTATCACAATTTCACTTAAGAAAGTGTTCTTATTTATTATTCATAATATCTCAAAAAAAACTCTAACGTAATACTTTTTTATTTTTTTCAAAATGTCAAAAGTGGTTTTATTCAAATATAATCATTCTGTTTTTTTCATGCTTCATCTTAAAGATCGCAAGATTAAGAAGCCATCAAAGTTCAGACCAGAAGAAGATGAGTGACTTAGAATGATCATTGAACAGTATGGCACACATAATTGGGTACAGATTGCATCAATGATGCCCGGAAGGAATGTTAGGCAATGCATCGATAGATGGAAAAGGAACAATTCTCCAAGAAACCCCAAGCGAGAATGGACATCTGTAGAAGATTCCATTCTACTTGATAAATATAATCAATTTGGCGGCAACTACGCAGTTATATCTCAGTTTCTTGCATATAGAAATGAGGTATCAGTTAAGAACAGACTGAACCAATTGTTGGAATCTAAGTTCACACCAAAGGTTCAAGACATCACTCCCATTAAAACAAACGATGCGAAATATACAAAGAAAGCTGATAACCATGATGCTATATTAGATAGAATCCTTACACAGGTCGGCCTTGATGCGTTTGCAGATCAATTTGACCTGTCAACATGGGCCGAAACTTCAGATATTTTTTCATTCTAGTTTTGTTTGATTAATAAATTTATATTTTTATGGTATTGATAATTTTCATCATTTTCCACTTTGTTTCAACATGATTTAATAATATTTTTTATGCATTAATTTTTTTTAATAAATAACGATGATGGGCATCTTAAATATGAATATAACACAAAATTTGGATAAATTCAATTCTTATTTTGTGTTTTAAAATAAAGATATAACATATTTCAGATTATCGATACTAAAATTTTTTTTATTTTATTACATTTTTTTTTGCATTTTTTTAAGGGTGCACACGAGAGGATCATGTAAACTTCAGAATTTAGAACCTTATTTTTAGGCATTATCTTGGCTACCTATTTAGGCTCGAAAAGCAAAAAATATCAAAAAATACAACTTGACTCCATTATGACCCTTTCATTGAGGTAGTTTTTATCCGCTAGTATTTTCCCTTTGAATCTCTTTACAATTCGAAATCAAATTCAAATCTCAGTAGAAGAAGGGAAGAATCGACTTACTACGGTTGTAATACGAATAAATACATATATTTAATTATTTTTATTTACATAATAATTGTTTGAAGCTCATATTCCATCAAATTTTTAAATAAAAACATTAAAATGTTGAAAATGTTCATATATTTTAATAGGGTTTTGGCACTTTATTGAGGAATTACTACATACATAGTCGAACTGAACTTGATATTTTGAAATTTAAATTATTTATCAAAATTAAAATTTAACTTGAAATTTATAATTATTTAGTCATATTTTGCATAATTCTAAGTAGATTTTGTAAAAAATCAAGAAAGAAAAATTTTAACGTGCTTTATTATTTCTTTTTTATAATAATACATATTATTATATAATTAACATATTCATAATGTTTCACCCTTTCAAAAATATAATACTCCTCCTCTCAAATAAACGTACATACGGGTGGCCTCTTTTTTCAAAAAATTAAAATTTGAAATTTTGGGCTCAAATATTAGAGATTTTTTCAACCTTCAACGATATATGTTGTCTATATCAGACCTCCTTTCTTTTTGATACTTAACATTGTTCCTAAATCTTAGCCGTTAAGGCTGTTCTGAAAATATTTTTTTTTTCGAAAAAATTCGAAAAAAATTCTCAAAATTCAAAAATCCCTTAATTCCTGAGGATTTTGGAAAAAAGTTTTTACATGAACATGTGTATATTATATGAAGTATATTGATAAGGTAAAAATCAAATTTTATTGCATATTCATCGAGAAAATAAACTAACGAATCCCTCAAAATTGAGAGGGTAATCCTCCTCCTCTCAAATAAACGTACATACGGGTGCACCCTTAATGTCCAAGATTTCATTCGAAATCAAATGAGGAATAAATTTATAAAATAAAAAACGAATATTTATTACAAACAAATACTAATATACTTTAATCATTGATTTCCTTCTGTATTAGTTCCAGATGATCTATTTTTACTTTGACGAGATTCAGCAAGTCTTCTCATTATTTCTTCTTTCTTCTGGAAGAACTGATTGATGATAGCATCTGCTTTTTCATCACCAACTCTTGTTTTAACTTCTGGAGCAGGAGTTGCTGTAGAAGTAGAAACAGTTTTTTGTTCGTTAGTTTCATTTGGTTTTCCATAGTGTTCTTCCCAAAATGCAGCGAAATCTCGTTTAACTTCCTTCTTGTTTACTTTATTCATATCATCTATAGTAGCAAGCTCATCTTTAATTGATTCCAATCTCTTCCTGAGACCTTCATATTCACTCATTTTCTGACTTAATGATTGCAAAATTTGTTTCCTCTTTTCTTCGTCTTCTTCACTATTTAACTGTGCTCTGACAGACTCTATATCAACTTTAAGTTCTTTACCTGTTGTTGACAACTTCTTGGCTTCTTCAACTTTTTCTTCATAAACTTTTTTATTCAATTGAATTGCTTTGAATTTTCTGTGGTTTACATAAAATTTTTGAAATGCTTCTTTTTTATCTACAGGCTTTCTTTCTTTTACAACTCTCTGAGCGAGTTCTGCCGTATAAGCAAGTTTTCCACTAATTCCTGTTGATGTCTGCGTCCATGTATCTGCTTTACTTTCTCTGTTATTTAACATTTTAACCAAAACATTGATTTCATTTTCATATTGTTTGTTTTTCTTTTGAAGAGCTGAAATTGCCTTTTTAACTTCATCATCTGAAAGTATTGATGCCTTTTGAGCTTTTGGTTCTTCACTGTTTGTTATCTGCTTAATCTCTGTATTCGCAAAGTTCTCATGAATGTAATCAACAGCGAATTTAAACCTTGAAGGATTAATCTGCGGAAAATTCGATTTTTGTTGTATATAAGCAGTTATTCCTTCAATTATTTGGTTCTTTTCGTCGTCATCCATTGGTTTATCTTCTTCTTCACCACGTGCAACAGCGAGTTCATGTCTTAAACGAACAATCTCTTGTCTGAGCTTTTGTATCAAAACTTGTGGATCAATGGAAATGTTTGCTCTTGCGTTGTTCTTAATCGACATAACTTGTGCGGCAAACGAAAGAGTGTTGAGGGTAAAGTCAGAACCATTGGGATGGCAAGCAGCAATCATGGACGTCATCGTGTTACCACCAAGAGAATCCTTTAAATACAAAGTAAGAGCGGATAATCTGTAAGGAATAAATTCTTGCTTTGTTTGTAAGGCTTGGATAACTCTGTGGAGATAGTAAAGCGAAAGATTAATGAATTTAGCTTCTGTGACTTGTTTTTCTTTCTCAATTTGAGAGACAGATTCGGAACCTGCAAGATCGACAAAATTTAATTTGGATTCGCGGATTTCGCCTGTTTGGATGTTCGATGATGAAATGTGCATGGTGAAAATAACATGGGAACGTGAAGAAACATCGTTAGCGTATGTTTCTGCAATCTGTCTATTTGTTTCACCGAGAAACAGGGTTTGTAATGCGGATTCGAAGTCTTCACACATTCGTAGTGGTGAATCATTCCTGTCTTCACGTGTTTTCAATATGATTTTGCTGCCAGATTCGAGAATTTCAATATGATCAAGTTTATTATCGCCACGAGCTGCCATACTTTGAGCATCTGTAAGAAGGTTGAATACACTTGTATTGTAAATTTCGATATATGAAGTTCTTACTGTGTAATTCCATTCATTTTGACGTTTAATTTGATTGTAAAGATATGCAACACTACGAGGAATGATACCTCTTTCCTCATATGAGTCTCCTCCTGTAAGAGTATATGTTTTACCAGAACCTGTTTGACCGTAAGCAAATAACGTAGCATTATATCCTTCAAGAACATGGTCGATTAAGGGTTTTGCAATACAATCGAAAACTTGTGGCTGTTTGGTGTCTTTTCCAAAGACTTTTGTAAAGGCTGCAGTTGTTGTATTTGATCCAATGCGAATTTTATGCTCATCAAGCTCATCTATTTGAAGAGCTGAATCGTCTGGTATAGTTTGTGATGCAGGGCGGATTCTAACATAAACTTTAATACTTCCATCGTTTTTATCTTCACTCATTATAAAATAAATATATTAACGGACAAAAACAATTAATGTTTTCATTTCCACTGTACATTATAAGGAGAATCAATAAATCCTTCAACTCAGAAAAAAACTCTTTGAATATCTTCAAATATCTATTTTAGGCTATGAAAATTTGAAGAATACGCATAACAATGGTATTTATGGACACTTTTCAACTCCCGTCTTTATCAAATAAGATCTTATAAATCATATTTAAAATTCAATTCATGTCCTTGTTATATAATCAAAATCTATCGTAACACATCCATATGATTAACGCACTAATGTGATTTTCTTTCAAAATAGCATTCATTGTCATCAATATAGTCGTTAATAGATTTTTGGTGCAAATATCATTGGATGAACATCATTGCATCTTAATAATGAAAGCTTCATGAGGAAATGAATAAATTACATAACTCATCAGATAACGAAAATCAAATATGAGCGAATAATTAACATTATGAAATTTAACAAAACAAAAAATGATAAAAATACATTAAATAGAAGAAATGACTGTATACAAGAAATGATCATTATATTAAAGCAATACAAACATGAATTGCAAGTGTAATTAATGATCATTGAACTATTACTTCTGATGCATGAAGGTTTGTATCAGTTATATCGGCATCGACTAAAAAATCTGTCTTCTTATAACCATCTTCGAGGAATACAGAATAAAATATTGTATTACTGAGGTTCAGAAAGACATCATACATATCACCAGCTTTGGGCTGCTTGTCTAAATCACGAAAGACAAATTCTTTACATTCTTCTGCTGGAACTTCTTTTTTATCAATTTCAAGTGGGTTTTCAACTAAAGGATCAAAAACCGATTCGCGTGTTTCCATTTGTTCAAGTTCTTGAAGAAGTTTGCCGAGTTCTTCCATATGGCGCCAAATGTAAAATCTACTGGACGTTAAAATTGAAATGTTTACATTTTTGAAATAAAACTTTGCTCATTTATTTGAAATATGCAATTCTTCATTTTTTATATTTTTCATTTTTTTCCTTAAAAGTGTCAAATGCTCTCACTTTTAGGTTTTCGAATTACTTCAGGCTTATTAGCACATATCTTGAGAGGAAAATGGTCAGGAGGAACTATATTTTCAATAGACACTCCTCACTTTGAAAATTTAGAATTAGAATTTATGATTCAACCTAATAAACGCGTTTTAGAGACAAAATTTCAAGGGCAAGATCTCAAAATTAATATAAATTTAGATGGATTATCAGGAGTAGCTCATTATATGGATAAAAATATTAAATTTAAATTTGCAAAAGAAGTACCACCTTTATTATCATCGAATGTAGAAATTGACAATACCAAACTTCATATTTCATTTTCATCTCCATCATCAATTAAAGGAATAATAATTTATCCGAATGGAAATACCGAAACAGTAATACTTAAGAAAGAAAATGATGAATTTCTTCTAAATGTATCCATTTTGCTATTTTTACTTGTTCTCTTCTTCGGAATTATTTATTTCATTCGTTCAAAATGCATTAAGAACAATGACGAAGATAGAATTAACGATACGCAAGACCAAGAATCGCGCCCAGTAAAATACGAAGTTAGAATTGTTAAAACCGAAGAAATTACGAATGAGGAAGAAGACTATGAAGAAGAAAATCCAGAAGAAGAGTCAACGATTCAAAACAATGATGCTGAAGATGAGGTTTATCAACGAAAATAAAATAAATATGTTACTTTTGTTTTTTCATCACTAAATATATAGATATACATAAAGATTCCTATCAAAACATTACATTTTATTTACACTCTTAAGTGTACATCTCTTTTTAGGTCTGAATAAATATGGAAATTTTTATAACATATTTTTAATCAAAATAGAATGAACTAGAGAACATAGATAGAAATCTTATGTAAAGCTATTGTGAGTGCGCATAATCTGGTGTTTGCCTAAAAAAAAATATGAAATTTCAAATAATAATATTTACAAATAACAATAATATAAATTATATTAATTCTTTGGTAAGTTCACTAGCAATGAAATCGCTAGAGATAAAAGAATTAAGAGATTTACTCTTATGGCGTCTAACAATGATCACTGTGAGAGCTAAAACACCTATAATCAAGATTCCAGCTGCTATTGGAAGCACATACACTAAATATATATTTACTTTGGAATTCGGAGTTGGACTTACTGATTTAATTCTTTCCAACGCGAAGCAATGGTACTTTTCTCGTTTCCGAAGGTTTAAATCAAATAATCTTGTCTTACCATCAAACTGCCAGTACTGAGATTTAAATGCTACATCAAATTTTTTGAGATTTGATTTGTTAAAGCATAAAATATCAACAGAAATATCATCTATAGTCTGATCTGAGAATATTTGATCAACTTCTGCATTATTAACACAATGAATCATCAATGTTTCATTGTTTACTTGAAGATCATCAACAATCAAAAGAGGAACTTGACTTAATGAATAATAAATATGAAAAGAGTTCACACCATTAATTGCCTTAAAATGATTCAGCGAGTTACATTCTATATCTACATACTTTGCATCAATTTTCTTATGAACAATTGAAGAAGTCGAACGCAAAGAGAGAAGTTTGGGATGAATTGTAGTATTTATCAGTCGATAAGTTGCTGTTTTACTTAAAGCGAAGTTCTTTATGTTGATTGTTGTATTTTTATCCGAAATTAAATCAACACTTGCACTAATTTCTAATCCATCTATATCATATGAGCCTTTGGCGCCATATATATGGGTATTACTATAATTTCATGCTTTTTGGTATATTTCCTGAATAAAAGTTAGATTCGATCAACTGATGATCCGAAAAATCAGTGTAATTATCTGTTCTGGATATCACGTCCATGGAATATATAATCTGTCCAGTATTCGTAAAGACAATTTTTTCAATATCAGTTGCATTATTAATTGCTATTATGGAATTGTTATTAATATACAGTTGAACTGATTTCATATTTACATAGTTTACGACGCTAGTATTAAAAACTAAGTCTGTTTCTGTAATATTAATTAAATCTCCAAAATCCGTCACAAAATCATTGCATATTAGGTTGGGATTATATAACTGAGGCGCGATATTTTGAATGAGATCAGAAACTATATAATTATCTGGATAAAACTTAACATTTGTTGTATACAATTCTTTTGCTGTGAAATTACATCCATGAAGGCCCATATTATAAAGATGTATTATATCAATTGGATTTTCATCAATAATTGCGATGTTAGCAAATCCACCTCCTGATATTACCAAATTTTGACAATATTTCGAAAGAATTATCAAATAAATAGTCTCGTTGTACCTGGTTGAGAATCTAAATTCCAATTGTGTCTCCGAAAATACCAATCTGTCTATTGTTTTGTTCAATTGAAAGATATTCAAATAAAAATCCCTTCCTTCACCAATATTAAATGATCTAACAAAATTATCACTGATACTATACAAACAGAATCCATAAGAATGATAATCACCAAGATTTCCATGAATTGGTTTATATCCAACAACTTTTCTGTAAATTGAGTTGTAAGGTTTGTTAACAATCTGAAAATCTATTGGTATCTTGGTTAAAAGTATTGGATAATAGTAATCTAACTCTGATTTTACCTCAATCTTTACGTAAAAGTGTAAATTCTTGATTGAATTTGCAATTAATGAATAATTATCGCCTTGATAAAAGTTAATAATGCAGTTTTCTGAGCTTCCGATCAAATCTCCAATGGTTACATTCGAATATATATAATCAATTCTGTTACAAGTGATTGGCCCGGTGTCAACAAACGCAGAACAGCTTGTAAACGAAAGAGCATCAATAGTAATAGGTATTCCTTTGGCAATAAACTGCGAATCATTACTAGCTGCAAAGAATAAATATTTAAATCTTAAAGTTGACTGTTCAACACATAAAAAAGTTACATTTCCTGTAGATGTTAATTGCTCAAAGCCTAAATTCTTCCGGCTTACGGTAAATATTGTATTAACTGGGCGTTCGATCTTTAAAAAACCAGGGAAATAGTCTGTATCGACAATATAATGACAGTTACCCTTCTGAAAGAAATTGAATATAAATGATGTTACATTCCATGTTGATTGAAGAATATTAAACTTTGTATTATTGAAAATATGCATTTCTATGTTAATTTCATTGAGTAAAGATGATATAAAAGCATTCCCTAGTGTAATCGTTGAATTTTCATTGAAATAAAAGTAAATATTGCATAAAATATCGGGTTCGATTATTAAAGTTTTTGTAATATGACTGTTCATATTTGCCTTTATGATGACTCTATTTCCAATGAATTCAACAGACGTTTCATTATGTATATTTGTGAATTTCAGTATGCTATTTCGTTTGAGTTGGTATTCCTTTTGATTTTCAGGTGACTTTAGTATCTCTTCATGATCCAATACTATTGTAGAGTTCTTAAGCTTAATGGGCGCACTAAATTCTACTTGAAAAAAGATATTAATGAGGCAAAACATTGATGTGTAAATATTTTGAGACTGAATTATTTTCTATGATTTTTTTACGGATTTGAGTATTCTGAATATAAGAAGTAAGATAGAATTCATATATTATTTTGAATTCCTATATTATCTGATAATTGTCACTTTTATTTTGAATATAAACCTTAAAAGTTTAAACGTCAGAGAGATATTATCTATGCAATAACATTTAATAATATGTAAATTCTGAACAACATCAATTGAGAGTATATTGAATTCATTCAATAAATCATAAAAACTAATTGAAATCCAATCTGCGTTACAACCTCAACTGCAGCCACACCCGTTTGTATATTATTCGAATTTTCTTCAATATGTTTCATTTGAGAGCTTTTTTAGATCATTCTTTTATTTTCCACCTCATAAAAGAGTAATGGAAAGATATTTTATTCTAAGATATTCTATACTTGCTGTTCGATACGATAATTCATTAAAAACAAAGATTTCCTATTTTAAAATCTTCCATGGAAGATTTACACATTCAAATATTATTACATATCATCGGACTGTAACCAATGTACAGTTTATTTCAAAATCCATATTGATAATTGAGGTTCTATGCAAGTTTAAGCGCAGAATGTTTCCATATTCATAACTTGGTTCGACGTACGATCTTCTTAATTCTTCACTCTGCTTTTTTAGTTTCACGCTTACTTGTTTTAACAATCAAAAATACTATTTTTCTAATTGAAATGAATTTAGAAAAATTATTAAAATAATTTTTATAGTTTGAAGATATCAAACATTTATTTCTGATATTTTTAACAAAAAACACAAGAAATTTATTCATTTTTCTTATTCTCTGTTTGATCAATTCGTTTTTGCCAAGTTTTATCAGGTTTCCATGGTTCTCCTTTTGGAACTCTTGTTGGGAAGAGGAATTCTATCCAGTTACTGATAAGGCCGTGGTCATAAATATTAGGAACTATCTTTTTATGTCCTTTTTTAGCTTTTTTATCCATTTCTTCTTGAGCCTTCTCGTATTTGTATTCCTCGATAGATGTAATGTTACGGGATATATTGTAAAGCTGTTGAATGACAAAAACTACTAATGTAATGATAATAACAATAAATAAGATGATGCAAACAGCATTAAATGGTTGGAGTTTGAGAATTACAACAACAAATAGTATTAAGTTGCGTCCAAATGAATTTGTCCAAGGAATTCTTTGGTAAACTTGCATAAAATAGAAAAATACAACAAAAACATCATTAATGCAGTAATAAGTTGAAGCAACTATACAAGCAATAAGGAACAATAAGAAATATCTATGGTTTCTTTCGCCAATTGGAACTAAAACCCATGGACAGTAATGATCGTATTTTGCAACTCTCTTCCTCGAGTAGTTGCAGTATCTAGATCTAGGAACAACTGGTATTTTGTCGGTTGGACATATCTTTTCCTTGTAAACAATATTATCATAAGGATATTTCTTCAAATAACCTTCTACATTCTCAGCAGTAATTACTCCGGGATCCATGAACTGTAGAGAAAGCACAACAATCCATGGAATGCATGGTAATACAATTGCTAAAAATTGATAAAAAAGTGGTCGGTTATGAAGTAGTGGTAAAAAGCGATATGTGTTCTTAAAGAAATCGAAAACAAGTGCTCCATACAATATCATGAAGAAAATCATTACGAAATATCTGCATGGTCCGCCTCTGCCTGCACAATCTGCACCATGACGATCTTCGCTTGCTGGCCTCATCTTTAAGACCTTACGGGCTTTCGCTTCGATCGATTGAGGTAGTTTTGTTGCGAAAAAATGGTAAATTGATGCGAAACATGTTCCCTTGCAACATTCTGCATTACCGAATATCATAATTCCTATTAGTAAGAAGAAAATTATGACATATGCCAAAAATACCACTGCATATATGAATTCCATTTTTAATTTATTTTTTTGTCAAATTCAGATGTAAAAGATCTGATTTCGAGCCATAAAATTCTTTTCGATTGTACACAACAATATTAATAAAATTTTGCAAAAAATGAATTCTGCGTGGATGGCGTTATGACTTTTGTAAAATTCAAAAATGAGTGGGAAAAAGAAGAAAATCATCAAGAAGAAAAAGAGCGGTATGGTAAAATCAGACTCTAAACCTGATGACTTAAAGAGTATCGTATCAAATACATCGACAGATACTGTAAAAACTACTAAAACAGCTAAATCTGCCGAAAAAGCTAAAACAGTTAGAAGAAAAACAACGAAATCAGTTGCATCACAACCAACAAAATCTAAAAAGGTTCCTAAACCAAAATCTGGAAAAGGCAAGTCATTAGCAAAAACAGATCTAAATTCAATCAAAATGTCTGAAAAGAAACTCCCACCTGAGGATACAGGCAAAACTATTAAAGTTCCTAAGTTCGTACCTGTATCTTATCAAGAATTTCAATATCAAAAAACCCAACAACTCGATATCAACAAAATAATCAATGATGCACCAGCGAACTCATTGATTACTATACCTTCAGGCTCTTATTTTGTACAAGTTGCGATAAATAAACCTTTGCAACTTATTGGCCAAGGAAATGTTATATTTTTAGCTCCAGGAGCTGATCATTGCATTACAGTTCGCTCACCAAACGTATCTATTAAAGGAATACAAATTTATCAGAAATATTCAAATGTTCATTCAGCAATTTTAGTGGAAAGTGGTTCGATTAGTATCGAGGAAGCCCTTATTTACTCAGATTCAACACCAGCTATCGTTTCTACCGGAAATTCATCTACTTTCCTCAACCTTACAAAAGTAATTTCAACTTCCAGCGTCCCACTCTTTGCCTTAGAGGATGCCAAGCTAGTTTTAGAGTCATCTTATGTCAGCGATTCTAGTAATACAGGAATAGTGCTTTGCTGCAACTCTTCTGCCTCAATTATTGATTCTGTAATTTCAAATCATAAAAAATGTGGCATTATATGCAAGAACAAGTCCAGATTACAGATGATAAACTCCCAGATAACAGATGTCCAACAGACAGGCCTTGAAATAGGCTCAAACGGCGAAAAAAGTTTAATTAAAAATTGCATCATCACAAAATGCAATTGTTATGGAGTATCTATCTATGGAGATGCATCAGTATCAGTCATTGGCTGCAATATCAATAACTGTACAAGCAGCGCCGTCGATATCTCAGGAAGTTCCGGAGTTTTCCTCAAAGAAAACAATTTTACCAAATGTGGAGCACCATCTGTTGTCCTCATAAACGAAAACGCGTCAGTTGAGATCGAAAAATGCACTTTTTCAGATTCATCAACAACCGGCGTTGGAGTTTTAGGTTCTTCCGAGCTGACAATCAGTAATTCCCAGATAACAACTGTAAATAGAGGCTTCGTGGTCAATGACGACAGCTCTGTATTGATTCAATCTACAAAAGTGACAGAAACAACTAAATCAGCCATCTCAAGCACAGGAAAAGCACAGCTTAAGGTTGCAGATTCGACGTTTGAGAAGATGGGCGATGGTGGGTTTACTCTTGACGGATTGACAGGATTTGAAATTTCAAATTGTCAATTTAAGTCAATTAAAAACACTACTCTTCACATTACTTCGACATGTGATTTCACATTCAACAAATTGAAGTTCACCAATTGCGATATTGCAGTTGGATGCACAAAATCAAATGGAAATTTCAACGAATGTGAATTTATATCATCAAATGTTACCGCCCTTGAATTCCATGGCTGCAAAGGCACATTAAAAGAATGTAAGATTGATAAAAACAAGTGTGGAATTATCTGTGTCGATAAAGCTTCGGCAACTTTAGATCATTGCCACATGAAAGATAATAATGTAGCTATTCAGCTTCTCCATAAATCAGCTTTGACTTGTCGTAACTGCGGTATATCGGATAATGGTATAATTGCTGACGAAAAGTCCGTTGTTAAACTCAGACAAACAGAGTTTACAAAATGTAAAGTTGGTTTACAAATCGTCGGGGGAAGTTCCTCCGATATCGGAGAAAATTCAAAATTCAAAGAATGTAAAGTTGGGATTTTGAGTGATTCTGGCAAAGTTACATTATCAAATACAGAGTTTGAAAGTAATGATCTAGGTGTTGAACTTAATAATGGTTCAACAATGAAGTCTTCTTCCGATTCTTTCTCTCATGGAAAAGGAGTTTCTTCGATTTCATTGTTCAATAAAAGTGAAATCTCGATGAAGAAAGGAAAACTTGAGAAGCCAGGAAGTGTTGCCGTCTACTGCGAAGGAGCACACAACGTGTCTATTAAAGATTCCAATGTTAGACATGCAGGAATTGCTGGCATTGTCGTTGTTTCTTCAAAGGAAGTAGAAATAGAAGGTGGAAAATACGAAAAGAATGATAAAGCTGCTGTCATTTTGATAGGAGAAGGAAAGCAAAAGATATCGAATATAGCAGGAAAAGAAAATGGAGAAGCAACAATATTATGTGGAGAAAAAGCTTCCCCTTCAATAGAAAATGTGTCCGGAGATGCAAATGTTTCTGCTCCACTTACTTTGTGATATTTTTTATAAAGAATTATAATTTATTGTTTTGATTATTATGCAATTTTTTTTAAATCCAAATGAAGATTGTTTTTTGGATTTTCTTGGAGGGAAAAAAAGTTACAATAAGACGATTAAAATATTCTCAATTTTTCACTTTTTTCCTCCAAAAATATAAGGATTATACTATTAAATTTATTTAATCCCTCTTAAGGATAGACAATATCTTATTTAATGACACCAAATGGAGAGGATTTATACTAGGACTATCTTATGCATTGGTATCTACTACATGCCAAATGAGGATTTCTACAATCTCTTTAATATCATCATCTTTTGAGTTAACATCAGCAAGATGGGCCCATAGAATTTCAGCTATTTCAATGATTTTATCCATTACTCATATATGAAGAGCAGTAATACTTTTTCCAGCTTTATCATTAAAATTTATTCTCTAACATAAAAGATGCTTTACATATATATTCAATGAGTTTGGAAACTTGAATTTTATTTGGTTTTAGATTGAAAATCTTTTCTATTGTTGATATAATGCCATCATGTTCCTTTAATTATCCACATGAGAAAAATCAAAATAAATAATTAAAAATTTTTTATTTAATCGGCTGAAATCAAGGTCATTCAGTTCGAATGAAATGAATGGTCACTCAAAACCAGATAAAGAAATCCAATCCAATTTTTTGACACGTAATTTTGGCAAATGTAAATTTTTGCCAAAATTTTAAAAGCTTCAGTTCAAAGTAATGATTTCACTTCTCCTCTCTTTAGCGCTTTCAGAAAATATAAACGATCTAGCCCCTCCATTTCAGGAAGATCTCCATGGAAATATAGGAACATGGTCGTTTGCTGGCTCTTTTGTTATTCTAAAAGATATTATTATGTTAACTCCCCCTGTTCAGCATAAATTCGGCTGTGCATGGACAAGAGCTGATATACCAGAGACAGATTGGTCGGCCAATTTCAACTTTAGAGTTCACAAAGGCACTGGTGGCGGTGGACTTGGTATTTGGCTAGTCGAAAACTACGGCTCATATGGCGAATTGCACGGCGGTCCGGCTACATATAAAGGCTTACTTGTTTCCATTACCATTCGTGATAATGATGATGAAATGAACACTCATTCTTTAATCTTCCATGTAATAGAGAACAACGGAGTAGACAAAATCAACGTAACTTTGATCGAGTCTGACTTCGAAATGCAATTCCACCATAGATATGATATACCTTTCAGAATGGAAATCTCAGATGGAAAGATTCGACTTTACTGCAGTGGTGAGAACGAATCTAATCCACCACTTATACTCGAAAAGGCAATAAATATCAGTCTCAAGCAGAAATATCTCGGTATTACTGCTGCATCAGAAGAAATGACCAGCAGAGTTGACTTAAACTACGTTAAATTTACACAAGGTGTCGAAAAGACTGTCAAGAAGGAGACGGACTATCTACAGAGGATCGTTGTCAACGGATATACCTCAAAACCAAATACAATTTACAGAAATCCAGTTTTCAAGATCATGACAAAAGAAACAGAAGCAATGAGAAGATCTACAGAAAAGAATCGCGAAAATACTTTCGAAAACGTTGTAGATATTATAGATGAGCTAAATAAGGTTACATTTGATGTTGCATCTTTTAAAGAGCTCAATACATTTGTAACCGATACATTATACCCATACTCCCAGAAATGGCATCGAAGAACCATCAAAATGACAGAAAATATCAGAATTGCCAGAAATGTCATGGCTTCAGCAACAAACTACACTTCTGAGCTTCTCCAGAACTTCAACAGTACCCTTAAACATACAATCTTCAAGACTGCTGTTACAATCAGCCAACTTGAACAGGAATTACTTAAATCTGCATCAGAACAACCAAAAGCTGATGATAATACAACTGTAATCGTTCTCGATTTATCAAAAGATAGCTTAAGTACTGAAAATATCATTTCTTATCTCTTAATGTTAGAAATAATCTGTGTAATAATATATGTTTTCGTTCGCTATACTAAAAGTAAGCAATAAAGAGTTAATTGTCTATTAATTTTTCAAAATTTTTATAATATTTTTTGAAAATTTGTTATGATTACACCTGATTGTATAGATATTACTCTGTTTTTTGCACAATGTAGTGCATTTTTTAGTTTAAGTAATACAGATCTTGAGATTTCAAAAATAATTTTGAAAATTCGTTAATTATTCCTGATTGTATAGATATTACTCTGTTCCTTGCACAGTGTAATGCATTTTTTAGTTTAAGTAATACAGATTTTGATATTTCAAAAAACAATTTTGGAAAATTCGTTAATTACTCCTGATTGTATAGATGTTACTCTGTTTTTTCACAGTGTAATGCATTTTTAGTTTAAGTAATACAGATCTTGAGATTTCAAAAAACAATTTTGGAAAATGCACTTAATATTTCTTTTATTTAATCAGATTTAAATGTGTCATCAAGTTTTATATTTAATTTTATTTGCAACATTTCTTCAAATTAAATGGATTACTTAGAAAAAGATAATCGTCTTTGATGTGATGAATGAAATTTTTTAAAACTCATGAGTGAGTATCATAACATAACCAGCGTATTCGATGATTCTGATGGACTTGATATGGAAAGCTCAGCACCAGAAGCATCAAGCAATTCTTCAAACAGAGACTCGTGGGATGTTATTGCAGAGCAGTTAGAAGAGGGGAACAAATTGATCGAAAATATGATTATCCAATTGCAAAAGAGTCGAAAATCTTTAACAACTGACTAAAATTTAGATTTTTAGTAGAATTTTTTCTTATAAAGATATTAATAAAAATTTTCCTATGATAGATAAAGTAATCATACGTACGTATCTTCTGAGTTTGCAAAACTATGCAAAATAGCGTAATAAAAGAACGTAAAATTGGATTTCGAAAATTTTTGATCGAAATCGCATAGTATCAATATTTAAAATGTAGTTTCTGTAAGATGAGTTTGCAAAAAGATGTATATTTGAATCGACTCTTTGGAAACAAGCAAAAATAATTCTATATCTTGTATTATTTTGGATTTTGATCACCTTCACCTTCTCTAAAAGCTACCTCTTCTGCCATTTCTAAGTCATGATCATTGAATTCGTTTTCATCTCCGTAATAATATCTATTTTGTGATCTAAAGCGCCTTTTACGGTATGAAAGATCTCCTTCTGCTAGTTCTTTTGCTTTGTTTTCGAGTTCTTTTAATTCAGCAGAATGTTCGCGTTCGAAATGTAAACGCAAATATTCCATTGATCGAAAAAGTTTTTGGCACTTCACGCAAGCGCATTTTCCACTTTTAAGTTCTAGAGTATGTTGTATTTTGAACTCCATGAGTAATGTATTATACCTACGTAAAATTTCACCTTCCATCATTTCTGACATTTGATCCAATCATATCGTCTATCAGCTTCAATAAGATCATACATAAAGTGGTATTAACATGAGCTCTCAAATAGCAAAATTAAAAATGTATCAAAATAAATTATGTTAATTTATCAAAATCATTATCATATATGGAATACTATAATATACAGCAAGAAAAATCTAGTCTCCAATTTTGCTTATGACATCAATTTTTTTAATGTCATCCAATTTTTTTTGAATTGACTGAGATTTATAACGGAGAATTTAAATTTTATCATTTGAGCATGCATTTTTTATTAAAAGTAGCTGAATATGTATTGGACCTCTTAGAATTTAATATGAGCTATTTTGTATCTCCGCCTGAGCCTTATAGAGAAGGAGCGGCGGAAAACATAAATGGCAGTTTATTAATATCTCTTCATGAAGTAATGCAAACAGAGAAAGCAAACTATATGGTTCAAGATATTATTGGCTCAGGAGGATTCTCAGAAGTTTATAAAGTTATCGACGTTGAAACGCAGCAAGTATATGCGATTAAGATATACAAGCATTTACCAGACCATTCACAAATTGACCGACAAGCCGAGAGAGAAATTATGGTTTTAACTGAATTTAATACTTTCAACAACGGAACTGAACTAAACACGATAGGTACGATGATAGATTGGTTTGAATACAAACGTCATAAAGTAATTTTAATGAATTTTTATCCTTTTTCATTACTTCAGCTTATCCAAATGCGTGGCCTCGGTTTCCCAATATCTCTAGTACAACAAGTAGCAAGAGAGATATCACAAGCAATCAAACTACTACACAGGAAAAATTATATTCACGGGGATATTAAACCAGAAAATATTGTTATAGATACAAATAATCAGCCAAAACTTATCGATTTCGGAAGTACTCTGATATCAGGCGATCCTGATTTCTTTTACATACAATCAAGATTTTACCGAGCACCAGAAATTATTTTACAGCTTGGCTGTTCACAAAAAATTGATATATGGTCTTTTGGATGTCTCCTTGCGGAACTGTATCTTGGTTGGCCTCTTTTCCCTGGTACGACCACACTACAAATGCTACAGATGATTGAATTCACGGTAGGAAAGTTCCCTAAATCTATTGTAGACCAGGTAAGGCAGTTTGACACTACTTATTTTGATGATAATGGAAATATTAATAGATATCAGTTTCCGAGTAATCTTTATACACTGGAATACTTAGTAATGAACTATTTTTGCGCTGAAAATAATGATGAGCATTCTATAGAAATAGATCGGCGAAGAAAATCTATATTTTTAGATCTCCTTAGGAATTTACTTAAAATTGATCCACGACAAAGATATACTATTGATCAAATCATTCATCATCCATTCTTACATGAAAATATGGTATAAAATGTTATTTATTTGTAAACAGAAATGTTTTTATTAGGAATTTTCAAACAAACTATTTTTCTATGTTAAATATAATATGGTTAATCGTATTTGAATTCAATAAACGCAAATTTTGAATTTCAATTTCTAATATCAACATATTAGAAGAAAACCAAGTTAGTAATTATATTATTTCTATGTTTTTGTTAGATTTTGAACAAGATCATACATACATAATGATGGCATTGAAGATTTCAATTTTGCTCTTTCGGCATTTCGAGATATTTTGTTCATAAGGGGAGTGTATACATGATTAACTTCAAGATTTTCCATCTTCCAGCTTTCATCAAGAATTTGAATTAAAAATTGGATCCATTCTTCTGATAACATTATTTGAGTGAGTTTAATGTTATGAAGGTTAGGACATGTGCGGAAAAAAGCACCAAAGCACGAAATATCGCCAATTGTAGCATCAGACCATTGGAAATCGCGAAGAAACTGATGATTACATAAAGATGTGCAAACATCATTGAAATAATTTTCACTGAATCGCTCTGATACTATACTTAGTGTTTGCAAATAATGCAATTCTTTTAATGTCTCACAAAATAAAGAAGAATCTAACTCTAATAAGTGAGAATTTCTAATAGACAAAATAGAAAGACCTTTTGCTTTGGAAATTATTTTAAATGCCGATTGAATATTCGAAAATTCAACATTTGATAATAAAAGTGCATCAAAATCAATATTTTGCTGAAATAGTCGATCTAATACATCTACCGTTTCATTAGTAATGACACAATCATTAAAAGAGAATCGACATCTCGTGGAGTTGTTTTGAATTACAGAGAGAAGAGATTGATAATACGCCATATTAAGAGTTTCTCCGAAAACAAATATATTTTTATGTGTTTGTCGTGCGTTATTAATTGTTTGATTTATTGGAAACCCACTCATTCCGCTCATTATTAAAATGAAGTTGAAACATTACAGTTTTATTTTGATGCACATACCTCAAGTATGGTGATATGTATTTCTTCCTAAATTGGTATAGAGTTCGATGGTCAAAAAAATCATTCTGATTCCACCCTCATTAAAAATCTGCAAAGTGTACATGCCATGCCGGGACATAATAATATATCATATCTGCATAAATCTAAATTTTGATCTGGTGTCAGAAAGTGGAAAAAAGTCAAAGGTACATGCATGAAAAGTGACACACCTCTTCTTTTTTCCTAGGGTTGCTGATCGCTTCCGCTCTGCTCGTCATGCCAGAAATGAAAGAAATGATTTGCGCAGAATAATTTATTACTCCAATTGGCAACTATCTTGTAATATACAATTAGTTGTATTGTCAGTTATTCTCCCGCATTATTCTGCTTCGGAATTGTAGTATTCTTTTATTAATTCTTGGTAAAAACATCTGAATTGATATACAAATTAATTCTATATTTTGTTTTCTTATCTCAAAATTATCTGCAGGTAAGGCTTCCGCTTTCATTTGTATTTGGAATAAAGAATTTTAATTCAAATTTTTGGCACTTTTTTTAAATTGCAATGCTTTTTATTTGAAATATATTATTAGCATATATTTTTAAGCTTCTTTTGATGTACGCTATTTGACACCTGATCGGAAGATTTGATGGTTCAAGACGAGTTAAACCCATATCAGTAAGATGAACCATATGCGAATTAACTAGTCTTCCTAATTAAAGTCTCTGAGTTGACTTTTTTTTACAAGAAACTAATCATTACTATTATTGATTAGAATAAAAAGAAATCTTTATGAATCTTACAAAGCCATCTTTTATTCTATAACATTGATAAATATGCCGGCAAATGCCATGTAAAACTCTCAAAATGTGATCCTTACGGCTGCATGAAAACTCATCCACGTTAATTATTTTATGTTATTAATAATATATACAAATTAGTAATAACGGCTATCTTTAAAGCATGAAATATAGCAAATTGTTTTAAACGATCTGTAAAGTATAATTACAAAGATTATATAAAATTATTTTTTATAAAATTAATGGGAAATGTTGGAATTATTCCAGGATGCTTAAGATTCAAAATATGATTCAGTCACCCTGTTTACAACTCAGAATCTGATATTTTTAGAATCTGGATTGTAATATTTCTAAACGTATATGAAATGAGAACTTCGGCTGTTTCTTTACAATTATTCAATGCTGCAATATTGAGTGCAGGTTTTCCTCTTTATCTTTTTCATTGATATTTGCACCATGTGAAATAAGAAATTCGGCAGTTTCTTTACTATTATTCAATGCTGCAAGATGAAGTGCAGTTTCTCCATCATTATCTTTTTCATTGATATTTGCACCATGTGAAATAAGAAAATCGGCAGTTTCTTTACTATTATTCAATGCTGCAAAATGAAGTGCGGTTCGTCCATCTTCATCTTTTTCATTGATATTTGCACCATGTGAAATGAGAACATCGGCTGTTTCTTTTCTATTATACCATGCTGCCCAATGAAGTGTGGTTTGTCCATATTCATCTTTTTCGTTGATATTTGCACAATGTGAAATAAGAACTTCGGCTGTTTCTTTACCATTATCATATTCTGCTGCATAATGAAGTGCTGTTCTTAAAAATTCATTTTTTTCGTTTATATTTGCGCCATGTGAAATAAGAACTTCAGCTGTTTCTGTATAATTATTCAATGCTGCAAGATGAAGTGCAGTTTCTCCGTCATTATCTTTTTCATTGATATTTGCACCATGTGAAATAAGAAATTCGGCTGTTTCTTTACTATTATTCAATGTTGCATAATGAAGAGCAGTTTCTCCTCTTTCAACTTTTGCATTGATATTCGCACCACGTGAAAGGAAGTATTCCAAAAGGGATGGAATATTGAACCTCACTGAATTAATAAAGCATTTGTTAAAATCATTAGTTTGATCGAAATAAACTAAAAAGGATTCAAGATTATTGTAAATTGTGCAGTATTCTAAATCGATCTCTATATTGTATTCATTCATCAAGAATGTAACAAAATCAATGTTGTGCGAGATAATTGCATATTTCATGCAATATTCATCTGGTTTTTGATATTTCAAACATTCACTCATGATCTCCGGATTTCCTCCTAAAAATGAATTTTCTAGACATTCTTGAGTTATTTTTGAGCTGAATTTTGTTCTTAATAAATTGAAACAATCAACAGCCCCATAGTAACAACATAATTCAAGTAATGAATATTCTTTGTAAGAGTCTGGATATAATTGGCTTTTAAGTGTTTGATTTTTATCAAATTCATCTATTTCTGTGAATAAAATGAATCTTTCTAAGTCATTATACATAATTGCTCTGTATATTGTATTCTCTGTATGAATATCAAAATTTTTAAAATCATAATTTTCGAAGTCACCATATTTAGATAATTTAATTCCATATTCTTTATAAAACATTAATATTGAAAGTCCTATGACATTGTTAGCCTCTTTGACATGATATTCATCAGATATGAGTTTGGCAAGAGATAAATATGACTTTGCATAGCGATTATTATACGGAATGATATTTAAAATGTCTTTTATCATGCTTTTGGGAGAATATTTATTTGTATCAATCAATTCTGTTTTGATTATTTTGTAAATAGAGTTTAAATCTTCTTCTTTTTCCGTTTTCAGCTGATACAACGCAATGTATGAATCAATGTAGTATTTATAGATACTACGCAGTTCGCTGTATTTGTTTGGATGAACGTCTTTTTCGGACATTAATAATTTTTAAAAAAGGAAATATCTGTGTTTTACCATATAAAATATCCCTTAAATTCATTAGAAGAAAATGATACTATGTTATTCATGTGGAAAACAATGAATAAAAATATTTCGTATTTAAATTATGAATTTTAATTAAGTCTATTGATGAGAAACAACGTATTAATAATAGAAAATTCTAGGGCAATAGCATGGTCATCCGAACGCATATATTAAAAAAAATTGAATTCTTCGTTATTTAGTTGGTGGAAAGCTGCAACTAAATTGCGAGGAATAATAACACATGTTTATTTATTATATGAATAAAATAAGAACCTCTCACATTACAGAAAAAAATTCGATAGTGAAGGATATAAAGTTAATTAGAGTGATTGTTTGAAAATATGTATCAAACTTCACTTGAGTGCCGCCATTTTAGAATTTTGCAGTGACCCAGTAAAGAGAAATTTTATCAGTAAATTAAAGTTTGTTTCTGATGTTCATGCATCATATATTTTTGATGTTTCTTATGTATGTTTAAAGGTTAATTTCAAAACAGGAGATCACCATTTTAAGAGATAAAATAATAATTTCAAAATATAATGGGATTATAAATATCAAAGCATTGCCATTTATCAAGCCACATATCACAATATGAGGATCATGAAGCTAGATATGCTCGAAATTGAAATGTCTTCAATCGACGAATAAACATCATAATGGGGTGCAAATAACTTGAATAAATAAACCAACGTATTTAATAAAACTTGAAATGCTATCAAAATCGGGGATAAACTAGAATTCAAAATCGCGGGATCAGTTCTGTAAAAAAACTATAAAAGTGACAGTTGAACTCCTGTAACATCACCCACAAACCGAAACTCTGAATTTTTATCTTCCTACAGAAATCTAGATTTTGCAAAATTCTCGGATATCATATGTGAAATAGATCTACGAATTTAACGATTTGTTGTTAAAATTTTCTGAGCATTCAAAATCTTCAAAAATCAAAAATGTTAAGCAAACAATCCAATCAGCAACTCCGAGTTGTTACAATTGGTGATGAAAGCGTTGGAAAAACATCAATCACCTCTTATCTCATTGACAAAACATTTAATCAGTACGAACCATCAACGGTCGGCGCTAACTACCAAATGTTCACTGTTAAACAACCCGATGATGATATAGTCCTCCAAATTTGGGATACTGCTGGGCAGGAAAAATTCAAATCACTGAGCCCGATCTATTTTAGAAATGCTAATGCAGCGGTTGTAGTCTTTTCTCTTGTTAACAAGAACTCTTATATTAAACTGAATAACTGGGTAACCAGTTTCCGCGAAGTTGCAGGAAATGACGCTTTAGTTTACGTGGTTGCAAATAAATCAGATTTACAAGAGGAATTTGAAGTCTCTTTATTGCAAGCTGAAGAATGGGCAACAAATGGAGGGTTCAAGTTTTACGTTACATCTGCAAAAACTGGACAAAATATTGAAAAATTATTTACAGATATTGCAATTGATCTTAAAACTGCAAACGCTAATGCAAACGTTCTTCGACAATCTCGTTTGAAATCAGAAGTTAACACAGACTCTTCTCCTTGCTGCTAATTTATTTACTTTTGTTCTTTTATATGTATATTATTGTATGATTATTATTAAATGTTATGCTATAACTTATTATCATCAAAATTTTTAATACTAATTTTGGAAATATTCAATCAAAAAAAGTAAAAGATTATATTTTTGTGCCTAAACTCAATGTGTTGCTTAAAGTGCTTATCGTTATTATATTGGTCCGGATCAATTCACTCAAATCAGTTCAATTGTTCATGATCCTTATGAAGCTTAAAGATTGAGAAAAGTGACAATTTGAATTCGAGAAATTTATGAAAAATCTTCCTAAATCAGTATCAAATTCACAATTAACAGTACAACCAATGACAAGTATCGAACGTGAAAGAGCTATAGAAATAACAAATAAGATAAAAAAGATACCAATTGCCTCATTTTTCTTGAAGCCAGTAGACCCTGTTAAAGATGGACTTCCAAATTACTTGATTAAGATTAAGCCATCTTATCCTATGGATCTTGGAACTGTTTCAACGAAATTAGAGAAATCACAATATACTACAATAGAAGATTGGAAAAAAGATATGGAAACTATTTGGAAAAACGCAATGACATACAACCCAGTGGAAAGCCCTTACTATGCAGTAGCTTCTGAGCTCCAACAAATCTTTAGAAGAAAATCCAATTTTGTACCTAAAGTTGAGGCTGATTTATGGATTCACAATTTGCAGAAATTGAATAAGAAGTTCAAATTATACTCTAACTATAAGCTAATGGTTGCTAATCCTCCACAAATTAAGCAAACTACTGTTAAAAAAGGAAAACAAAAAGAATAGACACTTTCCTAATCAATTATTTACTGTTTTGTTAATAAAATATAACCACTTGGTATTGTAAAGTTTAGAAATATATATTATTTATCTATTTAGAATGAAACATAGTTTCTGATTGATGTGCTCTTCTATAAACAATAAAATCTTCGAATTCTTATTGTATTGTCCGATTATTATAGCCATTATAAGAAATGAAATCTTATTGTATAAAAAATATTGAAATACTCTAGAGATATTAATTATATGTGTGATGGTAATAATATATTTGGGAAGTTTATTTCATTTCTTGAGAGGGTTATGATTTTTCAATTACTCACTCTCGGGAGATCAACGCTCTGGGAGTTCAATCAATTAGAATTGAAATCTAAACTTAAAAATAGTGTCAATTTACCTATTTTTGCGGTTTGCTATTCAACAATTTGTTCGCATTGCGTAGGAATTCCAGCTCTATATCAAAATTTTTCAAAAGAGAAAGGACAAAGAAGTGATGTTTTGGTAGTGTCATTGAATTGTTTTGAGCATCCATATAAATGTCGTAGTCTTCATGTAAGTGGAACACCATTCATTGTTTTGATTATAGGTGAAGATTATAGACATTGGCCTAGAACTTTCAACAAAGATATAAACGCATGGGATGAATTTATTACGTACTACTTAAATACAAATATCTCCGAAAAAAATGATACGAATTTTATACCTCAATATGAAGGAAGCACATTTGTTTTGAGTGCCTCATCTTTAGACAATAAAATTTACAAAGAGATGAAAAGATTATATAGATATTACAGACTATTTAATACTACATTTTTATATGAAATCAATTCAACACTTAAAAAAGCAAAACTTACAGCATTCAGATCAGCTACTATTAAAATAGAATATAATCCAAAGAAAGAATTTTTAACACAATTTATTGAAAAAAATAAATTCATTACAATGCATTATTATGATTATCAAGACTATCAAGAAATCAAAGGCAAGCCATTTTACATGTTTATTTCTCCTAAAAAATTACTCGATATTCAAAAAGTGCAATTGCAGAATCTATCAGAAAAATATTCTTCAAAAATGCAATTTGGATGGACTGATGACAGATATATTGCAAAAGATCTAGGTGTTTCGGTTAAAGATGTTCCAATATCAGTCTACCAATCAGATCGATGTATAGCTAAGACTAAATTCAGAATTTCTGACTTAGAAAAGATTCACTTCTTCGAAGAAACTGAAACTGGCAATGCATGTGACTATGACTTTTGGGTTGGAAAAAAAATGAAAAAAACAATTTTAGGTTATGAATTTTCATTTGCTTTCATTGTTGTTTGTCTTTCAATCAACCTTTTCTTGAGATCGAAGATGAGTTCACCTACAGTCAAGGTCGATTAACTTTCAAAATTATATTATTTTGTTTGTATATATTAGCAAGTAAAACTATCTTCCAAAGTTTTTGACCTTTTTTATGTTTTACCAAAGTGTTTTTGGAACAAAATCTATTGAAAAATTATTGGTAAAAAAAAGTAATAATTTCGAGTAAATCAAAAATGATTTCCATTTTACTGATAATTTTTTAAGTATTTCCGCGAGCCGCGAAAACGAACATACGATCTTCATCTTGTAATTTGCTGATCAAATAATTTTCGAGTTTCTGAAGTGTATCTTTGGCTGTTTGTTTGAACTTTGAGTTATCCTGACGTTTCTTTTCGTTTGATTTCATTTCTGTTGTTTCTTTCTTTGTTTCACTGGACATTCTCTTTGTAAGTAACTTTTGAGGAGCTTGGACAATCTGAGCAGCTGTTATCTTTTGTTGTTGGGCAATAGCATTGTTATATCTTCCCAATGCATTGTTAATCTCTGTTTCAACGCGAGCTTGAAGTGACTGGATGTCATTCATAAGCTGTATCTCGGCGTTTTCGATAAGCTTATCGTATTTGTCGTTAACGACTAAGCATCTTCTCTGGCGCTCAATGTTTCCGACTTCGTTAGCTTCTTGGAGTGTTTGCTTAGCTTCCTCGAAGTTGTCGTTCTTGGCATGATTGCGTGCCTTAGCTTCAAGAGCTTGTTGTTGACCAACAGCACGTTGATTTTCGAGTGTGAGGTCAATCTTACGGTCAATTTCGTAGGCGTGAACCTTATCTTCGAAGTCTTTAACTAATCTATCAAAGACAACCTTCTTCTGTGCACGGATTTTAGATTCTTCTTCGAAATATTTCTTCTTTGCTTCTTTTTCGAAGAGATCGTACGTTCTTAAAAGGTAATCAACATTTTGGCAGAGTTCATTCTTCAATGACTCTGCAAAGGTAGCAGTTTCATCAACGTTATTGCCAGCCATGTATCTAGTGATACGAGCAGCTTCATCAAAGTTCAGAGCCTTAATTGCTGCTTGTTTCTTCTCACGGAGATCCTTAAGTGAGAAACCTTTAAGATCATCATAATTTTTTTTTGGTTCAAGGCTCTTTCTTCCAGTTGTTTTACCTTTTAATGATGATGTAGATGATCTTGTGACTGAGTTTGTCGAACTTCTCCTTGATGATGTCTGAGAACTTAACGACATTAATTTTCTTACAGTTTACAAAAATTGACTCTTTCTCTATACACACAGATTGTAAAATTGAAAATAATATTGCCCCATGGAATGACGTTCGGAAACATCATGGAAATAGGGAAAAATAGATAGCAAATTTTGCGATAAAAAGTGACAACATCCGATGCGAGATTGATAATTTCATTGCATATCTATTGTTTCTTTATCAGACTGTATCCATTGCTATCTTCTCGGAAATGTGATGAATGAATCAGCGATTCTTATTGAGAGAACTAATCAATTTGGTATGAAATGTAAAAGTGTTAATTTCCATGTAGCTAAAGCTTCTTGCAGAGTTATAAATGATTGTCCAGCGAGGCCCAGCACTAAAATCATTAAAATTAAATCAAAATTTTTATCATTGAATAAATCTTTTTGAAGAGATTGTATTTAATGATCATTATTTCATATACACATATCCTTATGTGATAAAGAATTATAATATGGGGATAATACCCCTAACAAAAAGAAATCAAAAATAAAGAATAAAATTACCACAAGGATGATGTGAAATGTCTTTGACATATTTATTAATCTAAGGTTGTGTATTTCTTTTTCATGATTTGATTTGATGATTTGTTTGGTTTCGATCAATTTCATCATTCAATAAAATTCATCCAATCAGCATATTTTAATAATCATTCAAAATGCTTTATTAATGAATAATTTTTGCCAAATTGTTCAGATGAATTTTAAAATTTTTGTATAAGTGGCCGAACACTTTTTGAAATTTACTAAAATTTATTTTTATCGTTGAATTCATTTTTTCATAGAATGAGTAGCGTTGTAGGTATCGATATAGGAAATAAAAATTGTGTGCTCGGAGTACCTTCGACACATGGTGTAGATGTTGTTTCCAATCAATCATCAAACAGATTAACGCCAACAATGGTAACATATTCAAATGAACGGCGTTACGCTGGAGAGCTTAGCTTTCAGCATCAATCAGAGTTTTATAAATCAACAATAACAAATCTCAAGCATTTAATAGGGTTAAAATACGATTCAGAGGATCGTGAAAAATTAGAAAAATTAATTACATTCAAATTAGTTAAATTAGACGATGGCTTTACAGGAATATCTGTAGAGTACAAAGACACAGAAATTATTCTTAAGCCAGAGCAATGCATCGCTTATTTACTTAAAGATCTTATTCAAATTGCCAAAACAGCCAATTCTAATGTCTCCAAGGCTGTTGTTTCTGTTTCTCCATGGTGGACTGACTATCATCGTAGAACATTACTTAACGCTGTTAAAATTGGAAAAATTGATTGCCTTTCGCTCGTAAATTCCACAACAGCTGCTGCAGTTACATACGTCAAGACCCATCCAGAAAGATTACCAGCCAAAGATGCAGATCCAGTCCCATTATTACTCATAGATATGGGAGATTACTCCATGAACGTCGCCATTGCTCTTATCAAGAAGGACTATGTCAAAATAGTCAGCTCTGCTTCCGATCAGCATCTTGGCGGCCAAATTTTCACTGCGGCCTTTTTACCATATCTTCTTGAGAAGACACAAGAGAAATACAAGATTAACCCACGTGATAACCCACGCTCATGGTTAAGATTCCAAGCAGCTGCTGAAAAAGTTAAGAAGACATTATCAGTAAATCCAGCCGTTCAGTTCGATGTTCCATCACTTATGAACGATATCGATGTTACATTTGTCATCAAGCGCGAAGATTTCAACGCAAGAATTACAGAACTTGTTGATCGTATTCCAGATACAATTAACAAAGCTTTAGAGCAAGCAAACATCAAGAAAGAAGACTTAAATGTCATAGAAGCCCTTGGCGGTGGTGCCCGTGTTGCAGCTGTCAAAGATAAGATTGTTGAAACACTTGGAAAAGAATTTACACAAACATTGAATTTAGATGAATGTTTCGCCATCGGAAGTGGCTACATTGCCCAGAAATTAACAGGAGAATACAAAGATCTCGAAGTTTACGATGTTACTCCATTCGAAGTCAAATCCGAGTACACAGTTAACGGAGAGACAAAGACTGAACAATTATTCCCTCAGTTTTCGCAGATTCCTTCAACAAAGACCTTCAAAATCTCTGTAGAAGACAAATCTTCTATCAAAGTCTTCACAGAATGCTGCCAGATCGGAACAATCGATGTAAATCTCGATGGAAAGAGGGCTGATGTCGATATCACTGTAGCATTAAATGAATCTTCAATGCTGGAATTCAAAGAAGCAAAGATTTCAGGGGATAACTCAGAAAATGTGGTACCATCTGTCACTTTTACGATAAATGGTGACATTTCATCAGAAAATCTTGACTTGTATTCCAAGCTTGAAGAAGAAATGACTGAGAAAGACAACAAAGAGAAACAGATTGATAACGCAAGAAATGATTTAGAGTCAATGATCTTCGAAGCAGAAAATGGAATCAACAGAGATTTTCCAAACTCTTTTGAACCATCAGAACTCACCAAATTCAAGAAAGACGTACAAGATATCCATGATTGGTTCACGGAGAATGAATTCGACCGTCTTCCTATCGAAGAATACAATACAAGGCTCGATACAATCAAGAAAACACTTGAACCTGTCAAAGAAAGAGCAAACAAATATAAGAAATTGTTTGAAGACATGGCACCTCTTAAAGATAGAGCAAATACATGTTTGGACCTTGTAAAGACTGATGCAGATCGTGTTGATCATGGCGAGAAAGAGAAATTGCAGAAAGATTTACAGGATTATTTAGAAGAATTAGATAAAGCAATGAACTCTCCTTTGTACGTTGATCCAACGTTTTCTTCCAAAGATTTCATTGATAAAATGGAAGGACTCGAAAAGAGAAAAGATACTCTCGAGAGATTACCTCTTAAACCAAGGCCACAACCACAAGCTGTTCCTACAAAGATAGAACAGCCTGAATCAGAGTCAAGTGGCTCAAACGAAGAAAACAATGATGAAGAGGAAGAAGAAGAGGAAGAACAAAATCAACAGCCAACAATAATTGGAAGAGATTTCTGGGGAAGACCAATTTACGGAACAGTTCCAAGACAACAACCAAAGAAACAGATAAAGAAACAAAAGCCAAAACAACAGAAACAAACTTCTGATTATGTTGATAACCCTGAAGATTATTATTACGACAGATTTGGAAATATCGTTGGTCGTAGAGCTCCTCAACAAAAATCCCAGCCACAACAACAACAACAACAACAGAGAAGAAGACAACAATCTCCTTTGCAACAACAGTTTTATGATGATGAAGATAATGATGATAATTACGGTTATAATGATTACGGAATGGATCCACTTGCTGCATTGTTTGGAGCTCCACAAAGAAAGAGACAACAACAGCAGAGAATGCAGCCACAGCAACAGAGGTATTATCCACAACAAAGCCGTAGAAATGACTTGAGAAGACAGAATTATTATGACGATGATGATGGTTATGGAAATGATTATCAAGATGATGATGATGATGACTCTTATCAGATGCCACAATCTGCAAGACGTCGTCAACAACAAGCACAGGATCCTTACGAGTTGTATCGCCAGCAACAATTGGCAAGACAACAAGAGTTCGAACGCCGCAGACAGCAGCAAGAAGCTGAAGAAAGAGCACTCGCTGAGAAGAGAAGGAGACTTCAGGAAGAAGAAAGAAGATACAGAGAACAGCAGAGACAAGAAGCTGAAAGGTTGAGAGAAATGCAGGAAAGACAGAGAAGAGCTCAGTTGAATAGAAGACGTGCTGGACCAGGATTTGACTTCTGGCAACCACAGAACCAGTCAAATGATCCATTCTGGGGTGGTGGAAGCCCATTCTTCTTCTAAGAAAAAACATTTATAATTTATATATTTATATATTATAATTTTATTCTTATGTTTTATCAAATAAATATTTTATTATTATTAATTTTACATACATTATTTCTGAAACTATGTTGAATGTTATCCTTGATTTCGTCTGTTGTGATTCACACTGTTTTATATAAACTGCGTTTAAAAAGATTGATTTTTTGATGGAAGTCATACAATTAATAGTTTTTGACAGGACAAGCTTTGGCGACTGCGAAAACTTTCTTCATTTATTCAACAAAACAACAATAAAAATCACAATACTAGAGCAAGGCATTGTATGGCCAAATGTTTTTCTTCTATTTTTCTTGAGTTAAATTCTATTCCTATTTGATACAAGTAAGTGTTTCCTGTTCCAATAAACCAAGAAAAAATAAAAGTATGAAAATCAAAAAATTCTCAAACAAAAAAAAGCGCTAATGAACTATAATGGTGCCCTATCCTTGATATTTTAAGCTGAATGTTATGAAGTTTTTGTTGTGTACCCCTAAACTCGCATATTCCATCATTATGATGTAAACTATTGAAATTTTGATAGGTCAGCAATGTAGTTTATTTTTTCTAACGTCAATAATTCAAATCATAAATCCCTCAATTTTGAGAAGTTTACATATTCTCATGGATGATGATAGTAACAGTCCATTATGTCAAGTTTGTATTTATGTTATTATTTTCTTTATAGATGTAATAATTTTTGTCACTGGAGCAACTCTCTGGATTGTTGGTTCAAAGAAAGAATATTTCGAACAAATTCCTTTTTTAATTTCAATTCCGCTTTACCCAGACCCTGATTCTCCATATGACATACTGTATGGGTTACCACAGAGCTGGATTCAAAATCATAAAAACACATCTTTCACATTTTCGACAGCTTTTTTGTCTGAATATAAAGGCAATGTTGACTTGTATCTTTTCCATAATCTTTGGGGTTATGACTTTAAATTACAAGTGACAGATTCGACCGGAAGAGTAGTTTTGAACTCAGATTTTAATTTAAACCAAAATCTAGCAAATCCAGAGAAATCAAGCGTTTCTAGATCGTTACTTCTCAAATATCCTATCAAAATATATGGAAAAGACATTACTCAAATCTATTGTCCTTATCATACACAAATTACAGATTCTCTTGGCATAGATTGCAAGCGACAGTTAACATTTGCGTATCTAAATCCAAATGTATCTTCTCTACAACTTGGTAGTTATAATTTCAAATCGTCAAGTACAAATTTGAATTTTACATTCACAAACTTTACGGCGTATCCATACGATTACATTACACCACCACAGGCCTTCGTTACAGGTTACAGAGAAACGAATAAGAAGAAACTTCTTATTTCTGGCCCTACTATATTTGTAATTTTTGTAATACTCCTAATAGGGTTTGTTGTCTTTTTAATAGTTGATCAAATGTAAACTCAATAATGAATTTTGGATCCATAACAAAATTTTACTTTCTTTGTCCTTGTATAAGGCCATATTTCTTGAAATATCTTGTTTGTTTGATATAAAAAGTAGTAAAAAGTAAGTTTTAATTCTATCGAATAAAAAGAGTTTAATCTTTCTTGCGTTCAACACCAAGAGCGCCACCACGACGGCCAATAGACTTTGTGCATTGACCACAGACTTTAAGGCCAAGACCGTGGCGGATACCACGTTTCATACGCATCTTCTTCATGTGTTCGATTTCAGCATGGATGTTAGCGCCGAGATCTGTAGCAACCCAATGAGTGTTTTGGCCTGTAGCGCGGTTGAAACGACGTTTGAGCATCCAAACTGGGATCTGGCGCTTTGTTGGGTTCTGGATGATAAAGACCAAATTTAAATAAGGCAAATGGAGAGCATGCAAGAAAACATGTATCTGTTTGATTTCTCATAATAAAAGAAGCTGATTTGAGGATATAATAAAATAAATGTTTACAAAATTGCTTGAAAATATCATGCTTTGGCCTCTTTTTGTTTGTTAAATAAGATTCTTCAGTGTTGTTTATTCATTTATTTTAAAGAATGAATATTGATCTAGTTTTCCCTTCCCTCAAGACAGCAGCAATCATCGAAGAAGTTTGTTTTTCTCTAAATAAATATAATTTTGATGAAAAACTACAATTTCTCAAATCATTACCTAATTTAGATTCGTTATTTCTTGTTACAACAATATCTCAAGTATCAGCATGCAAGCCATATAACTATAAACTATATGCTGATTTAATTTCAGCTCTAAACATATCAATAATCGAATTTCCACCAACGAAATTTTCAGATTATCTTAAAAAACGTGGTATTCTTAAAAACTATCGTCCACTACAAGATTTACCCATCGAAAAATATGAGAATATTTTTGATTTGGACACTATTGGAGACATAATTTTAAAGGATGATTCAGAATCTCTATTAAAACAAAAATCCAAAGTTAATTTGAAAGAAGAACTTATTGAGTATGATCTATATGAGTTAACGTTATTAGATTTGGCCGCTTTTTTAGGCTCAGAAAAATGTTTCCATTATTTACTTCAAAATGGCTGTGAAATTACAGAAGATACTCCATATTTAGCTGTTAAAGGCGGAAATGCTAATATTATTGCTACTCTTAAGTCCAAAAACGTTTCAATTCAAGATTGTTTAATTTGTGCAATACAAAGTCATAATAATGAAGTTACCAATGAGTTATTACAAAGCAAAGTAGTTGATGATGAATTTACGCTAGAACTCTCCATCCATTCTTATAATACAATTTCATTTTGTTATTTGTTGCAAAAAGGACATAAAATTACGACAGAAGTGCTTGAAGAGGCATGTCATTTAGGTCACATAGAAATTGTTAGATATATTTTGCAGAATTCCAAAGTTGAATATGGAAAATCTTTGTTTTTTGCAGCAGAAAACGGATTTCTTAACATTATTGAAGAATTTCTTAAGAATGGTGCAGATATTCAATGTAGAAATAATATGGAAGATACCTTATTACATAAGGCAGCAGAGAATGGATTTCTTGAATTAAGTAAATTCTTGGTAGAACATGGAATAGATCCGAAATCAAACAATGCATATACAGTAACTCCTCTTGATAAAGCAAAGGAAAACAGACACTTCCAAGTAATCAAATTCCTTTATCCATTCTATAAATAAGAAATATACTATCAATTATGAATTGTAATAAAATGTAATTATGTTTATTTGTAATGTTATTGATATCTGATTTATACATGATTAAACAGCTAAAAAGTCTGGAGTTGTACATGAGAACATTGAACTAAGAATTTCAGCTGTTACTAAACTGTAATATTGTTAATTTTAGTATATCAACATTAAATATTCTTATATTGCAATGTTTACATATTAATGTAATAACCATTTCATTCTGCAACCGATAATTCAATGATGGAGTAAAAGCAAAACAATATATTTCGATACTGTAACTCCTCTTGATAAATATTTGAATAAATATCATTTGATCTCATTGCTTAGGATGCAAGACACGAAGAATATAAAACCTAGTTTAACATTTGTTTCGGGATCCAGACACAAAGAATATAAACATTCATTCTACTTTTTTTCATGATAAACAAATAATATCCTTTATAACTATCTATATAAATAAAAAAAACAAAACAAAAACAAAAGAAAAAATAAAAAAAAATCATTGAACAATTCGAATGTTTGCGAAGTGAATCAATCCATCATGAGTAATAATAACAAATCTTTCAGTAGGGAAGTCATAATTAGCCCAAATAACCCTAGATCTTGTTTCAAAGAACCTTGTAACAGTGTCAGGATAAAAAACTTCGAAATAACCAATTTTGTTTTCTGTGTCTTGGAAAACAACGAAATCGAATCCATCAGGCGAAGTAAACTTCCACCACGCCATTATTTCTGCAGGAATTGGAGATCTCTTTATGTACTCTGCATCTCTAGACAAAATAACAATGTCTTTCAGTGTTTCGACAACAATAAATCCATGACTTTTCGTTATCAACACTTTGAGAACTGTTTCGCCAACACAGAAACTATTTACCTTCCTTTTTGTCCTCAAATCATAAGAAACAACAGTATTATTCGCTAATGCGACAGCAAATAACTTAAATCTTGGCTCAATCGCACAGCAAACGATGTTACTTCTTACTCTGCAGAGAACGAAAGGAATCAAGTCTCCATCGAATGAAAATTCGGATAAAGTTGCTCGATTTGGACAAAATATAACATGTCCTTCGCTGCAAACGACCAATGGCGTATCGAATGCGAAATTCATGGGCTCCGAAATCTTCTTGTGCTTCACAGTTACGATTGTCTGCTTTTCCGGAGAAGCTGCTACAAAATAATCTTCGTAGGAGTCGAAGATCTTGAAACTGGCATCGCCAACAGTTCCTATTACTTCCGGCTGAGACAAAACAAGGTGGTCTTCAAGACTGACGTTGAATTGTATTAGTCTACCGGAATCCAACAACGCGCAGAACTTAAATGTGGATATATCTTCGAGAATGGTGTAGACAGTTCTGATCAATCGGTTGTTTATATTTATGGAAACCGTTGGTTCTATGGAAGATTTCTTAATTATGGAGGATTTGTAGGGATGAGGGACTCTGAACAATTGTCTGTGAGGGATCTGTTTTACTCTGAGGCCAAAGATCGAATCGATCCATGTCGGAAGCATTTTTGTGATAAAATCTGATTCCAAAAGTTTTCTGAGCTTATAAACGAACTCGAATTTGGAGGAAGACCATTTAGGAAGCTCATTATCGTTATCTATGACGTCTGGGAAGTAAAAGAAGTCTGGAGCAACAAATTTATTTGTTGTCAAAGTTTCTTCAAGGGAAGAAAGGGGTTTTGATGGATCTCTTGGTAATATTGTCCTATCAAGAAGTGGTGGCAACCATTTTTTGATGTTAGTGAAATCTTGAATCGCATGAAGATTATTTAAATCAGATAAAAGTGACGGAAAGATCGGATAAAGGAAAGGATCGTTAAAGGACCTTCCAGAAAGAATATTCATCTTAACGATATACTCGAAATTGCTCATGAAACCTTGTTGCCATCTTTGTGTCGCGTGCATCCTTGCAAACGTCTCTCCTGAGACCATTCTCTGAAGTATCTGCATTTTCGGTGTCTTCGCTTGCATGAATGCGTTGATACATGTTGGATGTTCGTCATTTACAAAATCTATAAGGTAACTTCGACCATTTTCCAGATATATTTCGATACCGGTCTCTCTGTTATCGAATCTTCGTGTCAAGACCATATAAATGTCCCCATTTTGGATGGTTTTCTCCTTATCTGACGAAATTAAGTGGATTTCGTTAGTAAAAAGCTGGAACATGTATAGAGTTGTCGAATTCAATTTGATTAAATTGCACGAATGTTGATAAAGAACTTGTCCTTCTTCGGTAAGATCGAAATATTTTTTAGGATTATGGATTTTTCGCTTCAATTTCATCGGACAGAGACAGAAACAAGATGTCCTGTCCTTTACTAGCATTATTTCAGCCTTAGGAGGCATGAAAGTGAAGTTTACGACCTCTTGAATGTCAATTTCGATTCTTGTGTTGGATATAAGGGCAAAATCGCCTGCTAATGTTGATATTTCTTTGAAGGCCGTCACATCATTCAACAGAGAACTCAACCAAGTGGAGATTTGAGAAATAGATTCTTGGTATTTTTGGTTGTAGTTAGTTATCATGGCGTCATTGAACATGTCTTGCTTCAAAATGTCTTCACAATTGATTTCTTTCGTGGATCTCCGCAAGAAATACTCAATATATAAGTTATGAAGTTGTAAATTGTTTTCTAACAGATAAGAATTGATCAGCATGGCTTTCTGTTTGTCAATCCACTTGCCTGACTCGTTTGTTCTTATGATAAAGATGTTATTCAGATTTTTCGCATCTTTTTCGAGGAAATTCAAGAAAGAATCCGGTGTTTTTATGTCCTCTATCATCACTTGGTATCTATCTTTATCAAAATTGTCAGCAAAATCAACGTTTTCGTGGAATATTGAACATGAAAATTCTTCGCTGAGTGTTATATTAAGATTATTGGTCTTTCCATGCATGAATATAGTGTCTGCAATCAAAGAAATGTTGGATTTGAACTTGGGAGATGATAAAATATTTTGAATTATTGAAACTCCAACAAATTCTATCTTTGACCTTGAAAACGACTCCAATGCATTATATACTGCTAGTATAGATATCAAATCATCATCGAAATCGTTGGAAAACGGTAAGATTTTCCCAATTAAAGTTCCAATCACGGCTTGTTCATCAATACTTGTTCCAAACGCGAACATCAGAGGCCATACGAACCAGTTCTTGCTTACAAAGCCCGAATAATCCTCTGAATTCGTAAGAAAAGCGTCAAAAACTTCAACACATTTTCTTTTCAGATTATTATCGAGTCTTATTGCGATTAAACAGACAACTTGGATAAGGAAAGGATAGTAGAAGATGTAATCGATCAATTGGAGGTATAATTGGTCGATTGGAACGTTCTTAACTATTGAAACTATTGATAAACTCAGCATTTGAAGGAAATCAGGGCATAATCTGAGGATTAGAATGATTGTCGTGGTGACAACTTCAACATTTGTGCTAGTTAAGTACTCTTTGAGCCTTGTAACTGTATTCATTCGCTCATTATAACTTTTTAATATCATATCAGGGATACAATTCATGAATTTCATGAAAAAGAGCTTAGTATATATATCCTTTGCTGAAAACAGATGCATTACGATGGTTTGGATGTCGAATCTGTCACATTTGTAAGGAATCAAGTTACATATCATTCCAAAGAACTGTTCTCTGCATTTAAACAATGTTTCAGTGGGCATCTTTGAAATAACATGCGCAAACATGTCTGCTTTTTGGTTTTCTGGTACTAATATTGAAGAATTTCCTTTTAAGAAGTCTTCTTCGTTCTGGAAACAGAATAAAAGGTAAAATTGGTCGCAAAGAATGGATAATATCGATATACTACTGAAGATATCGAAAAATTGTTTTGACATGAAATGAGAAAGAAAGTAAACAATGCGATATAGATCTTCATGAGGAGCTTGTATCCATATCCACATGTTCAAAACAATTTTTGTCAACCATTCGACGATCAACTTTTGAATGGTCAGAGATTTCAAAATTGAAACCGTACAGAAGAAAGTATTTGAGCTTAATACGTGAGGATTTGAGAACAGGAACCTCTGTATATCGGTAGTTCCGCTAAATGATGACTGGGATTTCTCACTGTACATGAAAATCAATGTCATTATGTCAAATAAGAAACCTGGAAAATTTTCTGGGCAATTTTTCGGGTTTTCTCGGAAGAATATCACCAAATCATTAACAATTCCGTAATCGGCAGCACACCAAAGGAAATCATGTGGCATTGCGTCATTAGAAACAAACCTAATATAAGCATTCGGAGAATTCTCGAAAGGTAACGCGTATTCATACTTCTGGGAGTCAAGAGACATCATCTCTGTAGTGAATAGTTCACTCGTCTTGTCTCTCTGGGCATGCAAAAGGTTTACAATTTCGTATGCTTGATAAGATCTAGTGTAAATCTTGATGTCTCCGATAGATCCGAGGTTCTGAGTGATCAAGGATCTATCGCCGCCATCGGAACCACCGATAACAAGCGTCAAATTCTCTTCTTCGAAGCTTTGAGAACCTAAATCGAATTGTACATCGGGAGTTCCATTCAAATACGGAACCATTGCGATAGATTGGAATCCCTCTGAGTCGTAGATGTAGCTACATGACACGGCTAAGTCAAACCAGTTGTTTGGAACCTGAGGAACGAGAATTACGTTCGCAATTGCATCGTTTGTCTCGAATGAAGCGTTGACCGTCTTCCCTTCTATGTAAAATGTGAGTTTTGTATCTGTTTGGTCGACCAATTTAATTAAATTCAAAACAGATTTAGTTAATTCGAGACTTTGAAGATCTACATAGCATCTGAAGTAAATTGTGAAACCTTCTTCGATACCTCGTATTGGGATATTTGATACTGTGAAGATAGGATGTATTGTTCCGATTGGAATATAAGGTCTTGGCTTTGAAAAACAGTTTTGAAGGATCATTGATACAGTTTGGCATGTGAGAATTGATGTATCATCAATATCCCTTATCATAAGTTTCATATATAGCGTTGCAATGCTTGCATTTGACCTTTGTGAGGAAATTAAGACTAAAAGAGGGAAAATCAGCTCTTCAACAAGCGACAAATCGATAGATATCTCGATATCAACGCTCTTATATGAGACAATGGCCCGACTTTTTCGTTTTGAAACGAATTTAAGTAAAATGTAGTCCAAATCTCCATTGTGGCAGGCTGTTTTATTGTAAAAAGAGAACTCACAGAGGTTCCTGAACTCCTTGAGAATCTTTGGGAACAAGTTGGAACAGCCAAAACAAGATATCATCAACGGAATTGCAGAATTTTCACGAATAATGAACTGTAAGTCATCTAATTTAGAATATTGTCCGGATAGAAGTGAATGTAAGTGCTTAAAAACGGAATATGGAGGGTTATCTCCATAAGTGTTTTTAATTGCCTTCGTAAAGTCACGTAATGCTGTGATATTGATGCTATAGTTCTTCTGGCTGTGGGATAGAAGGTCAATGAAGTAGAACGATGCATCAATAATTTTTTCTGATTTAATTTTTTGAATTAACAACAGGAAATGATGCAAATTCGGTTCAAAAAGAGTTGCAAGAGCTGAATTCACACGTAATGCATATACAATGTTCGTTGCCAACTCTTCGGCCAAAATGAGATATCTGTTGTCTGTTTCAATGTATCTCTTAAATGACTTGAACAAAAGACTGATGTATGAAACAGTCATTTCAAGAGTATGAGAGAAAGGTAAAATACTGATTCCATCCCTAATTAATCTGATTATTGTGGTTGTTATGTCTTCTTCGTAGACAAACCATAGGAAACCATCTGTAAAACATCTAGTAGAGAAACATGCCAATGCACTTTGAGGAGATTCTATTAAATAAGACATAAAAATAAAAATTATTTGTCTTGCTTCAAAGATATCGACATTTTCATCATATATTTGTAATAGATGATGTGCAGTCTGTATGATATTATTAAGAGCTGCTTCTTTTACGAATCTTAAAATATCATATTTTTCAATATCTTCGTAAATTCTAAGAATAACTTCAGCAAACAACAATGGATATCCTTTACAACGTTCCAGAACATAAGAAACTTCATTTGGCACACATTTGTATAATAACTCAAAATATGTGTTTCTTAGTGTCATAATTTGATCATTTTTATTGTTTTTGTCGAATACTGTTATTGCTGGATTGAACAGAGCCGTATCAAGGAACAATCTCAAAGTAATTTTCGATGGATAAACAGATGCCACTAAAAGAAGGATATAAAGGAAAACAGTGCACATTTCGACATGAAAAAATGTTCCTTTGGATGTTTCAAGTATTTTGACTAATGATTTTACGAAATGAACATTATATTTTGAATCAACGTCCTGAAAACAAGAAGCAATCTTTAGACAGGCCTCTTTTATGTGCTTTGGTAGATATGTTGTTATGTCTGATTTCGTGGCAATTAAATTAAATTTTGGGTTATTAAATCCATTATTAAATTCTGATCGTTTTTTCTCCATGAAACTGAAACCGTTGAGATTGTATATTACAGGGGGAATCTCTTTTGGATATTCCGGTTCCTTGTATTGTGAATCTAAAAATTCATAATGTCTTGTAATCATTGTAAACAAAGGTAGAGGTATAGACATGAACGCGTCCAAGATTATATTGTTAAGAGATGTACAATGTGTCAAATGGGCGAGAATTTGAAGAGATATTGCATCTAATTCGGCCAAATCGTTTGATATGATTGAAATAACGTAGGATCCATCTGTAGTAACAACGCTTTCGTCTTTTCGTAAACATAAATGAAGTAAAAACAATTTTAACTCTTCAATTAATTTTTTGTGATGAGAATGTCGAATTACCTTGAAATATGAATACAGAGGACGTACAATCGTGAATGATATAGATTGAAGCTTAGTAATGTACTTCATAAATGATTCTAGAAGAACATAATCGTATTCTTTTTCTATTTGGTAAAAAGAACCTTTTATTAGCTTTTTCAAAACGTAGAATTCATAGGAAGTAAGATTTCGTGGATATTGATTGTGTGATTCGAAAACATCTAGTAAAAATAGTTTATAAGAATCTTGTCTTGGTAATTCTCGTTCTATACTCAATAAAAATATGTAGTATGAGATTACCAGCGTATAGAACTTACTAGAGTACTTTGAATTAATAATAAATTGCGGTAGATCAATAAAATGTCGTTCTTCTTCTGAAGAAATCATATTAAACTTGTTGAATATGGATTTTAATCGATTTTCTTGTTGAATTAATACTTCGAATTGTGTTCTTTTGTGTTTATCCAGTATAGGAATGTACCGAATTACTGAATTTTGAATATAATTGTCGAATTGAGGGTCTATGTTTTCAATTTCGGCACGGAGTTCAAAGAAATCTTCTAATGGATGTATTTTGGGAGTACTTCTCGAACGAGAAATAGGAGGAAATACTTCTTCCTGCATTTCTGAATTCAAAAAATTCTTCGGTAGGAGAAAAAAAAATTTTTTATCGTTTTTTCTGATGAAAAATGTAAATCAATAAAGAACAAATGTGCAGGCGAGGAACACTTGGATCTATCAAGATGTTGATGCGAACGGGGCGATAACTCCCGTATTTAAAAATATTTCCGCAAATTTCAGAAAAATTGAATGGAATAATGAAATTGAGATTATGAGTGTCCGTAATTCCATTATTATTATCATGGAGAAATGCACAGGGCAAGAAAAATGGCGGTTATTGTAAACAAATTTTATTGATCAAGATGTTTTTATTGTTATTTCGACTAAAGGTAAAAACTTGTCAGATGTTTTGATCTCTGACTATGATTTTTGTTGTTATATACGAGTTAAGGAAATATGTGGTTATAATATTTTCAATAAATTTTCTGATGAATTTAGTAAAAGTATTGCCAGTAGCCCATAAAGATAAAAATGTTCCAACTCATGAATAGTATATTAATATTGATATTCAAATCCAGTATCTATGGGCAATACTTAACGAAATTTGATAATTCTTTTGCATTCGCTTCAATCATTTATGTCTTTATCCATTTGAAAACTCTCTCTTTTTGTTCGTGTCCATTATCTTATATAACTACACTATGGTCATATTCTGGCTGACATTCTACTAAATATAATTTTTTTGCTTCCAAATTCACGCATAATTAAGTATCAATAAGTTTCAAACTCGTTTGCTTTTATTTTTTAAGGCCAGGCAAAAGATCTAAATTTTATCAAGGTTGGGCAAACCTGTGGTTGAATGGTCCCGAAGAATCATTAGTATTATCTATATATTGTTCAAAGATAAGTAAATTCAAAAAAAGTTTAGCAATTGATAAACAATAATTTGCCAAAATCCAAAGAATTTGCCAGAATAAGTCTTTTACTAACCAGAAAGTCTATTTAATCACTTTGCTTGAATACGAATCCTACCTGATAAATAGGTAATTTCTCATGAAGTAAAACCGAAAATATTCGATTTCAGAGTTATTATTATTAGTATCGGGAATAGAGTTTTAAATAAAGATAATTCTAATGATGGTTATGATAGAATTGCCAAATTCAAAGCTGTTTCAAAACGATACGAATTGAATACTTTAACCCAAAATTGTAGATCTATGAAAAAGTTATTTCTTCCTTCAGGTATATTTCGAATTCTCATGTCTATTTTAAGAGATTTTTAATTGAAAGGAAATTATTGATTTTGAAAAATAACAGGATATAAGAATGTTAACATCTTTTTTTTAACAATAGTTCGCTTTTCAAAATTTTACGAAAAAAAAATAAAGATTGAAAATTGATGTCTGCGTGGAGCATTATTCAATGACCATGATATAAATTATTTTGAATTGAATCGTTTGAATGGTTATGAAATTTGAATCATTAAAAAATGAGTGAGGAGAAGACGCGCGAAGACCAAATTCTCGGTGGAACACGCGCCCTCAGCACAATTCTTGTCCTAAGTATTGGCCCATTGGTAAGTCAAGTCACGACTTCATTGTATGGTTTCGTAAATACAATTTGGTTACGCTTTGGCGTGTCCGAACTTGCAACAACTGCCTTAGCCTCAACAACTACAATTGATCCTCTTTCAATGAACTGTGGTTTCTATCTTTCAACGTGCTGCGCATCTAAAGTTGCAGCACTTTTCGGAGAACACCGCGGCGATGCAGCAGCTCAAATCATAGTTGATATGATTAGAGTTTCAATATTCTTTGCCATCTTGCTTCCTGCTATATTAATTCCTGTTTCTGGCCCATTCATGAAATGGTTAGGGGCTTCAGCCGAAGTTGTACAGCTTGGAAAAGACTATTTGATTCCATTGGTAGCTTGCACCCTCATTACCTGTATTTATTTAATGCTTTGTGGCTGCATTCAAGCCGAAGGCAGAACATACACATTTGCCATCGTACAAATTTCATCATTAATACTCAATGCCGGTGTATTCAATCCATTGTACATCTTGGGATGCAAACTTGGTATCCGAGGTGCTGCCCTGAGTCAAATTTGTTCTCAATTTGTTCCAGGAATCTTTCTTTTCATCTTCATGTTTAGAGGAAAGTTTACCTCACAGCCAAAGTTTAACATGTTCCTCAAAAAACCTTCACCAGAGCTTTGGCAGACACTAAAAATCGGATTACCTTCGTTGGTCGGCGCTGTTTCAGCCACATTACCATCTATTGTCTTCCAAAAGTGCATTGCATCATCATGCGGCTCAGAACACGAGTTTAATATCATGATGGCTCTTTACAATGCCTACAATAGAATCTACCAGATTGCGATCGCCCTTTTCATGGCTGCAACGTCCGGATTCCTACCTTCTGGATCATTTGCCTTTGCAGCCAAGCGAAAGAGAAGAGTTTTGTTCTTATTTGCTCATACTTCATGGCTTGTTATAGGAACAGCTGCGATTCTCACAATTTTGTTATATTCAGCAAACAAACCAATCGCAAAAATATTCTCAAAGGATGAATTGTTCATAGAAAGGTTCTGGAAGTGCACTCTTCCTTATTGGACAACATGTCCATTATGTTCTTTACAATACATCATTACGGCTTTACTACAAGTATGCGAAAGGCCTGTATGGGCTTTCATTGGCTCATTTGTCACGCAAATAGCCATGTGGCCTGCAATGGCGATCGCATTTTATTTTACGAACAAACATAACGTCGTTCGTTTGTTTTTCGCATGTATGTCGAATGATGTATGCTCGGCTATTGTTCTACTTGTCCCTTTGATTCCAACTTTGCACAGTCTTATCTGGGCCAAGGATGCAGTCGATAGTAAAGATAAATTGGAGATCAAGCAATCCGAAATGGATGTTGACCATAAGGATGATGTGGAAGAAGAAGTTCCAGAAACACCAATTATCAGCGAACTTTAATGTATTAATAAATCTATCATACATGATAATAAAATTTTTTGTATATTTTGTTTTATTCATTTTTTTGTAAATCGATGGATTAATAAAAAAAATAAATTTACGATAATCTGTTTTTAATAAATATTTCAGATGAATTAGCTAAAGCAATGCATTTTGCAAGTGTTTCCTTTAGGAAATGTAACACATGTTTGGATTTTTTTGTTAGTTGATTCAATTCACTCAAATCAGTGCGAAAAAAAATAACGTACAATTGCCAAAACCAAAATTGCCTTGGCAATTGTACGTTATTTTAACAAGTATAGTCTGGAAATATGAGTCTTTATTATTATAAATAAATAAATGAAAAATATGGCGACCCGCTCTTGAACCTTTGCCTTTACGAAATTCAACTTGACAGTCTTGTCTTGTTTGAATTAAGGATTTCTTTCCAATTATTACTGGCTGCATAATGAAGAGGGGTAAATCCATAATCGTCTTTAGCATTGATATCTGCACCATTTGAAATAAGAATTTCTGCAGTTTCTTTCCAATTATTACTGGCTGCTAGATGAAGAGGGATCCATCCATCTTCGTCTTTAGCATTGATATCTGCACCATTTGAAATAAGAATTTCTGCAGTTTCTTTCCTATTTTCTCTGGCTGCATAATGAAGAGGGGTACGTCCATCTTCGTCTTTAGCATTGATATCTGCACCATTTGAAATAAGAATTTCTGCAGTTTCTTTACTATTATTACTGGCTGCATAATGAAGAGGGGTCCATCCATAATCGTCTTTAGCATTGATATCTGCACCATTTGAAATAAGAATTTCTGCAGTTTCTTTCCAATTATTACTGGCTGCTAGATGAAGAGAGGTACATCCATATTTGCCTTCAGCATTGATATCTGCACCATTTGAAATAAAATATTCTAAAAGTGATGAAAGATGGAAATTCGAAGAATAAACAAAACATGTGTTGATATCATTTGTTTGATCTAAGTAAACTAAAAATGATTGAAGATTATTGTATTTATAGCACAATTCTAAATCAATGTTTATATTGTGTTCATTCATCAAAAATGTGACAAAATCAATATTGTGTGAAATAATTGCATATTCCATGCATTCATAATCTGGTTTTTGTACTTTCAAGCATTCATTCAGAATGGCTTGATTTCCGCTCAAAAAAGAATATCTAAGACATTCTGGAGTGATTTCTGATTGAAATTTCGTTATTAAGATCTTAAAACAATCAACAGATCCATGATAACAACATAATTCAAGTAATGAAATACCTTCATATGAATATGGATATAATTTACTTTTTAATTTTTGATTTTCATCAAATCCTTCGCTTTCTGTAAAAATTATCAATGATATTTTGTCATCATACATAATAGATCTGTGAATTGTATTTTGTTCGTGAATATCAGATGAATAATGAGAATCTTCAAAATCGTTAAAATTTTTTCTCCCATTTTCATTCAAGACTATATTGTATTCTTTGTAGAAAATGTAGTTAAAAACTTCGTTGATTTTGTTGACCTGATTTAGATGGAATTCGTCAACAATTTGTTTGGTAATCGCTAAATATGACTTCATGAAGCAGTTGTTATAAATTGAAAGTTGAGATATTTTATTGATAATCTCACCAGGCGGAATTCGATAAGAGTCAATCAGGTTTTGTTTGATTTTGTTGTAAATTGCGTTTAATTTTTCTTCGTCATTTGTTTTCAGCCGGTACAAAGCATCGGAGACATCATTATATCCTGTAAAAATCTCCATCAATTTGTCATAATGGGCTTGGTGAGTTTCTCCCTTGGACATCAACCAAAAATTTTAGATGTCGTAATTTTCCATAAATTTCTCAAAACTCGATACACATTTTTACAGTCAGATTTTTCGTGAGACTACCTTTCTCGATACACATTTTTACCGAAAGGTAGGTCCACAAGCATATCATGTGATTGATCTGCAGTGCAAAGAGGTATATTTGATCAAATATAATTTGGGCCTCAGGTGGTTTCGCTTGCCCTTCGGGCAAGCACGCCACCTTCGGCCAAATTAAATTATTTTTTGAAAAATTGAATTATTCACTATTTAGTTGGCGCAAAGCTCCAACCAAATAATGAAGAATACTACTATTTGTTTACTTAAAATATGATTAAAATTTCTGAACGAAAACCATCAAAATTAAGTCATAAAAAATACAAATATAGGATGATAATTTACAGTAAATTCATAATGTAAAAAGAAAGGTAGGTCAACAAAATCGTAACGATGCTTTCTTGATTTTGGTAATGGATTTAGACTATGTAGGTACTCGGTGACTAATAGACGAAGAATGGAAGAAAACTGCAAGAGGGATTTCGAGGAAATATTATTAAAATTAACATTCGATTCTTTGACCTGCAAATAAACATATTTGTACTATTAATCGGTTTTACAGAATAGATCCTGCGTTATTGTATGTTTTGAAAAAGTATCTAGAATTTTTCCTAAGATACTCATTTTGCGAGATAAAATGATATACCATCTACTAGATATTTGTGCATTGCTTCCTATATGTAGCTAGTAACTACAGAAATTGTAGTTTCAGGAAATTTGAATACATTTGGAATCCTAAGAAAGACATTATAATATTGAGCATCTCCTATTTCAATATACTATATTGATGAAAATATAAATTCATGTAATCTGTCCTTAAATATGCTATCTAAGCTTGTGATAGAAACTCAATTTCACCAGAAAATCTGAGAAAATTCCAAACTGTGAAATAAAACGAACATATTCGCATATGAGATAACAACCATCTATATTAGGTTTCTCAATTCTTCATTTAAAATTCCAAAAAAAATTCAAAAATTTGAAAATGGAGAGAAGAAATACGAATTTTCCATGAAAATTTGCAAAATGAAAAATTTTTGGAATTACAAACATTATTTATTTTTGATGCTTGTTCCAAAACTTGTCTTGTTTCCCATATCTGATATGAATATTTTGGATTATTATTATAATTTATTTTTAATGACATATTTCATGATATTCATATAATGATTTGTTCTAGGGAATGAATGAGAATATATTTATTTAAAAAAAGAGAAAAGGTATTAGTATAGATTTTTATTTGAGCGTATTTAAAAGGTTCTATTTCAAAAACATTATGTAGTTTGCTTTTGTAAGCAACATAAAACAACATCTTCAAGTTATTTGTTGCAATTCGTGGATTAATCGAGAATTTTTGCTGTATATTAGTTATAAATTTGTTTTTAGTAGATAAATTAGTCATGTTCCCGTTTGTAACTCATTTTGTTTTTGCTTTATTGATAAAATTTCAATTTGTTGAGTGAATATCGACAAATTTGTTAAATCTTGTTTTAAGCGCAGCAGCAATATTTAGAGTCTATTAATTATATCTAGACTTTCAGTATTTTGCATTATTTTTATGGTTGAGGTTAGAACAATCGCCTAACTAAGTAACGCATGTATGTAAAATGACTTTTTCGCGAAAACGGTCTTGCAGATTTTTATGAGAGTAAGATATCAATATAGACAACAATTGAGGATTAATCTTATTGCAGTGGCTTACGATTTTCATCGTTCAAAGTATCGGGGCAGATTATTAAATTTTAAGCTATACAATTTCCATTGTAGAGCTTTATATTTTGAAAGAATAGAACGATTGGATATACTCTTATTAAGTATAAATGACATCGATTTTAAATTGCATATATGTCAACACTGTTTCTGACATTAATGTAAATACAAAGTAATAAATTACTATGCATGAAGAAAACTTCAATTTCTCTTCACAATTAAGAGAAGTTTGGAGTTTTATTACTGAGAAAAATCCGCTTGAAGTTGTTCATGAGAATTTTTTTTCCTTGCGAAATAACGTATTTTTTGTTGACCTACCTTATTTAACGAATCTATACCATTTACTTTTAATAAATAAAAATCCCTTCATATACATTCATTAGAAATCAAATTACACTTCATATTTAATGCTTTTGGCAGTTCCGACATCCTTATTTTTGGATTTTTTTGAAGTATTGTCAGAAATCCACGTATAAATTTTGACAGCCTCGTATGGAGAAAAAACAGCCATCGAACTACTTTTTGAGGCTTCTCCAGGGCTTATCAAACAAGAGTTCCAACATAAGATACACCAGCAAGTTTGCTTTGAGGAAAATCTGCTCTAATAATCCTTCGATTTTTTTCACCGAATTTAACTATTACATTAAAGACGTGAAAACACTCGAGCCGAAACCTCTGACCGAATTTGCTAATGCTTTGACTGCAGTATCTCCAAGTGATGATACTTATTTATCTCAATTGCATTCAATCATGGTTAACATAGAAAATATCTGCAATTCACAAGACGTAATCTCATCAACAAGTGAAATTATCGATGTTGCAACGAATTTCTTTAACTTAAAACCTGCATTACTTCCAATATTATCAAATCCATCGAAAAATTTACAAGTTTTAACAACATTAGCAGTTTCTCAAATGATTACTTTAGGAAATGAAAATCAAGCTAAGAAATTTTACTCGGTTTTGTTAAGTTCGAATTGCGAAACAAATTACCATAAATTTGCAAGAGCCAGACTCATTGCTGCAATGTGTATGCATCCAGAATTAATACCACAAGATCTAAAAGATTCTATTCAAAAATCATCAGAATTAATTATCGATTTATTCTGCGAAAACTGCCAAACAGTATTTGCCCCATTTATTCCAACGATAATAAGCTCATATCCACCACCGAAAGATAAACATTCCGCAATTTTCAAAAAATTTGTTGAATATATTTCGAAATTTTCTAACATTGCCGTTTATATTATACCAGCAGCTGTTTCTATATCAGATAACAGTGAAGCTGAATCACTTTCTTTGTCAGAAGCTCTTATTCCAATTTTATCTATTGTTCCTTTCCATTTTACTTCGACTTTACCAGATGATGCTGCTGTTAATGGTTTTAATGTTGCCGTCAGAGCAATTTCTACGTTCATTACTCCAGAAACTTCGCAAAGAATTACGAAATTTTTAATAAATTCAGCAATTAACGGCGAGCTTGAGCAACGTCTTGGCTTCCATTACGCTTTAACATGTCTCGTGAAACTAAACGCAGAACTCGATTACCAAGAGATAAAACAGTGTTTTCACAGAGTTTTCACTCCCCTTGAAGCAGGGACATTGGCCGAACTTGCATTAGCTCTTCTTGCAGGTGGCCATCATATAATGTCATGGACAGACATGGTTATGTTGTTTGAAGACTGTTTTTCCGCATCAAATACGATATCTGAACAATTTGTCATAGACGCTTCAGCATTATTGGGAAAACATATTGATGCGCCTGTTTCTGATGTCCTTACGTTCTTTTCTCATTGCGTTTACGAAAGATTCAAATTTGCTCAAGTTCATTTCTCAATTTTGAATACTTTCTTTAATAAAAACAGCGTAAAATTATCAGATTTCCCACCTCTGCTCACAATGCACATGCTTTTGTTCATCCAATACTATCCAGATTTATCTCAGAAACAATTAAAGGACATTTGTCCATTGGTTGGTGATGTTAGCTCATTTTTGACATCAATTGATCCGAACCAACACTCAATTGCCTTGAGATCGATGCTGAAACGTTTTGGAAATAATGAACAGTGCAGAAACATCATATTTGACTTCATTAACCAGCTAACATGGCGCTGCTCGAAACAAGAAGCATCAAACAACGTCATAAAAGTCATGAATATCATTGGAAACAACGCAGAAAAAATGTCAGAGGTAATTTCTTCACTTTATGCGGCTTTTGCATATGTAGATGTACATTTAGCAACACAGTCATTACAAACATATACAACAAACCAGAGTAGAGGCTGGTTTTTGTTCTCATCAAGCACAAAAACAAATTCTTCTATTAGATTGGTCTTTTTAACACTCTCTAAGCTAAAAAGACATGTCACACCTTTCATTCAATTCGCGACAGAGCATCTTCCTGATCCTTCAAATGTAGAACAATGTACTGAAATTATTTCAATACTCGCGAAAGTTCTCAAAAATAGTCAGGAAATTCAATCCGAGTTCCCTCCGAAATGTTGTTTGTTTGACTTTGTAATGAGTCTTAAATACATGTCCAATGATGATATATACCGTTGCATTGGCGAATTAATAACAATTTCACCAATCTGGCAAATTGAGCATATTCCGTTTGCTACAGGCATAATACTGAATGCAAAGGAAATAACAAATGATTTGCTATTCATGCTGAAGAGAACTTTGATGATTGCAGAAACTCCAAGCGATATCCAATTATTAATCGAACCATTTGTCCAGAAAACAACAGATTCTATCTATTTCCAGTTATTACTGTCAATATTAGAAGCTTTGACAGGCGATGAGCACACAAATCCTGATTTTCCAACATTAAATTATAATTGTTCATCAAAACTCGATAATATCAACGGAGGATTTGACAGATTCTTATCTCTGATTGCCAAGATTGTTGGTTATTACATTCCTATCTTCGAAAAGTCACATATCGCGATAGAATACATTTTAAGGATCATGGGACGCCTAACAAAGAAGATAGAAGTCAGAACACACCTTCCTTTGCAAGAAGCCGTTCATTGTGTGGCTGTTTCATTCAATTCTCAGTGTATTTTAGATGCTGCCACGCTTTTCTGCGAAAACTTCACTATTGCATCGATCACTGCCTTCCTTATATTATTTAAAGAGAGAGAAAACGAGCTTTTGGAGTGTGCTCAAACATTTATTATCAAAATTTTCCAAGAGAGGCCAGATTCCGCCGCATTAGTGTTTGATTCCAGCGAAACATTAGCGAAAGCTGCTACAGCGCTATTAGAAATCAACCATCTCTCACTTCTCCAAAATGTTCTCAAAAAATCTACATTTAATAAGCAGATTATTGAGACACTTTTGGAATATGTCCTGACCAAACACGAAATGATCGTGAAATTATGCGAAGAAACCGATATAACCAAAGATTTAATCGATATCAAACGTCCAGAAGTCCAATACGCCTTCGTAATGCATAACGAGAACTACGAGATCGATGTTGATACATGGGATACTTCAAAGTCAATGAAATTCATCGAATTGATTAAGTCTTCTCTTGAAAAAGTGACAGATGACATAAAAATCAGGTTTGCAAAGCAGACAGCACGAATCCGCGACGAAGAAGTTGTTCCTTTATGTGTAGCCATATTCGAACCATACTTTAAAGGCGAAAATCTCTCAGAAGTCATGCCATATTTAGATCCATTTGCTCGTTCTACGTCAATGATACCATTTATCACAAAATCATTACCAGATGGCAAGATATATAGGGCTGCTCTGACTATTTGCCTTTCAAAACCTACAACTCTCCCTTTAATTTTTAATCAGATTCCGAAAGTTCTTGAATGGATACTCAAACACCAAAAAATCGTCAAAGTACTAAGAAAACAAAAGGATGTAGCGATGCTTAAACCATATCTACCTGTTATTGTCGCTAATTCTTTGACACAAGACCAGTTATTACAGAAAGAGATTGTTTATCTCATTCACGAAATAACTGGCTTCAATTGTCCACCTCCTACATCATTCGTTGGCTTGTTTGAGATCTGCGAATCAGTTAAATTCTGTGATCCTGATCCAGAATGCGTTGTTTCGCTCATGAAGAGATCCAGACAAGGTGACTTCGCCGCATTGATTGTTATCTGCTTCATAGCACATAAATCTCTGCTTGAAAAAGAGAATTACAACGAAGCTCAGACTATTGCAAACTCATTGTTAGAAAAAGATTCCGAAGAAGCACAAACAGCAGCTTTCCTATGTTTGTCTTGTTTTCCAATACAAAATTTATAAAATCTTTCTGTTCAGTTTAATTTTTTTTTTTCTATTTCTCATTCTGAATCATTTGGCAAGTTCATCAGCAATCATATGATTCGCATTCATTGTTCATGATTGCCGACTTTAAAAAATCGTTACATATGTTTCAAAAGATGATAGCTGGTAAAAAAAAATATAATTATAAAATAAGGTCTTTTTAGAAAATATAAGTAAAAGATACATCTAATGTAGCAACATTATTCATGTGCGCCATGTGATGTAAGAACTGCTGCATAGGGAAGAGCGGTTTGTTCATTTACATGTTTTTCATTTATGGATGTTAAAAATACTGATTTTTCGATTTTTAACACATATGGTATGCGCACACTTTTTAAATCATTATCTTTTTCATTGATTTTTGCAAAAATGTGAAATAAGTTCGACTATTTCTTTACTATGGATTGCTGCTGCATAATAAAGAGCGTTTTTCATCTTTTTCTTTGATATTTATATCATGTGAAATAAGAAGTTCGACTATTTCTTTACTGTTATATTTTGCTGCATAATGAAGAGCGGTTTTTCCATCATTATCTTTTTCATTGATATTTGCACCATTTGAAATAAGAAGTTCGGCTATTTCTTTACAATTATTCAATGCTGCATAATGAAGAGCAGTTCGTCCACATTTATCTTTTTCATTGATATTTGAACAATGTGATAAGAAATATTCGAATAGAGATGGAATATCAAAAATTGATGAATAAATAAAGCATTTGTTAAAATCATTAGTCTGGTCAAAATAAACTAAAAATGATTCAAGATTATGATATTGTGCACAATGATTTAAATCGATCTCTATATTGTACTCATTCATCAAGAATGTAACAAAATCAATGTTGTGTGAAATAATTGCATATTTCATGCATTCTTTGTTTGGTTTTTGATATTTCAAACATTCACTCATGATCTCCGGATTTCCTCCTAAAAATGAAAATTCTAGAGATCTTTTTGTTATTTTTGAGTTAAATTTTGTTCTTAAAAACTTGAAACAATCAACTGCTCCATGGTAACAACATAATTCAAGAAATGAAAGCTGGTAGAAAAAGTCTTCAGGATTTGGATAAAAACTGCTGTAAAGTACTTGGTTTTCATCAAAGTCTTTTCTTTCGGTGAATACAATGAATGTTTTTAAGTCATTATACATAATTGCTCTGTAAATTGTATTTTCTCTATGAATTTTTAGGTTTTCGGATTTAATTTTTTCAAAATCATTAAATTTGTCTAATTCAATTCCATTTTGTCTCATAGTATTAACATATACGATATCTGTGACATGATAATCATCACATATGAGTTTGGCAAGATAAAAATATGACATTGTATAGAGATTGTTCCATGGAATAATATTTAAAATGCCTTTTAGAATATTTTCAGGGTGATGCTTCTTTGATTCAATCAATTCTGTTTTGATCATTTTGTAAATCTTGTTTAAATCTTCTTCATTTTCCGTTTTTAGCTGATACAATACATTATATAAATCAATGTCGTATTTACAGATACTTCGCAATTCACTGTATTTATTTGGGGAAATGTCTTGATCAGACATTAAAAAATTTATAAGTCATAAATCAACATTTTACTATATGCAATATTTTTAGATGCTATGTTATACATATAGAAAAGATATTCACAAAGATTTTGGATTTTGAATTTTTTTCCCTGCGAAATAACATATTTTTTGCGGGCCAACCTTTATATTTATACTTGTAAAATGGAAAAATAACAATAAGAAAGTCGAAAACAATAAGATATTCTTTCAAAGACTTATATTTTTATTACATGAAGGGAACGAGAAAAAGGGATGAACTTATATAATGGCTTATTATTTTGTAAGCTTCATTTCATTCAATCATTATATATCTTTTTTTTTTCATAATATAGTTTTCAATAGGCGATATGAATGATTTCGATTCGAAATTATCATGTTTTGATACTTTAACAATATTATAATTGAATTTGACCAAATTTTGTTTATGCGCATAAAATATTAACATCTGAAGAAGCCATTTACGATAATATAGAGCATTCCTAAGCATGCATATCATGTATTGCTTACCAAATTAACGTTGTGTATCGAATAAAAAAAAATTTAAAAATTTGCGATAACAATAAAAATCCATAATAAAACGAGGACTCTGGGATTAAGGCGTTAGATATTTCACATAAAATTTATAATTCAGGGGAAAGATTTTCATTGAGACACAAAAAATTTGATTTGAAGAAAAACGGTTTGAGTTCTGGTCAAAAATGGAAGCAGACGCCTCCTCAAAAGGTAAGGCCCCGCAACCAAAAGACAACAAAATTAAAAAGGAAAAACTCTTTGGAACTAAATCCAAAAACGCAAAATCTAAAAAACAGAAGAAATCTGGAGTAAAAGTCCCATCTCTTCCAAAAGCCGAAGATTTTTGCCAAGGATGTATCACACTCGCATCAATTCTATCGTTCCAGGATGATATGATATTCCTTGAGCTTCCAGGAAATGCCCGCGGCACACTTCAACTCACTGAAATCAACGATCCATTCCTTCAACGCCTTCAACACGCAATTAAAAACGACGAGGAACTTCCTGAATTAGAAAATTTCTTCAATATTGGAGACTTCTTGATGGCAACAGTCATTTCAGCCGGAACACATCCAGTTGAACTCTCAATACGTCCAAATCTTGTTAACTCAATGATTGAGCCAGAAGAAGGACGCATTTTCTGGGGTGCAGTCAAATCAAAGGAAGATCGTGGTTATATTATCGATCTTGGCAAGGAAAATGTTACAGCATTCCTTCCATTCCCAGCTCAGCTCGAGGTTGGTCAACCAGCTTTCGTCACATTACTTAAGAAGACTTCAGAATCAATTTATAAATGCGAATTAACAAAGAAAGACTTCTTCCCATCCGTTCCAACCGTCAAGCCATTCTTCGATACACTCCGTCCAATCGATGTTCTCGATGGCCTCGTTACTTCTAATTTCACAAATGGCGCCCTCGCGATCAATGCACAGTCTTTCAACGGATTTTGCTCGAAATACTCATGGCCACCTGGTCTTACCAATGGAAACAACGTCCAAGTCAGGCCAGTCTTGATCGACCACGCACAAAAGACAATTTGGTTCACAGCCATCCCCCGTATCGTTAACGGCGAACGCCCATACTGCCTTGATGCCAAAATCGGCTCTAAAGTCACATCAAAAGTATCGCGCATCAGATATAACGTTGGTATCGAATTTACAATGCCAGATAACGAGAATTTACGTGTCTTTATCCCCGAAAAGGAGACAAAGAGCCATGCTCTTATGGCTGGCCAAGATCATGTTGTCCGCATTACAGAGAGAAGGCCAATTGATGATCTCTTGCTCGCAGCTGATGATCCAGAGATCATTGACCTTGCTGTCTTCTCAGCTGATGATGTTCATCCAGGACAAATCTTAGATGCCACAATTTCGGCCATCAACGACAAGATCGGCATTTTCGTCGAGTTATCTCCATTCCTTACAGCCCTCTGCCCAGTCAGCTACTGCGACAATGATCCAGAGCCAAAGAAAGGAGATGTCAAGAAATGCGTCGTTCTTTCAGTTTCTGAAGGCCATGTTCGTGTTGCCATGAAGGAAAAGTTCGTTACAAGTGAACTTCCACGTGTTGAATCCCTTGAAATCGCTCATAATTTATGCGAATCTAAGGAATGGACACATGCACTTGTCAGAAAGAGTGGAAAGTCCGCCATTATTGTTGAATTCATCAATGGACTTGTTGGCATGATCAGATCCTCCAGTTTACCAGTATCACAAGGCCAAGATATCTCCAAACAGTATCCACAAGGCTATGTTATCAAGACAATGATCTCCAGTGTCGATGGTGACAAGATAAACTGCGTTGTATCAACAGACGAGTCACAAATCCTTACTCTCGGCCAAACATGCACTGTAACTGTTGACAGATTCACAGAAGACGCAGTTTATGTCCGTGTTCCAGCCAAATACGGTGAAATCAACTCTGTCATCCAAGCCACACATTTCTCTGATTACGAGCCACTCTCCAGATTGATCTTCAAGAACTTAAACATTGGAGATAAACTGAGACACGCTTGTTTGATCAGAAATCCTGGCACAAACGCTCCAGCATATTTCACAATGAAGCGCTGCATCAGAGAGAACACAGAGTCCATTCCAAAGGACACAAAGTCAATCAAGGCCGGAGAACACTATTTCGGATTTGTTTCAGGTATACAGAATTACGGATCCTTTGTTTCTTTCTTCGGAAGAGCATCAGGATTAATTCACTCCAGACAATTAACTCTTGGTGATTCCGTCAATGCTTTTGTTGACCAAGTAACAGAAGATGGACATATCAGATTGACAACACCAATTGCTGATGGCGAATCCATTAAATTCCTCGATTCTTTCCTCAAAGATGCCAAGAAATTGAATGATAAATATTTAATTGACCAAGAAATACAAGTTCAAGGTGATGGAGAAAAAAGTGACGAATATTTCTCATATCAATTGGATGAAGACTGGATCTGCTTAACAAACGAAAAAGTCAAGGCAGGAACAACATTAAAGATCGCATACGCTGATGTACTTTCCAAATCAGTATTCGCTGTTTTGCCACCAAAGAAACCACGTTCAATTGAAAACAATGTTGTTGTCAAAGCAACAGTTATCGGTGTTTTCGAGCCAATCTTCATTTGCACAGTCAACGGACGCATCGTTATCTGTCCAATGGTTAACTACAACAACAAGACAGAGAAGAAGATCGCTGTTGGCGAAGAACTCGAGATAACAGTCGTTGATTCAAGAAGTGAAAGCGACGAAACATTCGAAGTTCTCAAGGGATATCCACAATATCTTTTGAAGAGCGAAATCTCCCAAAATGTTGTCGCAACAATCACTTCCGTCAATGATATCTCCTGCAACGCAAAACTTAATGATGGAAGAACAGTTCGTATCCATAGAAGCCAGTTATCACAAGTTCCTGAAGTAGGACAACAAGTTAAGGGTTCATTAATGAATGGTGACAATGCAACATTCTTAATAACAAACCCTGATTCTCCACAGAAAATCGAAGATTTCAAAGTTGGCCAACAAGTTACAGGTGTTATCACAAAAGTTTCTAATGATTCATTGAGATTATCAATGTCTCCATTTGTTCTTGGTACTGTTTCATCACTCCAGTTATCAAGTACAAACAGAAAAGTTGTTGATAAACCATTGGCTGAATCTTATTCCGTTGGAGATTTGTTCGAAGGCTGGGTTTCATCTGTTTCAGAGAAAATGATCACTGTTACAGGCATCGATCCATCATTTTCTTCCAATGTCGAATTCGCAAAAGTCCTCAAGATAAAGACAGGAGATTACGCAACTGTCAAAGTAGGAAATGGATCATTGAAGAAACTCGATGTCACAGATGTAATCGATGAATACCAGTTCAATCCATTATCACGTCTGAAGAAAGGAAAAGTCATCGATGTCGTCAATGTTTCTGAAGAGAATGTTTCAATGAAACTCTCAGACATCACGGGAACACCAAAGGAAATTAAGATCGAGGAAGGCGAAATCCTCCAAGGATACGTCTGCCACGCAATCAAAGGCGCTTTGTTAGTTAGATTGGCAAGAAACGTAACAGGAAGACTTCCTTTCGGATCAATCGCTGACTGCTTCATTCAAGACGCTGCAGCTTTGTATCCACTTGGAACTGTTGTTACTGTTAAAATCATGAAGAAGACTGATTCCGAGATCACTCTTTCCTCAAAGAGAAGTGACATAACTGGTGTTGCTTTGACAATACAAGATCTCAAAGTTGGTGACGTTGTCGGCGGATTCATCACTGCTGCAAACAAGAATGGTGTTTTCGTAAGATTGAATGATTACCAGAACAAATCCGGTTTAGTTCACCACTCAATGTTGAATGGAAAGGATCCTCTTTCTTTCGTCAATCTTGTCAATACTCGTGTTGATGTCGAAGTTCTTCAAGTTGACCTTGAAAAAGAGAGAATTTCACTCAAATTCAATGAAATTCACTCACAGAATCAACCACAAGAACAAGAGCAACAACAAGAGATGGAGACAGAAAGCGACGAAGGAGCAGAACCAGAGGAAGTCGAGATTGATTTGGACGAATGGTTAAGTGACGAAGAGAAAGTCGATGAAGAAGAGAAGGAAAAGGAAATCAGAAGGAAACAAACAGAAGAAGATATTCAGAGATTGGAAGCCAAACAAATCGATCCTTCAGCTCCTAAATCAGATAAAGAATTCACTGCTGCTTTGGTTGCAAATCCACATTCTTCAAAGCTCTGGATTTCATACATGGAATTCGTCTACGCTGGTGGAGATTCCAAGAGAGCAATGGAGATTGGCGAACAAGGCTTAGACAAATTACCAATTGGCGAAAAAACTGAGAAATCAAACATTTTCCAGGCTTTGATTACTTTGATTGTTCTCTCAGCAGAACCGAAGCATTTCATGGAAGAATGCATCCCAATCGTTGAGAGAGCTGCACAGACAATAGATGAAGAAGTAATGTGGCTGAGATTCGCTAAAACAGTTCATCAGAACCGTAAAGATTTCAGCCAAGAAGCTTGGAAAGTTGCTTTGAGAAAAGTGAAGCAAAACGTTACAATGTGGTCATCATATTTGAACTCATTGTTACAGGACAAGAAAGTTGACTTCGCCAAGGACGAATTGAAGAGATGCCTCAGCGGAACATTCCAAGGATTGGCCAAGGAATCAGTAGAAGTCAGAAAACAATTCGGTATCAGTGAATATGAAAATGAATATACAGAACATGGTAGAACAATGTTTGAGAACTTAATAAATGAGTTCCCAACAAAGTATCAGCTATGGAACGCCTACGTAGATGCAGAATGCAAGTACGGAGAACATCTTAAGGCAAGAAACATCTTCGAGAGAATGACAACTCTCGATTTGAAGATTGATAGAATGAAACAGACATTGAAGAAATGGCGCGCATTCGAAGAAAAGAATGGTAATGACCCAGCCATTAGAAAGAAGATCAATAAGATCGCTTCTGAATTCTCTAAGCGTGTCATTCAAGCAGGGAATTAATTATAGAACTTTTTTTTATATTAAAAATTTAGAAAATATTATTGACTTTTTTTTCATGAGCTAATATGCTAAAATGACTGACATCTGTTTCATTTGAGTAATAAATTAACTTTAATTAATTCGATTAAGAATTCACGTTGAATTTGACATCTAAATTTTCTAAATGTGGAAGAACCGCTCTTCATTATGCAGCAGAAAATAATAGTAAAGAAACAGAAGAAGTTCTTGTTTCACATGGTGCAAAAAATAATGTTCCTAAATGTTACACTTCCCTTTATTTTTCTAATATTTTCTAAGGTGAATTTCATTATAGAAATTTTTGTGTAACACTTCTCAATTTTTAAAATCATTTTTCCCTTCTTTTATATGATATAAATAAGTATATATCCTTTTGACACATATGAATTAAAAATCGAATTTTTCAAAATTATGGAAATGTATCAAAAGCTAAGCAGCATGGCTCATTCTTAAAAGTTGCCACATATACTATTACTTGTTGCTGATAATTCTCTAATATATGATTATTTTTGCTTTTAATACCAAACAGTATTTGAATCAAAAATAATCGTTTACTTCCATTTTTTAAGGTTTTGAGCAATTCTCTTCTTTTTGATATATGAAGCGACAAATATGTAGATAATGATATGAGCATTGTATGGTCATGTTATTTCATAAAAATATCTATTTTATCAAGAGAAAATAGACTTCAAAAATATCGAAAATTGAATAGTTGTAAACTTAGGTGGGGATACCTTTTCTCATTGATGAAATTTTTTTCTGTGTTATCTTTTCTTATGGAAATTAAATCTATTTCCTTGAATTTTTCTCAATTTTTTTTAATGTCGAATTTAGAATTTGAAGATCTCTCAGAAAAACAATCACCAGTAAAGTTACTACTGCAATTCAAACCCACAGATAAATATATTATACTATCAATGATTTTAACCACTGTTATCGTTTGGATTGGAGTTTTTATTTATAATTCTTCTGAAAATATTATGCTTTATGGAGATGGACCAATGATAATGCGCATTTCTAGATACAATTATGCATTCCCATCAAGAGATTTTGCAAATAAAACAGACGCATATGCACCAGAATACATTAATTCAATTCCTATAGGCGCACCAATACTATTTAAGTTATGCAGAATAGTTTGCCTCGGTTTTTGGTTGCCAGCTTCAATGGCATTTATTTTACTTACAAATTGCGTATGCGCATTGGCCTTTGAAAGGTTCTTAACATCATGGAACATAGTTCAATATCCAGTTACCACTGCTTGCTTGCTATCAATTTACCCAGCGTCATTCCTTATTAATCATTCTACGATTTCCACAGATAGTATTTACATGACATGCGTATTTTTAGCATTTATAGGCTACAAACTTCATGATACAAAACTTATGTTTAACTCAATTTTAGTTGCATCGTTTTTCGATAAACAAGCTATAGTTTTAGCGTTTTCGTTTTTCGTAGTCTTCTTTAAAAACGCACACTACGATAATGCATTTAAAATGCTATTTCCATATTTAATTTCTCTTGGTTTTCATAGCGTATTTCAATACTTTTATTCAAAAAGGATATTCGGATTATTTACAGCCGGCTTTTTGCATGATCCACAATTTAAATTCATTCCATTTGGATTTCTTATAAAATCAGCTTCATTTATTGGATCTCTTGAAGAATTTCATGTAAATTGGGGAGTTTTCGCTTCATGTGTAATAGGAACAGCATTCTTATCAAGATATTCTGTTGCTCTTCTGATATTCCAGATTGTTACTTTAGCTTTCCAATCAATGCATTACTCTTTGGACATTGGCCGATATTCGATAGTTTGTGATGTATTTTCCGTGCTCGTGGGATTCGATGCATTCATTAGCAGCATCAAATTCAAAAAAGTTATACCTGCATTTTCATTTTTCTTCTTCTTAATGGGTGCTACGTATAGTATTTACAGCATTGTAGGAAGAGGTCATATGAAAGTTCGCCAATTATGGTATGAAATTTAAGTTTCGTATCCTTATTTTTTGTTAATTATTTCTTTTCTTATTATAAATAGTATAAAGTATTCGTATTTAAAACAGTCACTTAATTTTTATAAAAATGGATTCACATATTAACAAGATTCTGATATCAATAATTTTCAGCATTATAAATCATAAATTTCTTTTAAAAAATTGATTAAAATGAAACCTAAGAAATAAATCTATTGAAAACATTAGATGTTACCTTTCAATTTCAATCAATCACCAGATAACAGTTCAGAAGTTGATTTGAATAGACTTGCGCTTTCTCATTAATAGCTTGATCCCTAATAACGAGACTAAAACAATTTTTTTGACAATTTTAATTTTTAGACTATTTATTAGGCTCTTGATTGCGGCTTATGAGGGGAGAATAATAAAGCTATCGGGTCATATGCATATAATAATAATAAAAATAAAATTTCTTTTTAAATTTAAATGTTTATTTCCTTACTGATTGCCATAGATAACGTAAACAGGGGAGGCTGGGTAAGGGCTGTTTGCAGGCTGTTGTTGTTGAGCGCGCTGTGGAGCAGCAGCTGGCTGTTGTGGGGCAGAGTTGTCATATGGGGAAACCATTGGCTGAGCAAAGTAATAAACAGGTCTTTGCTGCTGTGGCTGCTGCTGAGTAGCATTAACAACAGGTGGAATGGCTTCGTTGTCATTTACACGTTGTGCTCTGCATTTCTTAACAGCAGAAACAATTGCAACGATAAGTAACATCATGCCCATGCCAAGGAAGAAGGAAAGAGCACTCTGGAATGAGTCACAATGCTTTCTTCTGTAATTATGATTTCCATTATATTCGTATCCTTCTTCGTCATAGTTGTCGTGATGCTTATCGTTTGTATCTGGTGTTGGTGGTGGTGGAACTGGTGTTGTTTCTGGTTTTGGTGTTGGTTTTTCAGATGGTCTTGGTTTTGGTGTTTCAGATGGTGCTGGTGTTGGTGATGGAAGTGGAGCTGGGGCCTTCTTCTCAATCAAAGTGGCTCCGAACTTCTTACCTTGGATTTCGAAAACCATTGGTTTATGATAAACTGAGTTAGCATATGGGAATGCTCTGAATCTGATGTTGCCAGTACGGAGAGTCATATGTGGAATGTTGTCACTGATGGAGGTGAACATTGAGAATTTAGAGCTGCCAAACATTGTAAAGTATGTTTCGGCTTCGTAAGCGAGAGAAACAAACATTGGAGATCCCTCTGGTGCAAAGCCAACGGTCATTATTTGCTCAGTTAAATTTGAATATGATCTTGATATGTTAGCATCTGTATAAAGAATTGCCTTGGAATAAATTTGGGAATCTGATAAGAAGGTGACATAAGCTTCAAATTCTAAATCTTGTCTAGCATAAATGGAAGCTTTAACAGGTTTTTGTCCATTTCCTACTACACCATAAATATTTTCACTAAGGTATGTGTTCTTGCTGTCATCGTAATTAATTGTTATTGTAGCATCGACTGGTTTTGTTGGGAAAAATATTGTATGATTGTAAGAATTACCACTGGTCTCGATAGTTAATCTTTGACCTTTGAGGAGTTTCCTTTTGATATAACTATCCTCATTTACAATGAGATTTTGTAAAAGAGAAGTAGCTAGCGACATTAAAAAATTCTTATTTTGAATTAATCGTTGAAACCAATTTGGGATTATTTAGATTTTTTGAGGTTATAATGAATTATATGACATTAATATATAACAATCTATAAAAAATTTCTAGATATTGGAAATTGACTCGATGTGTGAATTTTTTCAATGAGATAAACCGCTTAATTTGAATCAAAAATTTTTATAATTTTATCCTTTTTATTGTAATTAAGTTAGAGACCTCGTTATCAAGAATTTGAAAAATTTTGAAATAAATTCATCAAAGATTTCGACCTCGGCCTTAGTGATATAAATATTTTAGGATCCTTGGTTACTGCAATCAAGTTTTTCTTGAAATTAATTTGAAAAATTCTTTTTTCAAAAGGTAACTAAACTCCTTTCGCCGATCCGATTTGCCCCATATTTAAAATATAGCTTGCATATGTAGAAGAAAAGCTAATTTTGAAGTACGCCCCAAATCCACCAACAGGATTTCGAGCTACTAAAAAGGTACTTTTAAATGTGATTTTTTTTATAAAAAATTAAATTTATTTTAAGATCAGACTAAAAACTAATTTTATGGAAAATCTATATCGACAAATTTATTACTTATTGGGTATATAGATTTTTTGATTATGGCGATTATGTCTGATATGCTTCCAATAAGCCAAAACACATTTCATACTGATTTCTATAAAAGGTATCTTTATTATAGAAGTGTAAGCTATATCTGTTTGTTTTTTTATTATAACAAATTCAAAATTCTCTTATAAGGATTAGATGAAATCTGTATTACTAAATCATTAGCTAAATGAAGGTTCAAATAGAAAGTAAATATCAATTTATATGATACTGAAACCAAATAGTTCTTTTAATAAAAGATAACACGCTGAAAATTATTGAGTATTTGCAAATCTCAAAAATCTATTGGTGAATTTGGCTCAACTTTTAAAATTATAACATCCATATCAAATCATAAAAGCAGACAAAAATTAAAGCCAAACCTATCGGCCAATTTTTTTTGATATTTTGATTTTTGAGGTATACTTTTAAAAGTGGATTTAAAGCACTTATGAAAAAACATTAACTTCTGTCGTTATGATTATTGATTTAGACAATAATGATTTTAATCTTTGATTATCAAAACACTAAAGTCATCTTTTTAACATTTGCTTGGTAGCATTAACTCAAGTCTAAAGTACTATTTTATGTGGCACTCTTAGAATTTTTGTATTCATTGTACACGCTGAAATAGTACCATTAAAGTTATGGCGGACTTTCAAAAAATAGTTTGGTCACCTTTTTTTTTCATAAAAAAAGATTCAATATGGCATATTTGCGGTAAAAAACTAATTAATTTCAATATCCAAATATCACTACAAAACAAATTTACAAAAAGGAAACAAAAAATCCGCTAAAACATTATATTGAGTCTGGTGGAGGTGGTGGAATAATCATTTGGAGGCGAAGGGTACTTGCATTCTTATAAATCCTACCTGCTTGAATCATTAATGGATTCTTCGGTTTGTTAATTTTTGGTTTAACAATAAGGTTCTGAGAACGAGTAAAAACATCAAGTCTATTGAGTTTGACATTCTCTTTTAATTCTTCACCTTGTGGCTCTGTCTTGAAAAATGGCATATCGAGTAATTGAGCACAAGTAGGTCTATTTCTTGGGTTTGGATCTAAGCACCTTTTAATTATATCGCGCAATTGTTCATCTCGAACGAGTAATTCATTAAACTGTCCGCTTTTGATTCGATGAATCAAACCATCAACATCTTGACAGAAAAATGGATATTTTTCTGTTGCAAAATAATAAAGAGTAACGCCTAAAGCCCATATATCTGCTACCATCGGATTGTATTTCTCATAATGGAAAATTTCTGGTGCCATAAATAATCTTGTACCTTTAAAATCTCCAGAAGTTGGATGCTGAGAGTAAATAGCTGATAACCCAAAATCACCAATTTTGACTCTTCCATACTGATCAATCATAAAATTCGATGGTTTTATGTCGCTATGAGCAATATTTCTGTCATGACATGCTTTAACTGCAGCAATTGTATCATAAACTATTTTGATATATTCTTCTCTATCAACTTTAGTCTTTTGTTTTATAATTTTTTGAAGATCTGAAGGGCAGTATTCCATAAGCATGTAAACATGATCATGAAAATGATAATACTTGTAGAGACTTACTATTCTTGCATCATCAAGACGAAGTAAACAGTCAATCTCTGATTGGTTAAATAATTCTTTGGGAATTTTTTTAAGAGCAAAATGATTGCAATATTGCTTATTATACACGTAAAAGATCGTTCCATACCCGCCCTTTGCGATGATCTTTTCAAAATGTAGATCCTGCTTAGCAAAGTATTCAACTTCCTTGCTGTGCATTTAATAATGAATAATTCGATTTTTGTTAGGAGTTCTGAATTATTTGAGAGGCACTATTAAAATAAGAAGATTTATTGTTTGACTTATGTACATTACATTAAATTTATTAATTAAATTGAGAAGGGACGAGTAGTTTTAAAAGTAGATATGATGTATAATATAAATCAAATGAAAATAGTATTGAAAGACTATCAAAAGCATTTGAATATAATGTTCTTGAATATTATTCCAGTTTTCAGAAATTTTGAATATTTATGGACACATAACTCTAGAAATTTCCAAATAATACGGGCATGCTTGTTGCATGCTAAGTAGTGTCAATGTGTAAACCTCTCAATTTTATCATCGGGGAAGCAACACAATTCCCTCAAAAATATTGAAAAATATAGAAAATAAAATGAATTAAGATGTACTTAAAATGAGAAATAGATTATGATATTAGATTTTAGAAAAAACAGACTTTTGATATAACTTTTGAGAATCTCATATAAAAAAAAGCATTTAAAAATAAATTTAAATATCTTATTTATTTTACTATTGTAAATATATTCTGAGATTTTTAGAAAAAAACACTTTTCATAAGTATTCAATATTTGAGAATACGCTCCAAAAAAGAATAGATTCTTTTATATTCGCTTATATAAAAGGAGACTCTCTATCAGATGCGAATGCATGAATTCAGCACCTCTGATAGAGAGTTTCCTCTTATATAAGCGGATCTTTTTCATGAGTTATTGTTAATATAAAAACATAAAAAGCTACCAATATGAGAAATTAAACCCTGCGAGGTGCCAGTCTAGAACTGGCACTTCGCAGGGTTTAATTTCTCTTGACAAATGACAAAACTTGTTCGCAATTGTGAACCATTGCGAGCAAGTTTGCCAGATATCTGGAAGGAATTGCTCCTTATGATATATGCATTGTAACTGTATATATCATAAAGAGCAATTCCTTCAATTAAACGCAAAAACTTTGGTGCAATCGTTGCTGATTGCACCAAAGTTTTCGAACTTTCCCGAGGGAATTGAAGGGTGAGAGGTATATAGTATGCCTATATGCCTCTCACCCTCCAATTCCTTCTCTGAAGCTGGGAAATTTTGTCCAAATGTTAAACTATTCAGACAAAATTTTCCAGCTTCAGAGAAGGAATAGGAGCCTACCAGGCACTGATATATAATCAGTGCTTTGTAGGCTCCTATTCCTAATAGAAAGTTCGAAAACTTTGGAGCATTTGATTATTGTATTTTGTCAAGAGAAATTAAACCCTGCGAAGTGCCAGTTCTAGACTGGCACCTCGCAGGGTTTAATTTCTCATATTGGTAGCTTTTTATGTTTTTATATTAACAATAACTCATGAAAAAGATCCGCTTATATAAGAGGAAACTCTCTATCAGAGGTGCTGAATTCATGCATTCGCATCTGATAGAGAGTCTCCTTTTATATAAGCGAATATAAAAGAATCTATTCTTTTTTGGAGCGTATTCTCAAATATTGAATACTTATGAAAAGTGTTTTTCCTAAAAATTTAATATAATGCTTAGCACAATATATAAAATTAAAATATCTATAATTATTTTCTATATCACACTTTTCATTACACCTTGAAAAGTCTTCTCAAACTCTATTTTTAATTATTTTTTAGATATATCTCAAGTGTGATTATTCAAAAACTCATATAGACTATATTTATTTTTTTCATTCAAAAAATTATATGAGAATCTCAAATTAACTTTCAAATTTTTTATTTTAAAAACATATTAATAATCATATTTTAAGATACTTTTCGCCCAAAAATAATCGTACTTCCTCGACGATTAAAAGGCTCTCAATTTCTATCATTGACACTACTTAGCATGCAACACTGCAAGTTCTTATGATATATTATTTGTCCTTCCCTTTCAATTTCAATATTTTAGAATTTGAATATGTACACCGTTAAATCCTTCAATTTCTTCAAATAATAAAATTTGAATCCCAATATACAAACAAATAATATAGTATATTTTCTCAATAATTATTGTTGTTGACACTTTTTGTAAATTTTTAACCTCTTTTTCGAATTCAAATTCTACGATATTTCGAATATTAGTTTCGAGTATTTTTACAGATAGTCACATTATAAAGCATAATTATCCTCTTAAAATAGTGGGTTTTCATTTAATTTTTAATTCAAGAATTTTGCACATAATAATTATCGAGGTGGCAGGATAATTTCCCAGTTCACAATACACCAGAAAACAAATTCCTCCAACAAATCAGGTTAATTTTAGATACATTCATATTTCTTTCTCTTCGAATTCGATTAAGGTGGAGATTTAGTATTATAAAAAGCATCACTGATCTATAAAACATAATCCTTTTTATATGTTCTGTATTATAAAGGCATACTTTCGCTGAATTTTGTCGACAGGGAATTTTGACGGGAAATTAATCGTAGTGATGCGCTTGATTAGAAGTGGCTCTAATGGATAGGCCAAAAGACATTACTATCCGGAGAGTTGACGAGCTTCCTGAAATGTACAGGGGAGTGTTCCCATTTGAAACCTTTAACGCGATCCAAAGCTCAGTCTTTGATCAAGTCATGAAATCAGACAAAAATATTATGTTAAGCGCTCCCACAGGCTGTGGAAAGACAGTAGTAGCCGAGTTAGCAATGATCAGTGCTGTGATGAAGTATAATTACCCTACATTAATGCTTTACGTATCGCCATTACGCGCTCTTTGCCAAGAGAAGGTCCGTGATTGGACAGAACGCCTTAACAAGTGTGGAATAGCTGTTCAAGAATACACTGGTGACTCCAATAACCAAATGCCTACGAATTTACAAACTCATCTCCTTCTTTGCACTACACCAGAGAAGATAGACCTTGCAACTAGGAACTGGAAGCAAAGATCAGATATCTTCATGCATGTGTCCGTCGTAATCATTGATGAAGTCCATACAATAGGAGATTCCCGCGGTGCCGTCCTCGAAGCCATGATTACTCGTCTCCTCCTCATAAGCGACAACAGCCAGAGCTTAGGAGGCATTCCAATTCGAGTAGTTGCTCTTTCTGCCACTGTTCCAAACTATCAAGATATCGCAAAGTGGATCAAAGCAGAAGACCCTGAGAAAACGAGGTTTGATGACTCGTTCCGTTCAACTCCGATCACGAGTCATGTCTTTGGATACAGATCTTGTGTCAATGATTGGATGTTCGAGAGTTCTTTGACATCGAAGATCTCCGCCATCATCAGACAGTATTCACAAGGCAAACCCACTCTAATTTTCTGCTGCACGAGGAAGAGTTGCGAGAAAACCGCAAATCAGCTGTTAATCGACATCCCGAACTTGCATGGAACAAAAGCAAATGTCCATGATAAGACTCTTGCCGATTTACTCTCCAGAGGAATCGGTTTCCACACTGCAGGATTAAGTAGTGATGATCGTGAAATTGTCGAAGATTTATTCATCAGAGGAGAGATCACCATTTTATGTGCGACATCAACATTGGCACAAGGAATCAATCTCCCTGCTGCTTTAGTCATCATCAAAGGAACGAAACATTATTCCGATGGATATCTGAATGACTACGATCACGCCCAACTCTTGCAGATGATGGGAAGAGCAGGACGTCCACAGTTCCATGATAAAGGAATCTGCGTAATCATGACAGAAACGAAATGTATCAAAGAATTTGAGTCTATCGTCAATAATTCGAGACCTGTTGAGAGCTGTTTGTTGTCTGCATTGACTGAACATATCAATGCTGAAATTGCTCTCGAAACGATCAAGAACATTGACGATGCAATCAAATGGATCAAGACAACGTTTTTGTACACAAGATTACCGCAAAACCCATTATACTATAAGGTAAAGAACCTTTTAGGTGTCGAAGATTTCCTCATGAAACACTGTAACGAAGCAATTGGAAATCTTGAGAAATGGGGATTCATCAATGTCGAAGATGGCTGCTATTTCATACAACCAACAGGCGCATTGTGTAGTAAATACGGTCTACAAGTTGGAACAATGCGTCTTTACTCCGAATCATTTCCAATATTAAATTTGGAAACAGCTTTGAATGTATTGTGCAAAGCTGAGGAGTTCAATGACATAGTCGTCAGACAAGAAGACCGCCAGAAAATGAGATTGATGGCTGCTGATTCATCGTTAAGATTCCCATCAGTTTCCATTGATGATCCTTCATTCTTTACATCTCAAAACAAATGTTTCCTTATGATCCAAATTGCCCTTTCAAAGGGTAAAATCGAAGATTGGTCACTTGCGCAAGAATACAACAAAATCAAGAGAACAGCTGATAGAATGCTCATGGCATTATATCTTTTAGCTGTTGAAAAGAAGGAATTAAAGTCTTCTTTCTTTTCTTTGCTTTTGATGAAATGTATTTTTGCAGGAATGTGGGAAACAGAGAAACAAAGATTGACACAACAAGTGAAAGGTATCGGAGAAGTCAATGCAAAGAAACTTTTCTCTGCTGGTTTGACAGATTTCGATAAACTTCGTGATTCTCATGTCAGATTTATCGAAAGAGCAACAAATCACAGACCAGGATGGGGAACAACCATTGCAGAATCAATCAGTCGCCTTCCTTTCTATTCCATTGAAGTGTTAAGTTCTCCAGAGAAAATCCAAGTCATCGTGACAAATCAATCATCAAAAGATCCGACATTTGGACACCATGGCGTTGAAATTCTTGTTGGCATGGACAATTACTTGTTGACGAGAAAGCATTACAGAGTAACTGCGCATCAAACAATGTCAATGTTCTGCAACATTGGAATTTTGAATCCAAATGACATCGAAGTTTACGTTGTCGATCGAGAAATTGTCGGTGTTGATCTAATCCAGAAGGGATTAATCAAAAAACAACAACCGACAATAACTGATATCTTGCAGAAGACATCGATTGTTCCGCCAACATCACAAACAAGAGTTGTAGATATCCCGGATCAGTCCGAAATTGTTGTTTGGCAGATGAAAGCAAACAAAGCCATTGAAACAATTTCTACAACTGAAGGTGAAGCAAGAAATGAAGGAATGATGTCGGTCCAAGAAAGTAAGAATGAAGAAATGAACGAACCATCGCCTCCTGTTCAAACTTCTTTCATCAGCTCTGATGATGAGCATTGGGAGAGATTTCAATTTGATGACTTATAACTTATATAATTTTAATTTAAAAAATTTAATTAATCTTAAACTATACATTTCATTTTTAATATGTAATCGTGTTTCTTTTCGTGATTTTTATGGAATGTTTTTCAAAATGATGAGAAAAAATTCGATTTTCGAACTTTTACATATGATAAAATTAAAAGGTTTCTTCTAAATAGCATAATTTTTGGATGCTTGGCTTCCAAATTATGATTAATTTGTGATGATATCGTTAATCAAAAACAACTAAATGGATACATTTAAGCATGAAATTTTGTATTGTTTCTCATAATGAAAACTCTTTGCGGTCCTTGCCATCTCAACTACGAGTAGATATAATTTCAAATTTTTTTTTCCTCAAATAACAAAGAATTCTATGAAATCATATATTTTGCATGAAGTTAATTAAGGAGGAATCAATTTAAATCTATAATATTCTTAATGATGTATAAAAGACATCGATTGTATTGATTGCCATCATAAGAATTAATATTTAAATGTGAAAATGTACTTAAATGATCAAGTACAACTTATAACTAGAGCGAACAATGCATGAATGTCTGAAAAATAATATCAATTATTCTCTTATTTCGGAGATAAGGAAATTTGACACAAATATGAGTAGGAGGGATTCCAGTTGTTAATGTGGATTGCACTCAATAAGAAATAATAAAAAGAGAAAAAAAGCCAGTATTTCTAATATATCTAACAACGCTAAATTTACATAACAGAAAAACAGCTCAAACATACTGTGGCATGAACTGAGGAAAATAATATACGCTTAAAGCTTCAACGGGTGGGTAGAAAACTCGTTGGCTTACAGGTTTTTGTACTCTGTTCCTAAGTACAGTATACCAGCGGTTCTTGACTGCGCAGCTAGTTCTTCCAGGGAGCTTAGCTGCTATAGCTGTCCAGTGGTTTCCGATCTTTTGACGTTCGAGAACTATTAATTCGTCTTCCCACTTTTGGAAAGGTGCTTTATTGACATCTGGGCAGAGTCTAAAGAGCCATCTTTCACGGCATTGTTTTGGTGTTCTACCTGGTACAAACTTTGAAATTTCTTCCCAGGAGATAGGCTGTTTCATGACAGATACAGCCTTTCTAAGTAATTCGTCTTCACTTGGTGACCATAAACCCTTGAGTTGGTCAACTTTGAGATCAACTTTTTCTTCGAACTCGATTGGGGACCTTGGGATGTTCTGATCAAAGAGATTCATGGTGGTAGATGGGAGCTCGAGCTCAAAGATGCTTGGGATCTTTTGGGTGCACATGTGTTGCATAGTTATTTGATTTTTTGAAAAACCGTTCTAGCCGAAAAAAATCAAACTAAATTGAATGCGATTTTTGAATGGTGGTGGCGGTTTTGAGGCGGTTGCTCTCAAAAATGAACCTTGTATTCAAAAATGAACCTTGTATTCAAAAATCACTTCGATAATCTTCTCAATTTAAAAAAAACAAAGTTAGAACTTTTAGTTCAAAACGTGGAGATAAATAGATATCTTACAATATTGCTAAAACTTATTCAAAAATTGAAAGATATGTTTATAGTTTCTGAATCATTGGAATCAAATGGATTTTGATTAAAAATAGAATTACAATAATGTAGAGATCAATATATTCTTGATTTTTTTGACATCTTACTTATTTCTGAAGATTTTTGTGAGTATCTGAAATTTTGTCTGATACTTTAAATAAATAAATAAATTAATGGGTGTTACAGTATTGGGAATTTGTAATTCAATTTATAAGTTTTTAGGCTTGATTCCATGTAAACGAATTTTGAAAAGATTGTATACTATTCATCACAAAAATCCAACCAATTTTTCAATGTTTAATTCAAAAAGAGATGGGGCCGATATTTTAGAATGCATTAACATAGATGATACTAAATTCTAACATAATTCTACGAAAATTCAGATATATTGATCGTTGAAATAAACAAAGGTATTGAGTTTTATAACTCTAATTAGTTTAAATAAATCTATTAATGTAGGAAATTAAGATATATAAAATATTTCTTCTTTCTACGATCTCATCAGATTTTAGAGGGAATTCTTTTTGAATTGACTCACAAAAGTACAAATTATTGAATACTCTATATTCGGTCATTAAGACTATTTCATGTACGCTATACACTGTTCCAATATTTCAACAAAATAAGCCTAAATAAATACAAACTTTCAAATATTTTATCACCATTTTATTTAGTGAAGTTTACAAAGTAATGAACGTTATTGTTGATCATTTATTGAAATATATAATTTTCCTGCACCGCCAAATATAAAAACAGTTTAACTTCTTTTCAATTATTGAGTGTCTGTTTCAAAAAAATTCACTTTCATAAAACCGCTGAATGTACTTTATATGCTGTACTATACTTCACTATTATTATTTTATAATTTTTTTCTACTTTATTTTCATAAAAAAATAATTCAATCTAAGAATTATAGTTCAATATCTATTTAAAATTAGATGTGGATTTAAAATATAACTTTTTTAAATTTTGATTTCAATTGCCCTGAAACCTACAATTATCATAATTCATAAATTAATTATCACTAATCATTCTATTTTTATTTTATAAGTAATCAAATTTGTTCTCTCAATATAATTTCAATTCAATTCTTTTTTCCCAATTAAAGCCCCCTTAATTAAACTTATCTTCCTGCATGTTTCCATATACAAGAATCATATTTAATTTATCAAATTCTTTTTTCACGCCCTTCATCCAAACTCTCGTATCCAAAGAGTATTGAAGTTCTGCAATATATACTCAATAGCTATTGAATGGTATCGATTAATTTTCAAACTACATATTAATTTTTCATTTTCTTTCATTCTCTAATTTTATATCTGAGATGAATTTAGTCTTCTTTGTATATTTTGCAAGTACTTATTATGTGTGCATTATTTTCAATTATTTTATCAAATACGAAGTTGTTATGATTTATTCGGAAAAATTTGTAATTTTCATAAGAAGAAATATTTCTTAGCCATAAGTAAATCATTTCGGATTGATATTCAGTGTCAAAACTAGGTGAATATGCGTAATCTCATAAAAAATGCTCAAAGTCTTTAAACAACGAGATAACTGAAGATAAAATAGTAAATCATAATTATAGTCATATTAATTGATTGATCCGAACTCTTTATTCATATGACGAATCCGGGAGTTCGCGTCGTTCTCTCGGATCCGTGCTGTGAAGATTACTTTCCGACAGACATATTAGATGTTCAAGAAACACTACAAAATTATGTAATAGAAATGGGAGAAAATCTTAGACAAACGAATAAATTTTCCGAAGAATATACTTATAATTTAAGTGAATCTGTAATTGATAACGCATTAATTTATGGAGTAATACTAAGCTCCAAAATTGGCGATATAAATGGAAAATTCACTCTAGAAAATGCCATTCTTTCATTAACTCCTCATTTCAATAAAAAGCAAGTTAATTTGAAATTCAAGCCAACTCAAACAGGGCTATGCAGAGGTGAAATTATTGCAGTTAGTGGCAAGTATTCGAACGGAAATGTTTATGTTGATCAAGTTTTTACCAATTGTAGAAAGAAGAATCCAGAAAGCATACCCGAAACATTTAACTCAACGATACTAGTTTGTACTGGACCATATATTAACGATTCTCTTGATCAAATAATTTTATTAAATCATAAGTTGGTACAGATCAACCCAGATTTCACAATATTTTTAGGTCCCTTCTTGACTGAAGATTGCTCTATCATCATGAATTTTGGCAAAGAAGGGCCGTGTTACGATGCAGATACATTGACCGAAGAAGTAATACAAATTCTTTCTCAAAATCTAAAGAATTCCGTATTTATACCAAGTCCAGATGATATTAGTGGCTTGAAAATTATTCCTGGCCCTCGCATTTCAGATGGCGGTCTGACATATAGCTGCACTGGCAATCCATGCCAAATCCGATATGGACCAATTGATATATATTCAATTGCTTTTCAGTCAATGGATTATTTGATTGAAAATTGTTGCAGCAAAACTCCAGAAGAAGGAATACTTGCCAAGCAATGCAGCGGATATCCATCAGTGCATCCGTATATTCAATACAATAATATTTCTGATCTTAAGGCTAAAAGATCTCCACATCTTTTTATTTATTCGGGAAATCAAGAACATTTAGAATGGAACGGAACTACAAGTATTGGGACCCCGTCATTTCTAAAATCAAATAAAATTACCCTTTGTCAATTTAAAGACGGAAAACTTGATATTCAATTTGTTTAAAAATAAATCTATTTTGTTGTTTTTTTCTTATACATACCACAATCTATATTTAGTTCTTTCTATCGTGTAAATACGTTATAAATAATAAAATAACCTTTTTAATTAAACAACCATATAACAATATAATAATCATGTGGATGATTGTTTAAATTTCTTCTGCTGGCTGATCAGAGTTTTCCTCTAATTTAGTTCTATTTGACTTAGACTTAGAATGTTTCTTTCTATGGATAATAAGAACTACAAGGATTACAATGATACAAACAACGAGGACTCCACAAACGACACCTATAATAATTGATGTTTTGTCGGCGCCGGATTTTTCAGTGCCGTTTTCAATGGAATCATCTGATTTTCCTCCTCCGCTATTTGGTGTTGGAGTTGTCTTATTTTCGCCAGTTGTTTCATTTTTACCGGTTGGATCATTATCACCTGTTGTTTCGTTTTTATCCGTTGGATCAATAACTTCTGTTCTCTTAGTTGCGCAAGTTTCTTGATTGCCAGTTGGTTCTGACACTGGAGGAATGACTTCTCCCTTGAATTTGATGATAACTGATCTATATTGATTTGAAGATGATACTTCAAATCTTCCATCATCCAACTTTGTGCATATAACTCCATCACCTTGTTTTGTATTGCAAGATGCATCAGAATCTTTCATTCTAATATAATACTTTGTGTTAGCATTCATAGAATTAACGAAATTTGCGTAACAATTGGATCCATCATTCTTGCAATATACAGCAAAATATGTAAAATCATTTTTTTCAACTCTGCTGTCTCCATTTGCCATATAAGTTGCGCCTTCAAATATGTTCTTGAACAATGTTCCATATCTTCCATAAGATGAATCAAGATAGGTATATAAAACAGAGTAATTTTGCCAAATGTTTTCTGCTGTTCTATATTTGATACCTGTAACCATTGCGCCAACGACTGGAGCTGTGCACATCCAATCTTCTCTTAAATCTGAACCTAATTCATCCATTAAAGAAATAACCTTTGAACCAAGAGAAAATCTGGTGTTCCAAAGGCCAACTTTATCTGGATCTTGGAAAATTGTATATTGCTCTAATCTCTTGTGCTTGTAGAGAACAGAGCCAATGAACTGTGCACTTTGTGGGTAAACTTTGTGGGACTCAACAATGAAGCCTTTTGGAGAATCATTTTGCAATTTGTTCAAAATCTTGAACATACCGCAATAGGAATTGATGTATTCTTTATCGCCATTATCGGTATATAATACATATGGAGAAACTGTCTTAATAATATCATGAGAGAGGCCAAAACTTGCAAATGTTTGATCAAATTTTCGAATTGCTACGCCATCATAGCAAATTGTCTTCTTCTTTTCATAATAGTTCTTTAGCTGGTTTGTAATAACCTCATCCGATAAAATAACGGGGCACAAAAGATAATCATTTTCTTGAACTCCTGTAAGTTGGCCGGATGAGTCTCGTATACCATACTTCTTAACTAATTTGCATTCTTCTTCGGTATCAGGGCAGTTCTGATCAAAGGATGTAGTACTTAATGTCTTAGTAATCTTGATGAAGGATGGATCAATTTCATTGAAGTTTAATGTTCCTTCAACAGTTTTTTGTGGTGTTGATGATTCCCAAATCAATTTTGCTCCATATTTGTTAACGATATCTGATTCATGAGTTCCCCATTCATTGGTATCTGCATTTACTGCGATCGATGCTTTTCCATAAGGATTTACTCCATATAATTCTGGGAATGCTTTATGCCAAATCTCCACAGCGTCGAGATATGATTTTGGAGATGCTTCGATCACAATATATGAGATTTCTAGATCTTCAAGTGGCTTTATATTCAAAGTTAATGATGACGTAACCGGACCATTATTGCCTTGGGAAATTTCAGATACTGTCCAATCAATAAAGAAATCTTTCTTAAATACATCAACACCAATGATATACTGGTCATTTGCAATAATTGGAGAGAGGAGCTTCAATTCTTCTGATCCTGAAAGCTTCTCTGTATACTTTCTTTGGATAGAAGAGAGTTTGTGGCTGTTGGGTAAGACCTTAGTTGATAAACCTTTAATCTTTTCATTCTCTTTGTACAACTTGAGAGAAGCTCTGTAGGCTGTTACTCCATTTTGGGTTTGGATAGGAGTTTTCTTACCAGTTGGCAATCTTTCTGTTCTTGTATCACTTTCCATATAGTTTGGAATAGGTTCAAGAGCAAGGCCTGTTCTAATAGGAATAATTGATACATTTTTGAAAACGGAATTGGTGGAATAAGGATGAATATAAGTCCTCACATGGATGTCACCTTTGTATGGCTTTCCATTGTTGTATGTGAGCATACTCACCCAACCATCTAATTGGTTCGCATTAATATATTTTTGAATAGATATTCCAGAAGGAGTGGAAATATCAAATAAGCATCTTCCTCCACCAGTGACCTTACATCTGAATGCAAATTCGGTGATATAGTCTTCATCAATTAAAGGATCAGGTTGACGAGTATATTCGAAATATCCAAAGCATTTTTCATCATTATCGTTATCATTATCTTGTATCTTGGCGCATTTGTAACCTTGGGCTGTGTCATCCCAATGACATCCAGGATCTTCGTTGTTACATTTTGGATCCTCAGGACTGGCGTTATTGTGGAAATCATTAATTGAAAACACCTTCCAAAACTTACCTTTTGGTGAGACATTTCCAAAGAGCAGAGGTCTGCCTAAGGCAAAAAGAGCTACAAACATTTTGAAATGATAAGTTTTCATAAGTTTATGCCGTACCTTGAATAACCGGCGAACCATTCAATTGGTCATAGACCAATTTGAGATACCCTTTTCAGAGGAATCTAAAATGTTGTTTATATGGTTATTTATATATTTTTAATCATTTTTCTAAATAAAATCATAAGTTCTCAATTTTTCTTCATAACGATTCTTATAAATTTTAATGTTTTTACTATGAGTGCTAAATATTATTAATTACTAAATGATTTTAAAAAGAAAAAACATGTTTTTACTTTGTACGTTAACATACGTTAATATCACTTCGGCTATGGATAGAGGCCAACAGCGCCTTATTAATGAGAAAAGCATTAGCCTCTTATCAATGAGATGGAAGTGTATTCGTGGATTACAATTGTGAATTCAGATACACTTCCTTCTCAAAAAATGCAATCAAATTTGTATTGAATTGCATTTTTTGAATACATGCTATTGGCAGTTGGGGTTTTTAGTGCATTTATATTATATTGGTACTAAGGCTTTTGGAAAATTTACAAAATATATTTAATATTTTGTAAATGTTATCGGTTCTTACGCTTTTGGAAGGAGGGATGGTATTTTTGGAGCATTTATATTACATTGGTACTAAGGCTTTTGGAAAATTTACAAAATAAATTTAATATTTTGTAAATGTTATCGGTTCTTACGCTTCCTCTCTTCATCAAGATGCTTCCTCACTCCATCATGCATCCATCATGCAGCTTCCTCTCTTCATCAAGGTGCTTCCTCTCTTGATCAAGATGCTTCCTCTCTTCATCAAGATGCTTCCTCTCTTGATCAAGGTGCTTCCTCTCTTCATCATGCAGCTTCCTCTCTTCTTCAAAGTGCTTCCTCTCTTCAACAAAGTGCTTCCTCTCTTCATCATGCAGCTTCCTCACTACATCATGCAGCTTCCTCTCTTCAACAAAGTGCTTCCTCTCTTCTTCAAAGTACTTCCTCTCTTCATCAAGATGCTTCCTCTCTTCAACAAAGTGCTTCCTCTCTTCAAAAAAGTACTTCCTCTCTTGATCAAGGTGCTTCCTCTCTTCATCAAGATACTTCCTCTCTTCTTCAAAGTACTTCCTCTCTTGATCAAGGTGCTTCCTCTCTTCATCATGCAGCTTCCTCTCTTCTTCAAAGTGCTTCCTCTCTTCAACAAAGTGCTTCCTCTCTTCATCATGCAGCTTCCTCTCTTCAACAAAGTGCTTCCTCTCTTCATCATGCAGCTTCCTCTCTAAATCAAAGTGCTTCCTCTCTTCAACAAAGTGCTTCCTCTCTTCTTCAAAGTGCTTCCTCTCTTCATCATGCAGCTTCCTCACTACATCATGCAGCTTCCTCTCTTCAACAAAGTGCTTCCTCTCTTCTTCAAAGTACTTCCTCTCTTGATCAAGGTGCTTCCTCTCTTCATCAAGATGCTTCCTCACTCCATTATGCAGCTGCTTCTTTTCTTCATCAATCCTCTCTCACCTGGAGCTCCTCAGCTTTATATCATTTTAATTGGATTTTTTGAAATCCACCTGCAGTAGGATAAAGGAGATGTAACTCACGACTAAGAACCTGGCCATATGCTCCATTCCAGGCCAAAACAGATTGCATAGCCACAAACAGATTGAAATACCAATCCTGTTGCTGCATGGGGGCGTCCATATTCCATTTGAGACTTGCATCATCACATTTGGATCTGTAAGGACTTTGTCGTTGACAAAATTGGGCCTTGCAGGAGGAACTCTCCATTTGCTACAATGTATCTGGAAGCAAGAGGTTTGTTCATATCCAATGGATAGATTCCTGTTGCTTTAAAAGCATTTTCGATGTTTGTAGCTGTGCAAGACACACTACATGCATCAAGGAAGCTGCGAACCATGATATAGCGCAGTTCTCTGGCGTTCCATACATAATTGATCACCATATGCCCTTGCTGATCGTACCGGATAGTCGCCATATCAAACAACTTCTTGAATTGGCCTTCAAGGGAGAAAAAATCCCAACATCAAAAGGTTGTAAGATATGAGATGTATGGCCTGGGAGAACAAGAAGCTCGATATTGAAGGCGCTCAAGAGGCGAACGGCCAAGAAAGATAGCCTGGATGGATGACCATCTACAATTAGGAGAAAAGGTACCTGGCATCAACACATCTCATTTGAGACTTTTCTCCTGTACTTTGCAGATGAACATGATACAGTATACCATAAAAAGGTATTTGTTCATCCATCCACTCTCGGAGCGAACAAAAAAGGCGTCCAGATCTTCCAATTCCGCATCAAGGGTCTTCTTTTGTGGAAGTATCACCATTGGCTTCATAGTTGTACCATCTGCAAAGATGGTAACAGACCCCTGTAAGATGTGGAAGCTGAGACTTTTCAGCGCGAACTGTGCGATTCCGGCCAGCAGTAAAGAACTTTATAGCGACGTTTGGAATAGAGCATTGTCTCGTCCATATTCGCATAAACTTCTTCCTGCGGGCAAAGTATCTATGCTTGGAGAGGAAAAATTGGCGATATGGTTTGCGTCACAGGTAGAGCGTCGGAGCATATCAATAGTTGGGAGCTCAACAATCCGAATTGACAATCTTGTGGCGATATGATTAAGCCAGCCACGGGATGGCGATGGGCAGTAATCATCGAGCTTCGCTAGAAGATGCGGGCATCTTGCAGCGATTAAGTACCTGCGCCCGCAAATTTTAATCTCCTATTTTGTAATTCCGTACAGACAGCAATGGCCATTGATGTTGTAATACAGTTCAAGTCGTCTGCCATCTCTTGAACAAGTTTTTTGAACTGCATTTCATCTGGTAGTGACAAAAGGGTCATACCACCCCCTGACTGACCTTTTGTCCATGAACGACAAGTAGCAGTGCGCATGATTGCGCGTGCTACTGTCGTCTTTGAAATTGAGTAAACATTCCGTATTTGTTGATAAGACTCGCCATTTACTCTTCGATAGAGTAAATCGAGTTGCATCTGGGTCAATAGCCCAAGATTTTTATAGTTTTCTAATTCTGCAAACTCGGGAATTCGTGTTCTTGGTTGCATTTTTTTTAAACGGGAACTTCACAAATTTGGTTCATGGCCATAAAAACTCATTCAATTTTTCTGAGATTTTTTTTCGTCACTCACTCAAAACGCAGAGGACCATTCTTCTCAAAATTGAATTATTTTCTCAAATATTGAGTGAGTAAAATGGGCACGTTGTGTAAATTAGTTAGTATACAAGTCATGGGTACGGCGGCACTGCGTTCCACCTTACCCAATATTTGTGAATTTGACACTTTACAAAGCCGCCAACCACTTCACTAACGAACTCACTAATGTAAAAAATAAACGTTCTCACTAACGACTTCACTAATGTTCTCATAAATTTTCCTCAATATCTTCATCATCAGTGTTAACCCTATTGTAGTCATACTTGAAGCCATAAACTTTCTTTAACTTCTTAACGTACAATTTACATAACTTACCTTCGTCATCGTATGGTTTAATGATAATACTATTTCTATCTTTATACACAGTCAATGAAAAGTCAACTGGTCTCGGATGTATTTGAAAGAACATGTTATGCTCAGGAAGGAAGAATAAATGTTTAAATGTATGTTTGTTATACTGTGGAATTCGAATGAGTTGCTTTTGTTCTGTCATTTACATCCAAATAAAAATTTTCAGTAAAATAAAAAATAAACTTAAAAATTAATGATATCACCACCCTCACACGTATGAAAACATAGCACAAAAATAAATTTAGGTGAAGTGGTGAGATCTCACCTGTTTTTTCACCCTGTTGAATTCATTGCTTTATAACTCTCTTCCTTGGTTTCTTTTTAGTTGCTTTCTTCACGTCTGTCTCCAACTTGACTGTCTTTCTTCTTCGTCCGTAATGATACCAGTTACTTCCACCAGTCAATGGGTCAAATGGTCTTTCGTAAGGGTTTCCATACATTCCATAGGGACCATACGGAAGAACTACTGGTGGAGAAGAAACATTTTCTCTAGTTCCATCGAATCTATTTAAATGCATTGTTTCCACCTTTCATCTGGTCATTAAAGTCTTTTGCGTGTTTTGCAAACTCATCGTCCTTTCCTAAAGCATTTCTTGACTCAGTCGCAACCAAATTGGATGCTTATTTATGAGCCCTATTTTATTTAATCTTAACTTCTTTGCAACCCAGCCTCCAATCTTCCCTTATTTGCATCTAATGTCTTCGAAACCCTTCCTCCACTCATTTTATTTACTGCGTCATAAGCTCCAAGTGCTTTTGCTCCAAATGCTAATGCTTTTGTTCCCATTGCGCCTAAAGCTGCCCAAGCTACCATTTACACCATATTAAAATCATCTCTCTTCAATATTATCTCATAAAAGTTCTCGTTACTGGAGAAAGTCAATGAAACATAAGCGTTCTCAGGGCTTCGCCCTCACAGCTTTGCGGTCTATCTAACTTATTTCTTATATCATCTATACGCTTCAAAATGTCTGAACAATTGCTAACATCTTCTACAACAGTTATTTCATCATGAATGACCTTCAAGAACAAAGCTCATTTAATATGCTATTAAAATCATCTCAATAATGAGTCCATCCTTTCCGTCTTTGGGTAGCACAACATCTTTCATTGAAGAAGGTTCGACAAGTCTTATGTTAAACTTACTGACAAAGTTTGTTATACTATAATGCTTCGGCGGCGAATACATGTAGTTTGAAGACATAATATAGATTCTTCAGCAAATTCACTTATACTGGATTTTATAACAATGTTTTCACGAGACCAAATGCCACCAATTGAAAAACTTGTAAGCAATCCTGCTGAACCTTCAACTGTAAACGTCGATGGTAACATTCCACGAAGGTCACTTATTGACATCGTTGAGTCACTGTATTTAAATATTTTCTTAAAGCAATTGTCATTATCTAACCATGCAATAGCTTTGAAGTTTTCATTCGAATATACATCTGCTTCATTAAATGTAAAACCTGACTTCTTTGCAGAGACGACTTTAAAATCTATTGAGTTTGTTTCAAAATTATATGCTATGGTAACTTCTGAAGGTAATGGATGTCCTTCCGCAGTAAGTTGTTCTCTCACTACCGTTTGAAGCTTTGTATTAAAAACTTTCATGTCATCTCCTGTATCTAAGTTCACATACACAGCAACAGGGAAACTATCTTGCTTCTTTGTTTCATCATTATATCTCAAAACATTAAAGTTCTTCAATAATATTGTTCTTCCTGCTGGAATACTTCTAACTTGTCTGATTTCAATAGCTTTCTCACCTCCTACATACTCTACCTAGTGTCTTGGATATTCATAAGTATACTGACTTTCTTGAATTTTGGTAGGTTTCATCATACGTGTTCATAGTATATCTTTATACTCTTGTCAGTTAGACTCGGTGCTATGTTCTGAATATTTCTGACTTGCATTTTTAATGGAGATAAAATGAAGCATTTAATACATGACGTAGATGAAGACATGAATGAAACTACAGACAAACTTAACTCTTCTCTTATTCTTCCTTTCAGCAAAGATTATGAGTTCTGTTCAAATGGTGTGTATTTCTATTATGGAAAGATGGGTTCAGGTAAGACATTTAACCTCATTCGTCATATACTCATAACAGAACGTTTAGGAAATGACTCATATTATGACCAAATCATTATATCAGCAACTTCAGACTCTATGGACTCAACAGCGAAAACATTTATGTCAAAAGTTCAAGCCTCTGTCGTTAAAGTTCCAGACAGTGAACTCATTGAATTTCTTCAACGTTACATTCGACGTAAGAGGAAATATTATGCCATCGTTGAATTTATACAGTCAGGAATGCAAAAGACTTCAGAAGAGATGGAAAGAATTATTGACAAACACCACTTACGTCAGTACTCAGGAGTTTACGATATGAAACGACTGACAAACTACATTCTATCAAAACTTTCAAAATACCCCTTCAAAAAATATCCATCAAACACTTTATTAGTTTGTGACGACTTCGCTGGTAAAGGTTTAGT